AAAAAAAAAAAAAAAAAAAAAAAAAAAAAAAAAAGGAAAAAAAAGGAAAAAGACAATTTTTTTTGGGGTTTTTACAATACAAAACCAAATGGAATGTTGGGGAAAAGGAATGCACGTTTCCCAACAGTGCATATTTTGGTGTCCTGTTTGCCGGATGGGTGCAGTCAACAAACTTCTAACACTGCTGGCCACAGCTAGAAAGACTGTAATTGGGTGTTGGACATCTGAAAACGAGTGACTACACAACACTCTTGCACACACAAAACCAGGCATAGCATGCTTGTCTGTATCTTGTACCACATGGTCTAATACCTTCATGTCATATCAGCAGTCACTTAGCAAATTTGCTACATTGCGATGTTGCAAAGTATTAAGAGCGAAAGGCAAGGTATTAGTTAAGTGGCATCACTTGCGATGCACTCGCCCATGCAACTCATGCACACAAGCTGCTACTTTCGTACACCGTGACTATAGTTGCAGCTACTTTTTGTAGCAAGTCTTTGTATTATGGTATATAGCATACGTACATAGTATTATGGTAGCATACTACGTACGTAGATGAAGTCTTTGAGGTATCTCTGCTGTATGTTGAAGAGTATGGATGCCTCGTGAAGATCCCCAAGGTTGGCCATGTCCTCCACTGTATCAATACTGGTCTGATGCATCGGCATCAAGTAGTCTGAGGTTAGGGAGGCCCTGGGAAGTGGGTAGGACTGGGAGGAGGAGAAGGAGAGGAGGAGAGAGGAAAGAGGGAGTATGGGGGAGGGCGGGGAAGTCGATTATAGAGTAAGAAATTAATTTGACATTCTTTTGTTACAAAACATGGGGTGTCTCTACAGCTAAGAGTTGTAGTTGACTTGTCGCCTTTGCCTTGCCTTTCTACTACCTCAGTATGTACCTTGTCGTTGACACATGCTTTGCAGCGTTTTTGAGCAACACAATATGCTATCTGTGCCATCGTTTCCCAGTATCTCTATGTATACATTATGAAGCATGAAAATGGTGTATAGGACTGTATACATGTGTATACATACAGTATATATGTACATACCTCTCCATTGTACTGGCTGGTGAAGGTGATTGCAGTTGAGGTGACTTGAGATACCCAGGCTGGTAGCCACTGGCCCTTCAGACCCAGCCACACTCTTAGTCCCTTTTCCAGGGGAGAGAAGGACGGGGATAAAAATCAACAGAAAAGAACCGAAAAAAAGGGAAAAAATGGAAAGAAAATGTACTTAGCCAGTGTGTATCATGAACTCGTTATATGTAATGGCCTAGAAGGGTGGCGTACTAGTTTGTTCTTTCTCTGACTTAAAATTCCCCTTCCTTTTCTTGGGGCTTACACAAACTGTTCCCTCTCTATCGAAGAGGAAACGAGAGAGAGAGCGGGACAAAAAAGGAGAGAGAGGGAGGGGGGGTATTGCTGGTGGAATGTGGGGGTAAGGATGAGTGGGAGGGAGGAAGGGAGTGGGAGGATGTCAGAGTAAACATTAACCAACAGTTCCTATGATGTGGCCCCAAAACCACATGCTACATTGCAATTCATTATCCTCCATGGTATAGGTAAAGAAAAACAGCCGGGAACATTAAGTATACATATCGTGCACGCTTGTTGTTGCACATTCAGCTGTAACGATTGATCAAACGCTACACACATGATGCACGCCAGTGGTTGGACTTTCAGCTGTACCTATCGTTCATATGTTACAGAGTGTAATTACTACACACATGAAACCCAATGAAAATGCTTTTACAGACACTTTCAACATGGCGCTGGCCGGCAACAACGGCCTACGAGCCATAGATACTAGACTTGTATAGGGATGTACGTGTACACAAAAACAACACGACTGCCCTCAATGGAAGACCCTTAAAAACTTTGAAGCTGTTGCAGACATTACACTACAAACAAGAGACACACAGTTAATGGACTGTATGTAGTAACCTCGACCTGGTCTAAACTCCACACCGATTATCTCCAAGTGCTATTGAAGGCCACTTCGGCAGAATCAGCGATGCCAAGTGCATGCTTGGAGCATCCATAACTGATTCATAAACCTCAGGAACTCTTTTTGCACTCACGCAGTACAATCATACATAGACTAGCTGGCAAAACAACATCACGGAAAATGTGAAACTTGTCCGTAAAAAATTGAATAGTGAAAAAATATGCATGCTTGGTAGTTCTGGTAATGTGCAATAAAAGTGCGCCATTTTAGCATCCTGGGTAGTAGAGTTTGTAAGACATTTATACTACCAAAGGGAAAAGTACACCATGACAGTAGGGCATTAGATAGCTTGTAAAAAACACAGAGGAAATCAAGTGTATGCCTTGTTAATACACATGAGGAAATCAAGTGTATGCCAGAAGGATGTGAAGACATTAGGTCAAATTCCACGGTAATCCTGTCACTGTATAATGACCCACTTGTCAAACCATAGCCCCAGGAAACACAGCAGGTTCCATCTACCAGCCAGCCAGACAGCCAGTTAGTTAGTGGACCTATCACTCCTACAGTCCACACGCCCCAGTCAGCTAGGTAACAGAACTAGCTATGCAGACAGTCTTAGATGAATTACCCTATGATGACTTTGGCTCTGCTGAACAGTTTATTGCATGCAACAGACCAAGACACAGTAACACAGCTCATTAGCGCTAAAGGACTAGCTACAGACAATAGTTAATCATGAGCCGCTGCTAATTGAAGCACTACGTGTACGCAGCCCAATCCTTCCTCTATTTCCAACAGGGCCACGGCTGGGTAATACACTGCTTTTGCGTCCCAACTCACCGGCTCCCACAGAAGAGCTCCGGACGCCATGGCCACGCTCTGCACACTGGCGGCGTCTCCTCCCGCAGGCGGTCCAGGACAACAGCTGAACGGTGCCTTGTTTACGAGCTACGGACACCGAGACACCTGTGCGGACCGATCACCCAGCTGACGAAAAACACGGTGCGTAGCCCGTGCACACTTTACACTGCAGTGTTCCAGACACCGCTAACGAACTGTATAGAGCTCAGCTAATAGCTAGCTGTGCTCTTCCTGCCTCTACCGGCTGTCTCTTGAGAATTTGAGGTGCCCCTATCAATTTCAATAGCCACGCCTACTTTAATTAGAAAGCCCCGCCTGTAAACCACGCCCTGTTAGTGCGCATGCTCGTCCTTGCTTTTGGTGCATGCTCTGGGTACTGAATGTTACGTTGATAATGAACACCCGTGTAAACTAAACTATTATCTACAGGACATATTCAGCAGTGCTGAAGCCACTTCCTCACTTCTTTTGAAACCAGCCACATTCCCATCCATTCCTCTTCCGCCTCCCCCATTCTATATCCCAGCTATATATACATTGTAGCCCATAGCCCACATCAGGAGGTTGCTCCTAGTCATCAGAGAAATAGAATGAGACCTAGCAGTATATCAGGAGCTCCAGACTCTTTGCAACACATCTCGACCAGTGAAGACGGGCATCAGCTGACTAATGCAGAGTCTTTCTTCTCAAATCACTATGTAAGGTAACAGTTTTACTTTTTACGAGAAAATATTAATTTGGTGTGCACTTTACTTGGAGCACCTCTAGCCATTTCTACGAACACTAGAAATCATAAACTTCTTAGGTCTGTGTTGCCATTTCTACGAACATTAGGAATCCTTAACTTGTTCAGGATCAGAAATCTATGTATATAATAATACTGTATTGAATGATTGTGCAGTGTCCAACTGTAGCATTCTCTCTTTCTTCATATGAATTCGATTCCATCACGAAATTCTTTGACAGTGATCTGGACTTCTAAAAATTGTGCGTTGCTATTGTGTGGACATGTGTACAAGCAGTCCCTTTCAATTATTATTCTGCTTAATGCAGCTACATAATTATTGAAACTGCATGCCATGTATATCATTGACTAACGTGTACAAGTAACAAAGTCAGATGATATGAAAATGATATATACAGTGGACGAGGTTAGGTGTTCTCTTCGTACGATACGTAGTGAGGGTTTACCTGCGCGTAGTCCACGTCTTCCATACTGTGTGGAGTACTCAATGACTCGCTAGGCCTCGACCTCACCGTAGTAAGATTCTTGTAGCTGGTGGACTTATCTACTTTGCTTTCCGTTGCTCCTCTGTCTTTACCGGAAGGTTGTACGCTCGGAGAACTGCCAGCTTCCTCGTTCAGTGCTGTAGATAGGGACCTGCATGTGGCAGAAGGGCTGGAGCCTGCGAGTCGAGATCTCATACGACATCCAGAGACTGAGTCGATCGAGTCAATCTTCCCGAGCCTGGTCTTTGCAATGGCCTCGAAAAACGGCCGCATATCTGGGAATTCCTCGAGGAGCTCGCGAAAGTTGTGACTGGAGAGAGAGAACAGGTCGCACATTGTCCCTGCCTTGACCGAGGCCACCCTCCTCTCCTCAGTCAGCAGGCAGATCTCCCCGAAATGCTCTCCCTCTGCCAGATGAGTCACGACGGTTCCGTCTCCGGTTATGACCTCCACGACTCCTCTCTGGATGAAGTACATCCTGTCCCCCTTGAAGCCCTGTCGGACGATGTATTCCCCGGGGAGAAACAACTCAAAGTGAAGTCGAGTGAGGACCGCCGTCGTAAAGGCTTCGGGAGCGTTTTCAAAGAAGGGCACTGACTGGATCAGCTCTTGGCAGTTGTGCTTGAGGATTTTCTGCACGCACCAAAGAAAGCATTATGATATTAACACTAAAATTCTTTTGCAAGCACCAAAGTGGACTGAATAATAGCTGAAAACATAAACCCTATAAGACAACTAGTGATGGTTTTGATGGTCCTTTTATTAATTTGCTGTAGAGTGAAAAGGGGCTCTACGACTCTATAAGGGACACTATTAGCCCGTACTAATAAATTGGTGTATTATATGCCTCTGAATAAGGGACACTTTCAATGTACCCAATGCGTCCCTTATATATTTATATTCAGAGGTTTCACACCTCCTTTAGTCCTTGTGAAAGGCCATTGAGTATCGCCTCTTCGTTGAAGAACTTGCGACGGTAGCGGTGCTCATAGTACTCTGTTATCTGCTGTCTCACATCCTGCGGCAACTTTCGATAGCGCATGTACTCCTCCACCTGGTTCAACTGTAAAGTGTGAGAATAGTATTATTATAATAGGTAAAAGATAAATTTCAGTTTTGAGATTTCCATCTGCCTTCTTGCACACGCATGCATGTGTATACCTGGATGCAACATGTCAAAGTGTTTTGCAAAAACTAAAAATTCCAAGAGCAGCCCAAATAAATCCACTGCAGTTATGTAGAATTGAGTTTGCACAAAGTAGACGGTTTGAAGTGGAAAATGCAGAAAGCAGAATAAAGTGTTATGTCTTATAGCCAACAGACCTTCTCATTGTATATTCTGCCAGATGAATCAATAGAGAGTAGCAGTGTGGACATGTTGCCAATGAAGAGGGCGTAGAAGGTGGCCCCTATCATCATGCTGACAATTGTCAGCCACACTTCAGTGGTGTTCTGAGGTGGCCAGCGACCAAACCCGATGCAGAGCATGTGAGAAATGGCCTTGAACAGCGACCACGAGTACTGCTCCCCAACCGATGCATTCTGCCATAACAAAACAAACTGCATAGTGAAAATACCTTAGAGTATAGCTTTTAGACAAGAAAGTAAGCTAGAGAGCGCATGGCAGGCTAGCTATAAATGATGAAGACACATCACCTGGAGATGGTTGATGGTGATCCAGGAGTCAGAGGGATACTCCTGTAAGACTGGGACCAGGAACTGGATGCACCCGTTCCAGTGGGACAGGAGCAACATGAGCACGATCAGCTTGAGAATACGCATCACTCCAGCCGCCAAGTCAAATAGCTATAGAAAGACAAGTCGATCTTTCTGGAACAATGTGGCAATTCAGTGAAACCTCTGAATAAGGGACACCTTTGGGACAAGTGTCCTTTATTCAGAGGTTCCTATTTCGTATTAGTATTGGGCAGAACCAAGTGTCCTTTAAAGAAAGGTGTCCTATATTCAGAGGTTCCTATTTAAGGGGTGTATTAGTATTGGGCAGAACCAAGTGTCCTTTAAAGAAAGGTGTCCTATATTCGAAGGGAACGGTTTCACTGTATTAATTCCATACTTCTTCCCATCTACTCATGAATCGAAGCAGACGAGAGAGGCGCAGTAGTTTGAGCAGGCTGAGGAGCTTGGCCAGTCGTATCACTCTCAGCACCCTGGAGGCTTTGAGCAGGGACGACGACACTTGTCCCTGACTCAGCAGTATGATGCAGTAGTCAAAGGGGAACGAGGATCCAAGGTCTATCACAAACCATGACTTCATGTACTTCTTTGCCACAATCTTTGGATCCAATATTACCTGTAATGTGTAATTCAGCACCTATAACTTTGTTCTTTAGTTGATATTTTTACCTCATTGCTACTTGATATGTTTTGCTCATTGCCTTTTGTACTTTATCGCCATTTGTATAATTATACACTTTTGCTGCTATATCATTTTAAAAACCTTTTTTGCTGTTTTTATATATACCAATTGCTGTTGTTTGTACTTCAATTACCTCATCGCTATTTGTACTTGCAGTTGCTATTATAATACCTCTTCGTCGGGGGCCAACACTCCAGTTCGAAAGTTGATGAGGACGTCAGTGAGAAAGAGAAAATCGACTAAAATGTTGATTGTGAGCCACTCGGGGTTCAGCTGCTGGTCGCTGTAGTAGGCAATGCTGACAGGCAGCACTGCCACGGTGAATATCAGCAGCATGGTCACCACAATGTCCCAGTACCACCTGCAGTTGACAAAAGTTTTATCAGCACCGTTTTAGTGCATAGCTGTAACCAGCAACGTCGTTCTCAGGCCATTTATTGTGGAGAAGGAAACAGAACGGCCTGGGAACGAGGCTATGGTAGTAGCACCGCATAGGTTTAGCTAACTAAAGAGGTATGGGACTTACTTGAAGTTGCTGCAAGGATGAATCATCCATCTCATGCAGCATGTGCGATCCTGGTCTTCCTGGGCCTTCAAACAGTGCTTCTTTGTGCCGTACATCTTCATGGCTATCTTGTTGTCTGGAGAGACGTGGAAGAGAGCGCGGATCACGCTAGTTCGCCAGCTGGTCCTGACGCTCTGCGGACTGCTGTACGCCATCCCTGTTGCCGAGTTGCTTCCGCCGCTGTCGACATTCACTGCAGTTTCTGACTCAGTGGTCGCCATTATTTCTGGGCCGAGAGCACTAGCGGAATCTGCCACGTTTCATATCTCCTTCACTTGAGTTTGCATGACGATCATCGACGGAGAATTTGGTTGCCAAGTTGCATTTTTGAACGTACGTTCGATCGCGCGCGCTATATACGCGCGCCGATAAAATCTTATGCGCATGCGTGCATGTTGGTATTTACTGCACGCGCGCTCACGTAAAATCAGACCCGTCTCTCCGCCGCCTGGTATATAGAATAAGAAGGGACCGCACCACTCTCCTTGCTGCTGATTTGATGAAATAAGTAGGTTTATTTCCAAATTTCATTATCTGTCGTGTTTTTTTTTGGAATGACTGGCGATACTAGTCCCTACCGCAGTCCGCAGGTCGATTAGCTACGCTGCTGCTTAGCTATAGCTAGCATTCTCCAAATCATAATAGTTAATCTGTGATTAATGGTCTGCACTTGTAAACTTGGATAAAAACATTGAACAATTTTTGCACGAGTTGTATATATTGTGAGCTAGCTAGAGTTTTCTGGGGTGGTCTTGTTGTAACTGAAAGTATGTTCAGGTACTACAACTAGATTATTATCTTATCAATTCCTAGGACTACTCTGCTATGGCAAGTCCTAATACGGCAAAATGCACCGTCTGCTCCAACCTGTTCCAAGACCCACGCATGCTGAAATGCCTGCACACCTTCTGCCTCCAGTGCATCAAGAAGGAGTCGGAACGTCAAGGTGCAAAGGAGGAACTCAAGTGCCCCTTCAGGGCTTGTGGGGAAAAGGTAGCAATTCCAAAGGGGGGGATTGAAGCCCTGCCCCTTGACCAACGCAAGGCGCACGAGGCTGAAAAATTCCGGTACGGTGAAAAGCTTCAGTCGGGCAAAGAACTGTGCGATGTTTGCGTGCGCAAGGAAGGCCCGGCGGTTGCATTCTGCGTGAACTGCTGCGAGTTTCTCTGTGGCCTGTGTGAAACGCATCACCGCTCGGCACGGAAAACCCAAAAGCACGAGGTGGTAACCGTGTCCGAAGAGAAGAAGGAAAACGAAAGCTACGATTTGGATAAGGCGTTTTCCGACCCTCCTGTGCCGTGCACTAAACATAAAGACGAAGTTTTAAAGTTTTACTGCGAGGCGTGCGATGAATTGATTTGTCGTGACTGCATGGAGCTGTCGCACAATGAACACCGTAGCAAGTGCGACCGAATCGAAGCAGTAGCCACTTGTGCAATGGAAAGCCTGCAGAGCTGTGCCAAAGATAGCCCAGGCGCAGTAGATGCAGTTAAAGCTGCAATTGCCCTGTGCAAAAAAGCGATGGCTAAAATTGATTCGCGAAAGAACGAAGTCGATGAAATGATTCAAAAAAGCCTGAACAACGTCCGTGAAGCACTCCTCACGCAAAACGAAGAAATGTGGATGGGGAAGACAGCGAAGCTCAAAATGCAGGTAGAAGCGCTCAAAAAAGTGGGCGATGATCTAACGTATGCGCTGAGTCTCATTGAGAGTGCAAAATTCTGCACCCCAGCCCAGCAGCTCTCCACTAAGCAGGTGGTAGCCGAGAGAGTAGAAGAGTTGATGAAGCGCTACCATTACAGCGAGCGCATTCCCCTAGAAAGTGCCCATTTTTTGACAAAGATCGCAGATGAAGACGTCATCCATCAGATGATAGACCTGGGTCAGATAACTGGTGGGTCACACGCACAGTCTTGTACCTGCGATGCTGGTTTTGTGCCGCGGGCAGTTGTCGGGAGAGAGCGCACCGTTAAGGTCACTGCTCGGGGTGCAAGTGGCCAACCTTTCTCTTATGGCAAGGAAACGGTAACTGCTCAGCTTAGTCGCCTGGAATCAAATGAGCTTAGCATGCATTGTCAAACTACTGATCACGGTGACGGTACGTATTCACTAGCTTTCACGGCACAATCAGCCGGATTTTATGAATTTCAAGTGAAGAGTAGTGGCCATGAAATTCAAGGTAGCCCATTATACTTCACTGCACGAGAGCCTCAACCAACACCGTACGATGCTCTTACATCTAAAGTCGTCTTTGGTACCTACACAAATGCCTGGGACGTAGCATTCACGGAGAATGGTACAATGGCGGTTGCCGAGCGTGGGTACCACACAGTTAGTCTGTTTTCGGTCGACGGGACAAGACTGCACACTTTTGGCAAATGTGGCAGTGGTGGGAGTGGGAATGATTATTTCAATTGCCCTTCCGGTATAGCCATTATTGGTGATGAGATGTACGTTGCTGAAGATGGCAACCACCGTGTTCAGAAAATCAACATAAGCGGTAGACAACACGTAGTGAATTTTGGTTCCAATGGAAAGGGTAATGACCAGTTTACCAACCCCCGTGGCATCTGCATCCATCCAGAAGGAAAGCTTTTCGTTGCTGACTTCAGCAATAACCGAGTACAAGTGCTCAACCTTGATGGTACCTTCGTCCACTCCATTACTGGAGATCCTCAGAATGAAGAAAGCAAGTTTAAAAACCCCTGGGGACTGGCCTTTGACCCCCAAGGCTACCTACACATTGCTGCTCAGGGTTCCAAGTGCATAAAGGTTTACACCTCGGAAGGACAGTATGTGAAGAGCTATGGTGAAAATGTCATCAACAACCCAGCCGGAATTGCCGTGGATGAAGAAGGCTACGTTGCCATATCTAATTCCAGTGATCGCCTCTGGATCTACAATCCAGACCACACCCACATCGTGAATACCATTCAAAATCTCAGCGGTCCGGTTGGCATAGCATGCGATAACAAAGGTGTTTTCTGGATTGCTGAGTCTGGTAATAGCCGTGTACTGACTTTACAGTGAAAGACTGCAGTACTTGCAAACTTAATTAAAGCAGCAGTCGCAATGGCATACATAAACAGTACCGTACGCTGTGATTTGTAATTATACTTGACGTGCAGAATCAAGCAACTTTACTGCAAACTTCAACCAGCGGTCGCAGCCATACATAAACATTACTGTTTGTACATTACACTTTACGCACTTTACGCACAGAATCACAAGCAATAAAAATTTATATTATACACAAAATCACCATCCACACACACAGATTTGTATATATATTCATGATGAAGTTGTGGGAGTTTTACTATCCTGTGCGGAGCCAGAACTGGCTGTCGTGTTAGTCTGTGAGAGTGCGCTGGAGAGCTGGCTAACAATGGCAGGGTTATTGATAACAGCAGAGAGGAGGGACATTGATATTGGCGTTGTGCTCGGCGAGAGGGCGGTTGGACTAGCCAACTGCGAGCTACTGGACACCGACACAAACCTCAGAGCCGCCGCAAGAGTCGGCGAAGAAATGGCTGAAATTGGTGACTGCGCTCTCGGAGTTGTCTTCCCCGATATTTTAATAGCCGACACCTGAGGCGACGTAAGAGTAAGGGGAGCTGGTTTCGTCTTCAGCTGACCTACTGAGGTGACGGTAGGTGATTTGAGGGTGGGGCTCTGGAGACGAGCGGCCACGCCCTGCAAGGGTATTCCCGCCCGAGCGTGCTTCAGGTTCTTCACCTGGTTATACAGCGGGAGCCCGAGACTCCCGTATTGCTCCTGGTATGCCTGTAGCATGTCTAGAGACGGCTGCACGGACAGTATAACAGGTGCAACGCAGCGCTGCAGCAGTTGAGTGATTTTCGTCGCTGCTTGGTGTTCGGTTGAGCGACTGGGTGTTGCAGCATCGACGTACTGCGATTCTTTCTTCAGTTGCGGTAGAACGAGGCTGGTGATGCATTCTTGCCCCAGTTCAATCAACCCAGCCAGTGCGCCGTAGTGAACTGCCAGTCCCTGCGTGTTGTTGTTCAGAGCCTGCAAGAGCACTCGTGTCACCCTCGACTGTAGACAGTTTGCGCTATTGTTGTGTTTCTTGCACATCTCGGCGAGGATTTTGGCGGCCTGGTCGCGAAGGTACCAGTGATCTTCTGACTCTGGTCTCGCACACACTTGCCTGTTGATCATACACGAGGTAATTGCAGGGACCAACTCGTGCAGACATCGATCGAGGGACAGCGTAGGGTTGTCAAACAGAGCCTTAACCATCTTTAGAAGAAACTTTAGGGTCTGGAGCTTTCTCTGCGACATGCCCACTCGGATTCCTTCGGTGATGAAACTAGAGAACTGTGGCAGGAGTTGGTAGAGTCCAGGATCACTGGAGAGACTAGCAAGGGACTCAATCCTCTTTGTGTCTGAGATACCGACACACGCATCGGATATCTCCTTGTAGTAGAGCTGTTGCTCCAAAGAGAGGGCGTGGGCCTGGAGAGGCTTGAGTTTTGACCATTCTGTTCCGCTAGACACTTCTTCTTTGGAGCTCTTTTTGCTCTTCTTGTCGAATCGTACGTCCTTGGTGTGAAGCAGACCATCACTCGGCTGGGCACGGTCGTTACCCAGAGCCTTTTTCTTCTGGTCTTCCAGAGTGGAGGGAGCTGGATTTTCAGGTATGGATGGCTGAACACCGTCTACTGCGAGCCAGTGAGCACGTAGAGTGGCGTCCACTGGAAGAGCGGGCATGGGGGCGCTAATTAGATCCGCTAGCTCGAATTCCTTGTCGTCTGGGTAGAAATACTCTTTGCTGCCGCCCGTGGTGTGTTTAAAGGGGCAGTGCTCGGCGGAATCGAACCCATAGAGAGGCTCAATGTTCTTGGCTCTCATCGCGCAGCCCAAGTCCGAGCACTTCATTCGGTGACGCTTCGAGTGTCGCATGAACTTGAGCCCGTCCTGCACGACTTCTTTCAGCCTGTACTCGACGTCTTCAGCTATGGTTGTGGCCACGTCTTCGCTGATACTGGAGACCCCCACGCTCTCTCCAATCATCTTAACGGACTCGTACGAGAGCAGATGACGAACCGGACCCTCGTCTGTCTCCATATCGCTCGCCATGATCCCCCCCCCCCGGCCCCTAGAAGAATACTGTAGTGAAAGTGTTAAATTTACCGCGACAAGTAGCAAAGGGGTTAAATTACATTGTTGCCACGGAAACGGAGATACAGCGCATGTGGAGAGATGGCGGCTACTGAGGTTGATTCCCCTCCAGTCGTGAGCACAAAGCGATTGGAGGGTAGTCTGGTAGCTCCCCCGACCCCTCTTCTAGTGCCCAACCATCTCACGGCAATAAGTGAGTCACTGTAGCGCCGCATACATAGCTACGCACTAGCTACCGCACTCACAATGCGAGAGCCGTTGCGAGTCTTCGGAAGCTGTGCACTCTATTTCCACAGAGACTTTCTTTGCTGGGGGATCCAGCGGTGTTCTTCAGACCAAACCCTCTGTCCTACACTTCAGTGGCTACAGAGTGGGACATACCCACAAACAAACACTAGTGAGTTAGCAGCTACATAGATGTAATGACAGTGTAGTATCCACCTATTATAGCTTCTGTACTGGATATCAGTTATTCCGAGTTGACTTTGTAGACAGATGACAGATGAAGAAATGGTCTTTTCTTTTGTCTGCAGAGAGTCATCAATGCTTCCAAAGACAACCAACATATGCACATTATCCCTCCGTCCACACCTCATTTCTCAATTCACTACACCAAGAAGGTTAGCAATCTACGCACTAAGTACGGTAACACTTAGTATTATAAGGATGGGCATGGCACCTAGCATCATAGATGTATGGGTTAATATTACCATGAGTTTTTCAATGGTGCAGTGTATAAGCGTGAACTTTTTCTGCAGAAGGGTCGACTGGTTCCAGGGCTAAGTCTGGACATTACCGTACAGTTCAGGCCCACAGAATGGAAGTACTACTACGACTGCATACGCATTCACTGCAAGGTCTGTGATACACTTTCACTGTTCACTACCCATTGAACAATCAATTAAGTAGCTAAACATACAATTTGGTCAGGTGTATATTTCAGAATAATAGCAATGGTACTTTGCTTATTAGAACGCAGCTTCATCACGTACTAGCGTGAAGACTTTGGTTGGAGCACAAAACTGGCTTACTACATCCTTATGACCCACTCATTACTTTCCTATATTGTGCATCTCCACAGGATGATCAGAACCTACTGGTACCCATTCATGCCTACCCAGTGATGAACACGGCAAAGTTTCCCAGCAACGTCCGGTTTCCCACCACCCCCGTCGGTCGCACACGCAACAAGACCCTCACTCTGGAGTGTGACGTCCCCGTGGACTTTGAGTTTCAGCTCGCTGTCTTGCAGCACCATCCCGCCTTTGTCATCACTCCCATGAGAGGTTTTTATACAGACACAAGTGATGTACCACATGAGTTGAAGGCACTATGGCTTATATGCAGGCACAAATGATGTTGTTTTGTGTTGCGTAGTACGTGCATTACCCTTCAGTTAAAGGAGCTACTGATGTATAATAGGCACACCAGTCACTGAAAATGAGCTAACCCAGCAAGATCAAGGGTTAGTGATTGCTGGAACCAACCCAATTGCACAGCAAAGGCATAATTATACATACAGGCATAAATAGGTATACAAAGTGTGTGCCGCGGGCGAGTGCAGTAGTTCCTTTAACTAGTGACTGAGAGGTGTGTATGGTTTCAATTACTGCAGGTGTTGTTCCAGCTAATGGGAAGGTTGATGTGATGGTAACATTTGCTCCGACCGAATTCAGCACTGCCATAATGAAGGTCAAGTTGGAGCTAACGCAGTTCAACTCCTCTCCTCTGGTCTGTACCTTCTCTGGGTCTTCTCTCCCTGGACTTGACATGTGAGTCAGTCTCCATTAGCCTAGTCCCCAGACACACACACTCTCTCATGCATGATCACGCTGAAAGGTTTAATGGCAGCAGTAGCACTAAGACCATAGACCACACGAGCCAATAGAGTGAAACTTCTGATAAGGGACACCTTGGGGGGTTTGGAAGTATCCTTTACTCAGAGGTAGTATAATGCACTAATGAATTAGTATGGAGCAGAATCAAGTGTCCTACTTATGCGGAGGGTCATTTTTCGGAGGTTTCACGATAATGATAGTGGAGAGCCTGAAGACAAGGCTAGGTTTCCCATTCATTCATCTATGTACTTCCAAATGCTTTTTCCCTATATAGAGACTCTGTCAGTGTGTGTTCTAAGTCAACTCCACCAGCTAAACTCACCAAGACAGTCGCCCTACCTCCACTATCTCACCTGCAACCAGGCCCTGGTAGTAAGAGGAAGAAGAGTGGCGAAAAGACTGGTGCAAAAACAAAGAAGAAAGAACTGTCCACTAAGTCTTCCACAGGGGAAGACCCTATAAGAATTGACTGCCCGGCAGTAGTCAGTAGGTTACTGACACAGAAACCCTCTCACCAACTTCTGGTGTCAGACTCACACCCGGAAGCATTGAGCTCACCAGGTGGTGGGTCAGACCGACACGAGAGAGAGGGAAAGTTTCTCAAACGAGTCGGGCAGATTGCCAAAGAAGAGAGAGCCAACAAACTGAGATGGTTAGAGAATTCCATACATGCCTCCTCAAAGTACTGTGTTCCCCAGAGTATACGTAAATCCTGTATTGCGTGCCTGGAAGTTACAGATATGCATATTAGCTTATGTGCAGTACACAAATGCCAGCCTTTTTTGTAAATCCGCAGTATAATTCGCATGCTTAGAGTATACATATATGCACACTGTCTTTCTGAGCATTTCCTAGTCCTAAGCTGATGTTATGCTCTATCTTTCACCGCACCACAGGGTGACTCAGCTAGGCTCTGAATCTCCCACACCATCAGAAATGGAGGCAGTACTGCAGGAGAGGAGCAGGGCCACCCAGCTCTACCTCCACCACTACTGCCACGAGCCAGTGACTGGCTCTGAGTTTACTCACACACATACTCAGTGCTTCTACAGACGAACGTGCCGCCTGGTGAATGAGGTAAACCGGCTTCTGATTCCACCAACTTATACTTACTTCTTGATACATTGGTGAATGTATACATTGCTCTTAGTGAACGAGGTAAACCAGCTTCTGATCCCACTAACTTATTTTAGAGCTGGGTAATTTAAATTGCGCAATCTGATTGGTCCGTGCGCGAACTCTAATTCGAGTAGAGCGAATTTTCCGGACTCTAAATAAACTTTCTCCGGACTCTAAATTTGGCGCATGCGCAATGGCTCACTTACGTTGGGCGGAGTCCCCCAACGGTCTGCGAAGGTACGTAGAGGCGAGCCCGTTGTCGACGTCCTCCCTGGGCCTCTCGCTCGACTTCCCAGCGAGAAAGCAGCGCTCGTTCGCGGTTTCAGATGCACCGAATTTGAATTGCGCGCGTAGTTTCCTGGACTCTCGGCATCTAACTTATATTTAGAGCTGGGTAATTTAAATTGCGCAATCTGATTGGTCCGTGCGCGGGGGCCCTTAGTAGCGTCCTCGCTGCGCTCGAACGCCAACAGCCCAGGGCCCCCGCGGCTCTCTAAATGCGCGTAGTTTCCTGGACTCGGCATCTAACTTATATGTAATATACTGATACTTGATTCTTGGTGAATGTATGTGTACTCTATACCCTACACAGCATCCCCCAGTTTCTCCAAAGTTTGATCAGTACTCCAACAACGTGTGGCAAAAGAGGCAGAGAACAAGACTGGCGTTTGTCAGGGCTGCCAGGAAAGTCTTGATACAGGTCTGGACACAACTCAGAAAGAAATTGTCACTTATTATAGCCAATGCTTGAATTTCCAGGTGAGGGTGCAGAGGAGATTGGAAAAGATTCGCAAGTTGGTTCATAGATTAAAGAATGGCACAGAAGCAGAGGAACTACTGCATAGCCAAGGTAAAGTTTTTATTGTAGGCTATGTGTAGAGACATAACCATCTCCTACTAGATAAACCTGAGGGGTTGTTGGTCCCAGTACCGCTGCCAGTGTGCAATTTTCTCCCACTATCCTTCCCAAAGTCTACCACACACACCGCCACACAATCCTCCAGCAAATCTTCTGTCCAAATTACCTTCCCAGTCAAGCCAACTGAGGTCTCAGTACAGAGGAATATCCCACTCATGGAACTCAAGGTATGCTTCTATCAAAAGAACCTATAAGGATACTAGTTGACACTAAGGTTCAAAAGGCAGTGATTTTGTGTGTGTCCTCTCTTTGACTGTATAGGTCCCTAACCAGTACCAATTGCTGGGATATACTACCATGTTACCACCACTATTTGGGACCTACATCCCTCCTGGTCTACCCAGACCTCTCAGAACAGGAGCAGAGGTACATAATTATAAAGATTACTGTTCTTAGCATACAGCTATGTACTACTTACATAACTTTACAAAAGCAAAAGTCTTGTTTGCATGTTAACGATCGTTGATGTCTAGACTTGACAGTGATCGGTGAAGGCTCTGCCCTCGCATTAGCCGTTTCTTCTCCACTTTTAGTTTTCGTATTTCGTCGTCTTTTGAGCAAATGACAATCTTCTTTTCAAGCTCTGCTTTCTCACACTGCTGATTAAGAATCACAATTTTTTTCTCGGCAAGCTCCTTTTCCGCTATGCAAAGGTCTCTTTCCAGTCTCATCAGTTGCAATTCAGCAGCTTGTTTCTCCTTTTCCTTTCGCTCTTTCAAATCCTCTACTTCTTTTTTTAGCTGTTTTACTTCCTCGTTGTACTTTGACTCGTTATCTTTCTTTTCTTTTTCTGTGGCTGATAACTTTGCTTTTAATTGCTGTAGTTCGTTCTCGCTCTCCTCAATAGTTCTTTCTGCATTGCTCTTGTATTGTGAAAACTGATGGGATTTTTCGTCAATTTCTCGCTGAAGTGCTTCTTTTGCATCACCTTCTTCTTGTAGCAGCTTTTCCAACTCTTTGATTCGCTTGTGAAGCTTTCCTTGCGCTCTGTCGTGTAGCTCTAGCAATCGTTTGTTCATCATTGCAGCTTCTTCCTTAAATGAGGGGATAAATACAGAGGCTTGCTTTGGGAGTGTCTCGGTTCCTGTTTCTTCAATTGTGAATTTAGGATGTACTTCTTCTTGTGAGTAGCTTGTGTTGCTGTCGTCAGTGGACGTAGGAACCGGGACATCTGGGTTAGTACTCCTGTCCCCGTCGATAATATCGCCGTCATGGTCTGCCAAACCCTTTCCAGAAAACCCCAAGTATCCTGAGTCCGGCTCGGGATTTTGGCCACTTTGCTCATGCTCTACCAGCTTCTTTTTGGTGTAGGATGTGACTAGGTCTTGTGAGTCCCTTGGGTCAGACTCTTCTGATATCACTGTCAGGAGGTGTAAACACAAGGCAAATGCATGTTTATAAAATTCAACTACACCTAGGATAACACTTTTAACAGAGAAAAGAGCTGCCGTTGGTGGGACTTGAACCCACGGCACTCTGTTCTCTAGACAGGTGCTCTACCACTGAGCTACCGGGGCAACTCAGCAGGCTAGGCTCACAAGTCTGCAATACAACACAACACAAGGCAAAGGCAAACCCCAAACTCTGGGCTATGGCACAGAAACCCGTCATTTAATGTGTATTGGATTACAAAGCACTAGTTTCACACTGTTATTAGTGGTCTAGTTCCGTTTGACTCACCGCTCAAACTCGGCAGAGGTATATCCAGACCGGTAATATCCTTAAGCATTCCGTAAAACACCACATACTGGTTGGCGTCATTTTCAATCTTGTTCAGGGCCTTTGTTATCATATCACGAGTGTTAGAGATACTATTTGCATCTTGCCAATTAGCTCTTCTAAATTCATCGTTCAGAGTTTCCTCGGCATCTGTTGTTGCCTTGATGTTGCGCGTAAGCTTCACCCTATTCTCGTTTACAGCCTTGTACTGAGCTGTTGACACTCCAGCTGACTTCTTTGCTTTCTGTGCTACTTCCACACTTTCTTGCTCTGCACTCATAGAAGCCATGGTGTGCTCAATCGGTGGAAAAACACTTGCGCCGCCTTTGTTATTACTGAGTTCATAGAATAGCCCTTGAGGAGATAGTGGGAGTTAGTCATGCCATGATATCATGTGACCACAAATTCCAATGAATACCAACAAATGAATATTACGCAATCTAGTAGTGCCAACCCATAAATTTGTCACACACAGGCTGAACGTGAAAACCTTGGACATCTCTCAGGAGTTGATCCAGCCTTCCTAAGGTCATCTTCCCTCACTACTATCGCTCCATCTCACCCTCTCGCCTCTCACCAACAACCACCTCTCACCGTCCAAGACATAGAGACTGACCCCGAGAGAAGAGATGCAGTAACTGAGGGGTGTGGCAACACAACTATTCTTCCTTTAGTACCGCCTCAAATTAAAACCGAGGCATATTCAGTGGATATATTTGTAAGTCATTAACAAAACACAATGTTGTTTTTGGCCGCAGGACACTTTTTTGATGTTTTCTGTTTATCCACTGCAGAACCCATGTCCAGGAGTTGTCCACTATGTCCCACCACTCCCTCATTCAGAGGTGACTCTAGACCACACCTTCTTGCCCCTCCCACTCTGCCCACCCTCCTCTGCACACTCTCACCCACCACTACACCCCCAGGTACTGTGTCATCCAATGCAGCAGTGTGTATACTAACTGTGGGTTCCGTGATCCGTACTGCATACACATTTCCTTGATTTCCTACTTCCTTTTTGGTAGATTAAAGGTAACGTATACTCTACAGTTATGAGTATAAGACAGGAAAGACTGTGCGTGTACATATATATATGTGTGACAACACTTTTCCAGAGCTGCACAGGGTGCGACATGGACTTATGACACATTTACTCAGCTTCTTATTTCGCTGCAGGACTACATCCCGGGTTTGATGCACTGGAAACCGTTTCCCTCTCTGTGGCTTGTGGCAAATGAAAAGAGAGATGTTTCACAACCTCTTCATAGCCAAAGAACGTCAGTTGAAACTAGAATGCAGCCACACAATGCAAACAACTTTACTCTGCGTTGTGACAGAAATTAAAAGAGTGTAATGTATGCACTATAGGCGAGACCCGTTCTTGGAGGACCTGATGGCAGAGATCTCAGAGCCACAATTGCTGGGTGGTCCTCAGCCTGATGACATCATTGAAGAACCCACCAGGTACATATGAGCGTAACTACGTATATATGCCATACAAAAAAGACCGCCAGATCCGTATGTACACATATTGACACGTAAAGAACCAGATGCCTCACACTTAATTTTCATGCCAGGCAAGGGAGGATTAAAAGAGAATCCACGGCTTTTTTCACAGGAATATTGTATGTGTGCTCTCTTCCTTGTGTTTCTACTCGTATCCATGCAGCTCTGAACTGCTGCCTACTCCAACACCACAGATGGTCAGGTCCCTGTTCCATGTCCCCCTGGAACAGACCACGGACCACATGTATGCAATAACTGCCGTATGACGTGCTACTACTAATAGGCTACTAACTTCATCACATGTTGTGTCACGTGTATATACACAACAACACCTGTCTTGCATATCCAGGGCCGGTGATGTGACAGCTGTTGGGAATACCACGGGACTTGTCTCTAGAATACACCAGCGGTTGGAACATGCTATGGCACTACTCGATTCTACCGATGACAGTGGGAAATGTTGATACAAAACACTTGTGGTCTTGCATTTTTACCCACAATTGTTATACATACGTATCTCAGTCTCAGTTACAGTTTTTAGTCAAACGTGTGAAGGTGGTGCAAAAAATCTGAAATTGTGGAAGGGAGTAGGGAAGTAAGCTTATAGTGTCAAAGGTTTTTACCAGTCCTCTGGTGTAGCTACTGCATTTTATTCAGAGTAAAGTTTTTTCAGCTGTGGGCCACTGCTTTTAGTCTTCTTTGTGGTTGGTTTGAGAGAGAGAGTTAGCCTCTCCTCTTGCAGTGAGAGTTGCTTTTGCATTGAATCACCTGGTCTAGGCTCCAGGCTGTCATACATTGACTTTTCGATGGGCCAATTGGCAAAACTTCTTTCTTTTTTCAGTTTCTTGTCTTCCGTGCTTCGAAGCTCTTCTGCGTCCATTTTTGGAGGCAGCGGCGGAGCATCTGTCTCGAAATTGAGAACTGCAGCTGCACTGGAAACAGCGCTCTCGTCGGCACTACCGTCTTGATCGAGACTGCTCGGAGCCAGCAGGGATGGTAGGGAGTCAGCCGTCTCACACCTTACGCCTTCATCGGGCTCCAAAATGGCGTAAGCATGGGGTGTATTGATCCCAGTGCCGTTGAAGGCGGTTGTGTCGTTGCAGTTAGCGGCGGCTGCACCCCTCTCATCTTCCTCAAGGATGTTCAGGTCGCTGCCATGGGGGCTGGTCAGCCAGCGCTTCTGCCCTCTCACGCTCTCGTAGAGATGGGGGAGGCTCGGTTCTGGGTTCTTTGTGTCGGGGAGTGAGAGCTGGTTTTGCGCTGGGTTTGGGAAGCTTTTCTGCATCAAATGTTTCCTCGGGCTTAAGAGTTCAAATGCGGCTGGGGTTAGGTCTGTTTTGCTGGTGTTGTTACTGCCCTGGAAAGAGCTCGTACGCCAGTCATCTTTCAGCATATGTTTTGAGCTAGACCTGCATTGGTTATGGCATATATATTAGTCTTGAAAAAACACTGAATGTGTACGTTTTAAACAGAAACCAAGCTAGGACAACACAATAACCAAGTGTTTTTACACATTGCCGTGTGCATAAAAAATGGTGCTGTGTGTTTTAACTTTACCTAAATTTCAAAAACAGAGCAATTACAATGACCACAAGAAGGATTATAGCTAGCACCAATGGTGTTATTGTGCCAGCTAGTACTGCCCCAAGAGGTGAAGAAGAAGACGCTTGCTGGAGTGCTGGCTCCTTGCACATGCCGCCAATATCGTTGTCTTCCAGTAGCATTCGTGTTTTTTCATCGTCACAGTCAACTACACAAATATGACGCACTCTGTACAACTTCAATACAACTGTTTACATACTCGTACCTTCGCAAATGACTCCTGCACTATCGATAGGGTCACACTGGTCAACTATATAGTGGCACTCATATATACGATCTTCATTGCTGCTACAGATGTAGTGTAGGAGCGGAGATTTCACTGGACGGTCAAAGTAGTGTCCATCCACTGCCACCGAAGCTAACAGAAGGAGAGGAATAGTGCTACTGTGCTTATGTGCCAATTGGAGCTATACTTGATGTGGCGTAGTTTAGTTGTCGACACACTACTTCAGCTTCTCTGTTGCTCCATTGGTCACGACAGATAGAGATCCAGTGGCCCACCACACAAACCTCTACTATACCTTCTCTTGAGTCCCTACCAGCCACCAGTCGAACATCACCTTCAGTACAGTCTCCTACAATGTGGTAGAAGTGTATCAGAAAGTGTTTTTTCTTGCCTATAGTGAGCACAATCTGCCTTATTATTTTGGGGAAATGTACGCAGGAAATAAGTTAGTCAGAAAGCCTTGTAATACTCTCTTAGAAGGTGGTGGCAGAAAATGTGGTGGACACATTCCAAACCAAGTACCAACCCTTGCTACGCGTGTGTGCTGAGAGTAAAAATTGATATTAGTTGACTAGTTCACCGACCTGGGCATGCAATGACTGCTCCGTTAGGTTCACTGCACGAATGTTCTCCAAAAACCGATCCTCTGCAATCTTTCAGGGTCGCTTCGTTGCCCTTACAGTGTAGGTAGGTGTATTGCAGCAGCATGGGTACTTCAGACGCACCTTTAGATGTGGCTAGAGGGTGGCCCCTTACTACTACAGCAGCTGTGATGGAAGCAGCAACTCACTCAAAAGTTAAAGGGAATGTGATAGTTCATAAGGGCAAAATTTAGAAAAAAGGAAACCTAACTTGCACTGGGCCCTGTTGTTTAGTTATAAATTTAGCCCTTATGTACTGATTCCAGTACAAACTGACATTTATTTGGTCTCAAAAATCCGAGCTGCCTGCAAATCACCTCAGCCAATTCATCGATATGTATGAGCCACCTATTTAGACCGTAGTCCTCTGAGAGTTCAAAGTCATCACAGATGGCACCCCAAACTCCATTGTAGCACACTTGAACCACGCCCACTCTCTCGTCTGAGCCACCTACTAGTCGTATCTCATTGTCAGTACAGTTATCCTTGCCTCCTGTTCAATGAACGAGTAACTGAAGATTTCAATAGACCGGCTGTAATTATAACTTACTCTGACAAATGACGCCCACATCTTCAGAATGTGTACAACTGTTCTCTGATTCGTGTGTACACTGTGTTAGATTCATCTCTGTGCCTTTACAGTGGACAGCATCCATCAGAATCGGGTCTCTTCCGGCACCGAAAATACGCAGCTCCAACCCCTATTGGCCCTGTGTATATGCACAGTCGTGTTAACAAATAAAGCAGGTTAGTAAATGAGTAGCATAGTATACTTACGTGTTCCTGTAACTTTTAGGCCCAGTTGCTTACACACAACTCTAGCTTCTAGTGTCTCCCAGTGGTTGTCGCATACAGTTCCCCACAGCCCTCCTGTACACACCTCAACTCTCCCTTCAGAGTTATCTCTGCCACCCACCAAACGTACTGCCCCGTAGGTGCAATTCCCTGTAAGACAATAGAGTGTGGTTGTTTACGAGCATACAATCATGCTATTGAGAAAACTTTGGGGGAAAATAATGTTTGCATAAATCATCACTTACCGAAAGTTGGTAGCTCAATAACACAAAACTTTGTAGTTGTAATCGAAAATCAAGTGACTATTATGTGCCCCCATCACCCAGAATTGACTTCAAGTTAACAGCCGTAGGTTCTTACCAGGGCAAACAATGCCAATATCCTTGGAGTGTGAACAGTCGCTTTGGACAGAGTAGATACAGTTCACTAGCATTGGTTCATCTCCATTGCACAGTACAGAGTCCATGTGAACGGGCCCTGTACTCTCTCCAGAGAAAAACTCAGGGTTGTGTGCAACAGTTAGCACCACTGAAAGATGCAAGAACAGCAGCTCAGTAGCTATCATAACCACCTGGAAGAATCCTGATGCGAGCTTACTTTGGTCTTCTTCAAAAAAGTTCAACTGCCTGCAAACAACTATCGTTTGAGTGTCTTTCCAAAGGTCTCCGCAAATGGTTCCCCACTCTCCATCTAAGAATATTTCCACCCTTCCCTCCCTCTCGTTCCTACCACCCATCAATCTCATGTCACCAATGTCTGCATGAAATACAAAATCCTAGCCTTGCAGTATCTTTCTAGGTCAGCCTAGTAGTACCTGGCGTCTTTTCTGCTGATCCTGAGCCCTCACCAGACAAGGTTAGAGAGATGAGAGGGAAAATAGACACCAGCAAAAGGACACCAAATCCCCACTGCATCTTTAACTTCTCCACGCGTGCTGTGCTCAGTTGCATGCAAATCACCGACTTATATTGCATGCCGCAAACAGTTTAGTTTCAGTTTCCCAAGTTTCAGTTTATACTTGTTGCCAAAACCACAGAGAATGTGCACACAAGTCGCCAAAGTCGCCATATACTTTTAGCAGGAATACACAAACTCTAGTGCATTAAGGCCTGGGTACACACCTGAAGACCACGATGCAGGAATTTTGTCATAAAACTCAAGGACAAACCTCTCTGAATATTAAACTTTGCATGCAACAACTTCATATCATTCTTAATCACAGGACCCAATTGGCCACGCCCACTTGTATTTAATATGAATTTTATTACGTTTTTAACATGTGCCGTTAGGCGGTGGGTTTAGAGTCGAGATTAAGGAATGAATTCGACATGCAAAAAAAGGAAGTAGGCTAATCAATTGTATTCTTCATGCGAGAGAAAATTCACCGCTTACTTACCGCGCGACGGACGGGAGAACATTGGGATAGGCAAAATTAGGCCGCTTTTGCGGACAAACGGTGGGATTACTTGCGTCAGATATCTTCTTTAGTCTCTCGCATGAGTATACAACCTTGTTGATAGTGCATCAACACTTTTCTCGCCTTTTACCGTCGAAGGACCAAGCGCAACACTGCCGCCCAGCGTCAAAACAGCACGTCCCCGCCAAGAAAAGTACCTGGGTTGGTCTCCGTTCCGGGGTGAATTGTCCTCAAACCGACCCGCAAATTACGTAATTTTTAGTAAATCTGATTGGAGAATTTGTGCGTGACCGCGGTAAACTCGCGAAATCCGATTCCGCGGCATGTCAAGTATACGAATTATACGTGGGCGTGGTCACGTAGCGCGCACATCCGGCGTTCCGCGCGTTGGACAGGCCTTAATTCAGCTGAGAACGTCAGAACTAAAATCATGATTGTGTGAGTCTGCTAAACTACAGACTGGGGCTCAGAGTTAGACTGTTGGCAAATGTTCTGTCGTAGTCACTGTTAGGGTCTGGCATCACACGCTGGTAGTCATGGCGCTCGTCCTGTCCAGTCGAAAGGCGTGAGTAGTCAAGTGGGTCGGGTACCGAGGTCGCATTCCCTGGTTCCGGTTCCAAAGTTGCGTACTCTGCCTCTGTGTGATCCAGAGCCGAGTACAGTCCTTCGGGGTCCAAGTCACTGGTACCGAATCCCCCCTCCCTTTTGCCCGGTGAACTCTGCTTGAGTTCTTTGTGTGGGTGATCCAGGACAAAGTAACCGTGACTGCTCGAGGCCCCACTAGTGACCGAGGGTACAGTGATCCCCCTAGGGCTCTGGTCTGATAGTGAGCTGTGTTCCAGCACGGCGTATTCGTGGGTGTCCACGTCTTCATAGAAGCTGGTTTCACGTAGCGAGGGAACGGAAGTGATGGGATTAATTGAGTTCATTATAATACCATCCTGTGTACTGAAGATGAGAGGGAAAGTATATATAATTATGAATGCGCATATAATGATCTGTTAGAACTTATAACCTAACTAAAGAGTAGGTGCCCAGAACCTTACTGTGTGCTTATATTAGGGCAGTGCTATATAAACGCTGTGCATCTGTCGTCGTCAAAATGTCATCATAACCACTTGTCGCCCTTCCGCATGGTGGTCTGTTTCGTGGCCAAACCTTGCCACCACAACAACTCCCCTATTGTTGCCACACTACATCGACCTAACTCTATCACAATCTAGCTAATAAGGACAACTAGAGCTAGAGTTGAACCACTGAGGGGGACGGCCATTAGAATCTATTGTGTACCTGGTGGACAAGTTGGCACACTGGCTCTTTTTTGTCTTTCTTCTTCTCGCACACAAGACCAGAGCTGCCAGGAGACAGAGGAACAGCAGGACCAGGGAAACCACCAGGAGACTTATTAGAACAATCGTGAGGTTGGTTGGGGGGTCGGGACTTTCTGTTGGAGATACAGTTACTGTATTAGATGGCAGGGAGTGGGAGCTGTCCATATTACAACTGCTGGTGTGTTGGCCCAGTGTAACTGAGTGTGAATCGAAGGTGCTGGCAGTGGTAAGTAAAGTTGATAGTACAAACTTTGACATCACATCCGATTGCGACAAAGGTTCTGTTGCGACTCGAATAGGATTGGTTGGGGGGTCGGGACAATCTGGTGGAGGTACAATTACTGTATTAGATGGCAGGGAGTGGGAGCTGTCCATATTATAACTGCTGGTGTGTTGGCCCGGTGTAACTGAGTGTGAATCAAAGGTGCTGGCAGTGGTAAGTAAAGTTGATAGTACAAACTGTGACATCACATCCGATTGCGACAAAGGTTCTGTTGCGACTCGAATAGGATTTGTGGATGTTGGAGAAATGTACACCACTCTATCTGCAGCACTGCTACGTAGGAGCACTGAACTGGTAGCAACTTCACCTATCAATGAAGTAGTTTGTGGGGTTTTCGTTATAGTACTGGTGGTAGTTGGCAGTACATCTGTGTTACTAGTAACACTAGACAGTGTCACTTCTGGTACTTCGGGCCTTGTTTGACTTGCACAATCTTCCAAGTTAAAGTCCTTCGTAATCACATAGCGGCTGTAGGTAGAACAGATGATTTGCATCCCTAAACTCTCGAGAATATTGTGTGCAGCAAGTTGAAGTCTGCCGTTCTCATTCAGGTGTGGCCTATAGCTTAGCTTTATTCCAATCCCAAGGATGGCGTCACGCTGTAGGCACATGGTGGTTGGATGAATTGGAGTTGGCCAAGCGGTCTCGAAGGAGATCTCCCTGGTATTGTAAGAGCACGGTTGCACGCAACCGTTCTCTACTTCAGCCACAATTCTCGAGGCAACTGAAGCATAGAAGGCATACAGTGTACCCTGTGTACAGAAGGCAGTGTAGACAAAAGTTTGTTTAAAATGAAAATCTCTGTCCAAGAGTGTGTGTGTGTTTGGAGAGTGAGGCCACACAATGGCTTTGTATACCAGAACTTACATATGAAAAGAGAGATTGGGCTTCAACGTTGACACACAGATGAAGCAGTTGCTTGGATTCTACAGAAAGGAATATTGTCAGCCCATATGCAATATTCAAACCCCTCACGCCCTTACACATCACATACCTGGGCATGTGACAGCTGCGTCACTAGAGTGGGTACACTCTGTGCTGGTCCAGTCTTCTGGTGTGCAAGAGACATCCCCACAGTTGGCAGTGAAACGCCAAATAACACCGCCTGTCAGGCTCAACTCTGCTAAACTGAGGGCTCGTGCACCTGAAGGGAGAAAAAACACACAAAACATCAATTTTCTCTTCATTTTCGATTGGTTGCTGTACAAAATCCATAAGTCCATACCAGTATCTATTAGTGTAATGACTCGACAGGCATTTGATTTCTGAAGCTGGAAGTACTTTTAATCCCTGGCTGCAAAACAGCCCCTTATGAGTCATTCCAGATGGACTGGGCTGCTTTCACAGGCCTTGACTAACTGAATAAGTGTGGGCATGCAGTGCAGAGTTCTCATCATTGTCCTTAGCTCTAATGGAAACGTGAAGCTTTGGTGGGGCCAATTTTTTTGCCAACAAAACATATGCCAAGAGTCTGAACGTAATCATATTATTAATCCTTTGCTGCTGCCCAAGATAACACACAATGTAACTGACTCGGCGTTTGTTAAAAAGATATCCAGATGGTACATTATAAAAGACAGCTTAGAGTTTGAATAAATCACCTGTTTCGTCCTGCTCTTGGAATCCAACTTCTCTGCACACTCTATCGGCATCTGTATCCAGCCACTCACTGCCACCCTCCTTACAGACTGTACCCCAGATTCCTCCATGACACACCTCAACTCTTCCTTGTCTTGGGGTCTGCCCTCCAGCTAGACGGATACTTCCTTCCGTGCAGCCACCTGCAGTTAGTGTTGAGCAGCCTCTTTTTATATTCTCCTCTGGAATTGCAAGCTTACTTAGAGAGTGGACCTCCTCTAATTCAGACACAAACGAGACAGAAGAAAGTGTCCTTATGAGTGAGCTGTCTGTATTTCAGGGGTTAAATTGTATGCTCTTGAAGAAAGTTATTAGAGAGGTTCCTCATTTCAGTGGTGTCTTTAGAGGGAGTTGCAGAGTAGCCCCCCCATTATGTAACTACCTGTTTGTGTGCACACCACACCGGCATTGTCCGATAAGCACCAGTTTCTCTCCCATGTACCACCGGGACAGGTAATGAGATGACTCTCATTACCAAAGCACTGAACGCCGTTCACCTGAGTGTAGCCATATCTTGCACTCCCAAACTGATACCCACTCACTGCTATAGCACCTGGAGGAAAGAGCAAGAAGACAAAACAACCTAAGTTTTGTCTTTCACCATTGGCTGATTATTGAGCAGCAAATGGTGAACCTCTTGACAACATTACCATACGTTAAAATATGAAGCTCTCTTTACTTTTGGACATTAGATTCAACAATGGCAAGCAGTAGAGGCTGAATATTTGGGTGCAGTGCTCAGAGAGACAGAAAGACTCACCATTTTCAAAGAGTCCAAGTTCCTTGCACACCGTCTTAGCCTCTCTTGTTCCCCACAGACTCCCTCTGCACACAGATCCCCAGGCTCCCTCGTAGTACACTTCAACTCTCCCCTCTCTCCCACTTCTCCCTCCCACCAATCGAACACTCTCCCCGCCATCAGTTTCTGTATCATGACACAACGGCAAATTCTCAATACTACGGGGACTCTATACGTCAAACAAGGGAGTGAGGAGATATCTGGATAAGCAGAAAAGCTATGAAATAATTATCAGATGCAGAAGTTTCTTCATGTGAAATTCTATTCTTAACTGCAGAAAGTAACATTAAAAGTGCAGAAATGTGTTTGAGTACACTTGGGGTCCTCGTATTCTATTCACAAAGGTTGCCTCTTTCAAGATAAGAAGAGATTGAAAGGAAGACTATAATAATTATACTGAACAAATTTCTTTCCGCACTCCTTTGTAACCCGTGACACACACATATACACACCCTCTCTTTCCATTTTGGAGAACCATAATTCGATACTTTCTGAGATACAAAACGGTCATTATGGGCTATTATAAAATGCACTGCCCCTTTCAAGATGTTAGAAGGAAGTTTACTGAACAAATTTCTTTCGTTGCCCTCCTGTAACTCATGAAGCACACATATACACACACCCTCTCACGCTTTTGTAGTACCCATAACTTGATACTCTATGAGACATAATAGGCTAGTGTATGCACATATAGACCCCCATGGAAATGCAGAAATAACACTAAAGACCTTTTCTATGAACTCATGTATACTGAGTGAGAGTATACTGTGCCATAGCATAGTGGTTTGAGGTGTGCCTTTGTGTTGTGTTGTGTTGTAGATTCGAACCCCTACCAGCTGAGTTGCCCTGGTAGCTCAGTTGGTAGAGCGCTCGCCTACACTGCAGAGTGTCGTGGGTTCGAATCCCAACTCAAAGAGGTGTCCTGGGTGTAGTTGACCTGTTTGCCTTGCCTTGACTTTCTACCTCGCTACCATGCACACACTTACCTAGACAGACTACGCTCGCTCGAGAACTGCACTGCAGAGGTCGCCACACGTTTCTCTGCTGATCAACTGTCAGGCAGTCCAGTATGGTTCCTTCAGTCCCAATACACTCCAAGCCACCAAGCCAAGTTGACCCCCTACCTTGCCCAAAATACGAGCCATTCACTGCAATAGGAACTGAGGGAAGAAAAGAAGTGTGCCACAATGATATTATGTCTTTAGGGATCCAAAATGTGCCTTTGAGGTCGGGTCTAGTTGTCGGTCTTGCATAAGATGACATACAGGAGAGAGGACTATGGGACTATATAGATAAACTTTGATGACGTTCCTATGTCATGGCTGCTTTCCCAGACATCCTCAATAGTTCCACTACACACTGTTTTCTATAACCACCTACATAACGACATAATATTTTGGATGAAGCACATCAATGCTAACCCAATATGTATAGAGGTAACTGGAATCAAGCCAAAAACGGGGAGACCACAAGAACCAGCTTACCAGTGTCAGCAGTCAAGAGGCCCAGTTGTCTGCAAACTACTTTAGCGTCATCGTTGTCCCATCCGTTTTCACACAGCTGTCCCCACCATCCATCATTGCAGACTTCCACCCTCCCCTCCCTCTGATTGCGACCTCCTTGGAGTCTGACGACACCTCTGTTGTAACCGCACTCTTCCGTCTCTGCAGCCGTGAGGCGCAAGACATTATGGACGCTCTATCTTTTCTGCAGTAGATAGCTAATGCTTACCTGCTTCCTTCAGTAATTGTGCTGCAATAAGAGCTGTTATCAGTGCAGTTAGTCTGATCTTCATGACGCAGCGACGGTGTTGAGCGTCGTCGCCAAATGCATGCATGCAAGGGAGCTCCGCGGAGATTGTTTAGTGCGCATGCGCTTTATGCAACCTCTCGCCGCCGCGCCGTCGCGCGCGCTACCGCTCCAGCCGGCCGCGGTTAAGTGAGGGGTGTGGCCAGGATAAAGGGTCAAAGGTGAACACGTGGGAATGAAGATGAAGGGTAAAAAGCGAGCTGGGAAGAGCACGGACTTTTCAAAGAGAAAGAAGAAGTTGGGGAAGGAAAAACGCCCGCCAGAAAATGCCACGAAGATTAGTTTCAAGTCTGGGAGCATCGTACTTCCGTCTCAACTGGCTTCTAGTCCCAGCCAGCAACCAACAGGGAAGAGGAAACTTGGACTAGAGGTAAGAGTGAAGTTGGATTAGAGTTTTATTGTTAGTGTGTTTCCTGGTGTTGTGTTACACAGGCCCTACTTCGTCATCTGAACCACTTCAAGCCAGCCATGAGGTCAGACGGGCTGACAGGGCTCAGAGAGCTCTTCCAAGACCACCCACATCTACTGGTTCCCAATCTCGCCAAACTGGTTGGTCCTGTTCTCGGGAGACTCATCGACTCCGACCCGACCGTCCGTCACTCCCTCCGCACCCTCCTCGGCACTCTGTTTGCGGGGGTGACCCCTCACCACGTTCAGCCTCATTTCCCCTCCATCGTGGCTCACCTCAGCTGTGGGCTGACGCACATCAGCGATAGGGTCCAACTCGATTCTCTCAAGGTTTTCCGACTCCTCCTGGATCAGTACCCCTCCCTACTGCCTCCACACGCGCAGCACCTGCTTCCTCTTCTGTCCGGTCTCATCTCTCGTCAGCGAAGTGGGTCTGCTTCTGTGTCGTCGGGGAGGGGTGGTGGGGGTGGAAAACAGGTTGGTCTCGCTCACGACCCGCGCAGCAAGCTCTCGAAATGGTCGTCTAGAATCGATGTCTTCAACCTCTTGTCTCGATTCCTGGAGTCATTGTTGGAGTATGGCAACAGATCAGAGTTGTCTGATTCTAGGGGCGCACCGACTATTGTTGATCTGGAGTCCCGGAGAGTGGTGGTCCAGAAAAGTGGAGAATTTGTCGCGGTGGAATCCAGCTTCTGCGACTTTTCTGGGCCCGTTCCGTGCGTGATGCCTCTTCAAGGGCAGGGTCTTCCCTACAAATTCGCCGAATCTCTCTCAACTTCCGATGGAGTCGTTACTTCACCTACAATGGTCGCCACATCCAGTGCTCTGTCTTTGCGCGGATCTAATGTCGTGTTTTCCGACGTCTCGAAGTTTCTCGAGTTCTCTGAGAGTCTGTTTTCGATCATCCTTGAGTGTTGGGTCGAGTGTGCATCCTTACAATCCCAGGGTCTGAAAGACTCACTTGTATTGATGGAGACAATTGTACATCTCCTCTCTCTGACTCTTAAACTCTCTCTGTGCGTGGGATTGCCTGGTGCAAGTGTGGGTCTGCCCTTATGCGAGACTACACCGCAATCTACAACAGCAATCGATGTCCTGCGAGAAAAGCATTCGGCCAATTTCTCAAAGCATTTCCTGGCAAATTTCCCCCTCCCTCGATCCTCACCCTCCAACAATCAGTTTGTGCAGTACTTGAAGATGAATCTATCACTCTGTCACATCACATCGATTTTCCTATCGAGAGATGGCAATCTGTCATGTCAAGCCCTACAGACCGTATACTCCTACTACGCCTCACTCTCAAGAGTTACCTCTGCCCAGAAGTCGATTTCTTCACAGTTGATGCTGGAATATTCCAGAATAATCACCGACACTCTTCCTCAGCTACTAGCAGTGGTGGAAGAGCTTAGTCTTCCCGAGTCTTGCCTTGATTCTTTGCTCAGAGGAGTTGGAAGTTTCTACCACAGCTGTCACTCTCAGTCCTCGGCAAAGAGGTGTCTCATTCAATGCTTTCATGGTCTCCTGCAGACTTCCAGTGACAGGTAATGACAGCGCTGTATGTGTCTTTTTTGAGTGTTCATTTGTACACCAATTTTTTCATTTTCAAAAGTTCCTTCCTTGTTCCCCATTTCTCATCCTTCGTACAGTTACCTTCCTTTTCTCCTTTCTCTTTCTTCTCTTCCTCCTCTTCCTCCTTTTCCCATCCTTTGTATTATACTGTAGCTAACTCCCTTTTTCTTTTCTCCTTCCTCTTTCATATATTCCCAACTCCCTTTTTTTATTTGTCCTTCCTCTTTCTTTTGTTTCTCCTCTTCCCTTTTTCCATCCTTCCCAACTCCCTTTTTTCACGGTCTTCCTTTCACTTTATCTTTCTTTCCTCCGTCTCGTTGCTTGCAGATCAAGATTGTTCAGTCAGTTTCTCTTGCCATGGCTGGAGAGTTTACCTCAACTGCTGGTAGCGCTGGGCCAATCAAGCCCGCCACTCTCTGCCTTCATCATCCACACCCTTGCTTCTGCCACCTCCTACATCCCTCTTACTCTGTTAGAGCAGCATATGGTCACTCTGCTAGGTATAATATAGTGTTGACTTTACTTAGCAAGTTCTATACTGCACAAGGAACTATTTTCATGCTGCTCTGTTTTCGTGTGATCTAGGTAGTTTTAGCATAGCACTTTTACATTCATAACAAGAGACTAGTCTGCCCTAGTTTCACATTGTCAATGAACTCACACTTACTACTACTACTACTTAGCATTTGGTAATTAATTAGCGAGACGTGCAAAACTTTATGATCATGATTTGTGTTCTCAGGGAGCGAGGGAGTCCTCACCCAGCTCTCGTCCCTCTCTCAAAGGAGGTTTGCCGAACTCCTGTGGCAGGTTCCCACCCTCTCCCCTCAATTGTTGGGCTTGGTCGGAGAGTGGGTGTGGTCAACTGGTGGGCGTGTAAACTCGTCCGTCGCCTCATACTTAGTGGAGATTGTCCATCACAAGTTAGCAAAAATCAACCCTCTATTCTACCACCTTCACGGTGTAGCCGATATTGGTGCATAGAAACATAAAAAAGCAAATGCTACACAATTACACTCGAGACTTTTTTAAATATGAGGAGCTGCCGTGGGTGGGATTCGAACCTGCAAGACTATACAGTCTAGGCTGAGTTCCCCACCCACTGAGCTATAATGCCAGGGCAGCGTAGCAGACAGGGGCTCAAATCTACAACACACAAGATAAAGGAACTTTCTGATCTGCTGCTTTGTTGCAGGTTGCTGAGGAAGAAGGAAAGTTCCATATCAGAAGCTGATAGGGCGACCCAGTATCTCATCTTCATGCTGACTGTTGTACTAGGTAATGCACACGAAGGTGAGTACCACTTCAAGTACAGTATACTTCTGATTATATAGATCAAGGATGGTAGGCCCTTCAGAACCACACACAATGAAAAGCACTAAAGTGCAAACCCTCGGCGAACTGTGCATGTGCGGTACCACTATTTGATGGGCTGGGTTTTTTATGCCTTTACTCGTGGTATCCCGCTAGTAGCTCGCGGAGAGTCTGGCACGGGCTAGCTACAGTAGTAAATAGCATGCGTGAGTCGATACATGCCCTTCGTTGTGACTAAGACACACAGAGCGAACGGACGCGGTCGAGGTAAGCCTATTTACATATTGGCTTGTTCACTTGGTTTTTTTCACGCCATAACTTTAAAACACAGTAGTTTTACAAAAATCGCCTTTTTAAAAATCAACCCAGTGTAGCACTGAACCCGATCATATCGTTATTTACCTGATTTCGTGCGCGCGGTGGCAGAAAACGTGGTAACAGACAGACAGACTGACAGACTGACACACTTACGGGACAACTACCGTAACCCTCGCTGCGCATGCGCGCCGAGGGTTAATTACCTACATGAACACTGATCTATAATATTGGGAGTATATAGTCACATATCAGGCAATAAATCCTTGCAGGTGGTGATAAAGATACCACCTCACCGTAAGTTAAGTTTTTCGTCCATAGTAGTCTCATTGCCATGCAAGCCCTGGAGTTCTTTAGGCTCTATTTGAAAGATACTTTGAAGTTTTGTTTATGGTGCCTGTAAGGACTTTTTGGATTGATCTATAGTTTCCTGCTTTCACTGTAGAAGTGAATGCAGCTCTGCCGTCATTTCACTGGTGGATAGTGGCCGAGACATGGAGCAGAGAATAAAGATCATTGATGTACGTTACTCCTGTGTGTCCTCATACAGAGGTGTATATAAGATAAAGACGTAAATGCAGATTGCTTTTTATCATCTCTTAATTGTTGACAGGTTGTCTGTGAGTGTGTAAGGTCAACCTATTTCAGTGATCAAGTTCTGGAGCTTACTGCCCATACATTGCAAGCCTTTCTGGTATATCAACAACTTAATTGTGCCGTATGTTAAGTGTGCTGTATGGTGCATGCAGCCATGGTTGTTTTTACTCGACAACTAACGGTTCTCTTCCTCCATTGTATATGATTTTGCAAGAGATAAAGGAAGTCTTCCGTTTGTCGGCCTCCATGCTTTGCTAAGTCCACACACTTGTGTTTACGTTTTTTGTTTGTTTTTGAGAATGTATGTAGGTTTAACAAAACGTTCTTCGTCTTAGGAGGGTGTGCACCATCTGGCAGTTGACGTTGCTCTCGGAATTCTCTGCTTCCTTCAATGGTAAAGCAATGTTAGGCTAGGTTCACAATATGTTACATTGCTCCTTCGCGCCGTGCCGCGTCGCGTGGTGCCGTGAAGATAGAATGGATTCTATCCTCGCGAAGCAGCAAAGCGGCATGGCGCGACGGGGGCAATGTGACATATAGCCTTAGTACTTACAGAGCCTTCCACATGTCCAGAGCCCCATCTCTTCTTCTCCAACACCACTTGCTTGTCATGGATTTTCTGTCTCTTGTTTGTGCAGCATTTCTTCAGGGGTGTCTGAAGTTCCGAGACACGTTGTGCCCCCTCTTGCCAGACTCTGTTACTCTGTGTTGATGTGGGCATGGCAGCTGGGTTCGGGTGGGGGTGTGGCCACGACCCGGTGTTGCCTGGTTACAAAACAGCTCCTGAAACAGTCTCCGTCTCTTCTGGTGTCTGTTTTGGAGCTTTTTGCCTCAGAGACAGAGGGTATGTTTATCACCAAAAGGCCTCGTAAAACAATAGTTTGGCATTAGAAAATTATATTGGCAGTTTCCTGGAATCGAAACATTGTCAATTCCCAGTAACTGTTGCCCATAATCACAGCAATACATTATACAAGGATGGCTTCGATATTCTGAAAGTATATCTCACAATGTATTTGAAAACACATAGGGTAGATATACAGGACTCTGAATAGGGTGAAAACTTTCACTAGATTCATGGTTTGGGAGTTGACAGTGAGTTTAGAAAATTTGTGGGGAGGATTTTCTCTTCTGTATTTGGGCTGCGAAATTGTTGTTTTGCCATTGAATCGTGGAAGTTTTCAAAGTTTTCCGCTACACATACAGTGCTCCAAAAGACATTTGTGTTTCAAATGTGTATAAATATTTTGCAAGTCTTCATGTGCACGTGAACTGTGATATGTTTTATTTAGAAGGTAGAGGGGTGAGAGAGATTTCGGACTGTTTTCTGTCGCTACTGGACAGTACTGAGCTCAACCTGGCATTGAGAGGATGCCCTGTCGCCATTGCTGAAACTGCAGCTGCTATTTCAGTGAGTGTAAGATTGTGTAGCAACGCCTTCATTGTTTGCTATGATGAACATATTCAATCCTGGTATAGACTGGTTGTGTTCTTTACCTTTTTGGTGCCGTAAATCATTGCATCTGTGTGGTATATATGTTGGGGACCAATTAAAAACCCAGCCCGTTTTAAAGCCGTCCGATGGCTTTAAAACGGGCCGGACCACTTTAAAACGGGCCAGACCGCTTTAATTCCGGCCCGACGGTATTCAAGCCGCCCCGACGGTAAGCCAGACGGTTTTTAAGCAGACGCTCAGGATGACCATGTCGTTCATTACCGCGCAACGGCTGTTCCCAGCCAACGGCGAGCACGGTCCGTGCATGCAGGGCGCCGGCAGCAGTGTCCTACCGTGCCAGAAGCTGTTCCAGCCACCGGCCTTGCGAGTGCTGTTGTCTATACTGCGCCCAGCGGCGGCAGAGAAAAGAGGACGGGCTGGGCGTGGGCAGGTGATCGCGTCACGTACCGCGCGCGACCGATCTTGCGCACATATGCATGGCTGACAGCTAGCCCGCCTGGGCGGGACGAGTTCGCGGCCGACTGCTGAGGTAGATCGCAAAATCAGGGCTGGACAGTAGCAACTGGTAGATAGGTTGCTTCTTCCTGACAGCCTTCAATCGAGCTGGACAGTTTTAAAGCCGTCTGGACAGCCTCTAGACGGCTTTAAACTGGTCTGGACGGCTTTAAAACGGGCCTCTGGTTTTTAATCGGTCCCCAACATATATACTAGAACAATGTTGAACATTGTTGGCGAGCGGGAACGACCCAACTTGGGATTTGTCCGCGATGTTCGGGCTGCATAGCGTGCCGTCAGCGCACAGCTTTCCTTTCGTGAAGCAAGACAGAGCTACCTGTCGCCGTTACATGCGTACTGTATATTGCCAGAACGGTGAGCAGGTGAGCAGAATGGTCCTTACCTTACGCTTTGTGGTCCACCAGGCAGCTGGCATGGCAGTAGGCTAGGCAGCGATCGATTGGGCTGCCCGACAACGCGGCGCGTGTTAGCTGGTCCACCAGGCAGCTGCCATGCAGCAGTATGTGCACGAGCAATCCTAGCCTATTTGCAAGTTGCAGCTTGGAACCATGAAGATTGGGAAGAGGTACAGCCTCGGTCAGTCACCATTTCCAGCGCATGCCGTCGAATGGAGGAGAGTTCTCTGGCTAGCTAGATCGATCGGCGCATATCGCGAGGCACTGTGTGTGAAAATGGGTAAAAATTTGGAAAGAATTTCGGATAAAAAGAAGCGCGTACAAAGAAGCGCGTACAAAGCTGCGCATGTGCACTTACACGACGTACGACTAGGTCTATATATATAGAAAAATCCGCTCGAACGAACGACTAGGTTGGCTCGCTCCCGCTCGCCAATAATGCACCCTTTTGTTAGGTGTTGTTAATGCATAACTTTCTTCACATACATTGTCGTTTTGGGCTCAACAGATTTATATTTACTGCATCTTTCTTGTTCTACAGGGAGCTCTAACAGAAGCAGAGCAAGACCTGAGGGTAAGAATAAACTTTTCTGTCAGGAGATTTTGTTCAAGACCTTGACTTAATATGTGGCGTTCACCTGTGTAAATGTGTAGCAGCCAAATTTTTTACTGTCAGCATGCATGCACAGCAAGGGTTACAGTACTTGGTTTGTATATACTCACTAGTTTATTATGTGTATTACACTGTTTTCTCAAACCTGCCATAACCTATGTATGTGAGCCGGCAAAAATATTTTTATGCTGTAAATTTATATAATCTCACACGAATACAATAAAAATATCAGTGAATTATAACACACTAGCAACAGTAATGAATGCTACAAAGCCATGCTAAATATTTTACACATGAGGTCGTTACGGTAGGGAATTTAAAAAAAACATGAGAGAGAGAGATACGAGTGAGAGAGAGAGACTTTTTTCAACTACTGTCCATAAATTGGATTCTTGTGTTCTGTTGTTGCACTGTGATAGAGAGGGTTTTCATTCTGCAAGTAAAATATGTGAGAAAGATGTCAAGTAAATAGACTATATAAATACAGCGTGCGGTTTTGCCAAACATACCTTGCTGTACTTGACTTTCTCGAGCTCATTCTCAAATTTCTTCAGTTCAATGTAATCCTGTGATGGTGGCAGATTGGCATATTTACATTACTGACCATTTAGAGGGCTGTAACAATAACATGCGAATTTAGATTGGAAGGAGGCAAGATATATAGAGATAGGATATATGAAGCTTGGTTTGAGGAAACCGATGTTAATTGACTGCACCGGTCATTACCTTGTCAGTACGAACTTAGCAAGGCTGTAACAACATAAACTTACCAAAAGGTTTGGGAGGTATTATACATATAGAGCAGGGGATCCCACAGCTTATGCCCATAAATTAAAAACTCACCAGGACCATAAGCAGAATCTTGAGGAGTATGAGAGCCAGTATTCCGAGGAGGAGGAGGATTCCTATGAGGATTACGGCTATGGCCCAGGGAGGAAGTCCAAGCTGGGCACCACTGCCACCTCTGCTGGCCCGTTGAACTGGACACGCTGTAGTGATTGAGAGAAAAGAGTTTAGTGATGCAGTGGAACCCTTTATAATGGACACTCTGAATATACATAGGACACCTCTTCAAAAAGACACTTGTAAAACTGGACACGATCCTAGAACCACCTGCAAGCATGTGTGGTTTATAGTTTCCATGGGTGCAGAGCATTCAGTGGGTAGTAGTGGTACAGTATGAATGCCCGTTATAGGTATAGTTGAGGAAAGGAGTATATAAACCAACCTGGAGGATATCCCACGTGTATTGGGAGTAGGTTACCCAGTCTATCAATGGACACGTAGTAGGGGTAGATGCAGTCTTGCTGCAGTGTGCACCTTTGTGAGAGGACATCTGGAGAGTGATAGGAGAGAGGCGATATGGTAATGAACACTTCAGACATGCTATACTTTGCACTTGGAGGTTAATATGTATTGACCGCGGAGGCAATCGTTTAAGCATGGGTTTAACAATTTAATGCTAATACTCTACTGGTTTAGGTTTGTTGGGCTAGGTTATAGGATAAACAGTCAGAAATGTGGCTTTCCCACCAACTATCACTTACTCTGAATCTCATATTCCATCTCCTGTGTCTCGTTCACGATGTAAAACCGAGGACAAGTCACGTTGACACTCCCGCTGCACTCCGCCGTGAATTCGGGAGGCAACAGAATAGCGGCCACCTTCAACATCTCGTCGCCATAGACGACCATCGTGAGATTGGAATCTTCCGGAAGAGTTGCGTTCCTCAGAGCCTTTGCGAATCCTTCCTCCGTGAAGATGCTCTCGTTCACGCCGAGAATGTTTAGTTGTTCGAGGAGATCGATGACACACGAGGCGCAGAGGGTGTTGTCGCTGTCCACGGCGCAGGTCTGGAGCCGGCAAACCTCGGAGCCCGTCGAACACTCCTCACATAAATCTCCAAAGTAGGGGCTGTTGGGATTGCAGATGCACTCGCCGCACTGGCACACTCCCCTTCCATTGCACAGATCCTTTACAATATAAAAGATGAAAGTTTGGCGGTCACAAATGGCATCACCAAAATAATATGAACTCGCACAATGATGTAATAGTAAGCTTTATTATGGCCAGTTTGAGTAATTGGACGAGTCAAACTAGTTTTAAACGGGTTTTGGAGGCACTCACAGTGGAGTTGGCCGGATCGACGCAGGTCTGTATGTTGGGCGTGCAGCTGCAATCGCTCATTGTGTAGGGTAGGCCGGTGAATGGCTCCGGTAGACAGCGGCAACCATCGCACGTACACTCTCCATTGGAAGGCCCTGAGCAGATCTCGTTCCCAGTACCCCGTTCACATACCGTGTTGTCACATTCACACGCCGGACCATAGAACCTCTCATCCCCCTGTATAGAGACAAGAAGGAAAGAGAAAGGAGGGAAGGAGGGAGGGAGGTAGAAGAAACACTGGGTGAGAAGGCTGCAAAATAGCTAATACCTAGAAAGTGAATGTACAGTATTACTGTCCAGATCTTCAATAAAAGCGGAGAAAGTGAGGTAAGAAAAACTCACATTGGAGTCCCTTCTGCACTCGCAGATCCCACATGTGCACGTTCCTCTACCAGAGCACTGAAGACCGCCTAGTCCAAGCCTACACACAGAGTTCATACAATCATTATCATCATCATGTGCCCTGTGCAGGGCTAGCATAACAGGTGTACAAAATTGAAATTAACCACCGCGTTAGCATTAGCCAGCTTTTGCGCATCCTTCTTCTTATTTTGCATGCAGATGAGGAGTTACTATGGCCAAAATACTCACGTATGTGCCTTTCTAAGTGCTTTATAATGTAAATGCAAAGCCAGTAGAAGCGCTGCCCATTTACTGTATAGCTGATGCACTTGCAGGCTCGCTCCCACCCTACAAACCAAAGGTACTGTTGCGTAATACGTAAGTAAATGAAGTGTGGCATGAAATTATAGTTCATAGCATACCATACATTATTTTGAAGATAAACGTACGGGCACATGAGAATTTCATCGTCTGTGGTAGCTCCAGAACCGTCGCATTGGCATATGTCACCAAAGTAGCCCGGGTTACACTCACATATACCGCACACTAGGGTTCCACGACCATTGCATTCAGAGGAGTTTGTCTCCTGTGAGTGGAGAGGGAGGGAGTGAGGGAGGGAGGGGTGATGGAGTGGGCAAACTTTTGTCGTATTTTACGAATACAATATTACGTGCAGGTGTAATACCTGTGTATTAGCTATGTACATACCCTTTGGGCATCACAGTTGCAGTCACATACGGCATTTAGGTCCACGGTAACACTCCCAAAACCAAGCACCCTGAGTTGAATCCTGAAAAAAAAGGGTTCAACTTCACTCGACTACACACAGAACTACTTTCATGACAGTGGGAATATTACGTCTCTTGTTTGGCTGCAAAGAATGTTCTACAGGGTGACTTCATTGGGTCAAATTACTTGCAATATACTGTGCGTAATATAGCCAACATTTTAATAATACTATAGTGTTGCTACTAACATCTAGTGGATTAGTCCTACACTTGCCACTCCTTACTTTTACCCAAATTGTGTATATCAGTGATCCATTAACACATGTATTGCTCGGCGCCATATACAGTTAGCACATGCAATAATAATAGTGTAGCATTCATCTCTGAGATGTGAAAAAACTCACTCTCTGGGTCCAGCAAGAAGCTCCTCTGTACATTCAGTGACATCCACAGTCACATTGAATGTGACTGTCTGACTACTCATCACATTGGTGCACACGCCAACTCTTGGACTGCAAGAATACGTAGTGCACATATTATTATTGTGTTTGAGCATTTTGAGCATACGAGATACATAATAAGCCATTCTAGCAGGAGTGAGGTACATACAGGGTATCGTAGCTTGACCTAATGCACGTGGTTTTGCAGAGATTAGCATGTAATATACATGTAGCCTTGTGTAAAAATTAAAGGTGCGAGCTCTTTGTGTGTTTCAGTTGTCTTGCCGATGCAACTCACGTAATTATGAGCAGCAACATAAGATGGGCAGTTAGAAAGGTAATGGGGTAAACAGGTCAGCTAAAGCGATTCGGGCTGGAGGGCACTTGTGCCTTTTGTACGTAGTGAAAAAAGTGTTAGCTGACTCACGCTGGGCAGTTGGTGATGGTTGTCGTGATGGAAACCCCGGGCACGTTGACTGGAGAGAATGCCACACTCGTTGATATCTCCTGCAATTTGGGAAACGCTTCACATGAGGCAGGAATGAACAAAAACTCTCCCTTTTTTTTAGTCCCTTTGCACTAGGCTTGAGTGAAATTATCGAGGATTATATGTTAACTATCAATGTAAATCTTGCTCCAGTTAATTAAAGCTATCTTAATCGTGGATGTTTCATAGGTAGACTTACGTTGTAGAGATCTTCAACAAGGTCGACGACGTTGCTGGAGTCAGTGTCCAGTTCACCGAGGAAGGCACGGTTACCCAATTCGGCTTGTAGCAGCTGAGGCAGAGAGAAAGGTCGGGGTGGGGAGGGGGTAAATTGCGCAGTTACAACGCGAAACAAGTCTCTTACCGCATAAAGCTCTTGGAAACGTTCCACGACAGCCAAAATTGGGATAATATCAAACTCATCCAACTTTTCAGCAATCTGCCCGATGGACGGAAAATCCTGGGAATTTGAAAGAGAAAACAATCTTAAAATTACCCTCTTGGGACCTGCATAGTTTTCTGTTTCGAGTATTCCAAATGATGCTCACCAGTCTGTCCCAAGCGTTGTATTCAATGGTTCCGTCAGAATTGGTTGTGGATTCCATTGGACCCATGTGACACATGCCGTCGTTTGGCTCTATCACACCGCCAAGCTGCAGGAAACATGGAGTCAAACATCTTTAGGCCAAAAACTTACACTCAGGCATGGCTGAGTGTAGGTGACCATTTAGGGTATACAGTTAATCCCTCTCTAAGGACGCCAGTGAAATGAAAACACCTGTCTAATGAGGACACCTTTCTTTCCCCAAGAGAAAGGTTTCCTGCACACACAGTAACCCATGAAGTAACGGGCACCCCACTAATAGGGCATTATCTTCTCCCCTATTGGTGTCCGGATTACTACTGTACTGTACAATGTCCCAAACGGAGGTGCACATAATGTACTCACCAGACCATCGCCAGCAAAGTGGAAGCCGGCGTCAGATATGTAGAGAAGAATCTTTCTTGAAACAGGTCTCCATCCAATAACCTATTGCACATAATTTATTCGACCAGTCATTAAAATAGTATACATTTTACTAACATGTTCTATTTAAATGGACCATGGAGATGGTTTACATCAGTAAAAGGAGGTAGTGTAGTTTTCTTACAGAATGGTTTTTAAAGTAGTGTGTAATCAAATCTATTTTTGTGTGAAATCGAATCTATTTTACACTCAAGATGTCTTACATTGGTGCAGACGATTGCTTGCATAAAGCCGTCAAATCCACCTTCAGGGAAATCTTGATTGCCGGAGATAATCTGCTCCTCGACTGTATCCTGCAAGAAAGGAGAAGGGTCACTGTGAACTTATTACCATAAAGCGGGTTTAGTATTCATTCGGCTCTTCTGAGTGAGCAAAATGGATTTTTGTGGCCTCTCACACACATGCACACAGGAAGTAATAGCTTGCTGTCTATTACAGTCAATAAAAAACGAGAAGAAAAAGAAAATTGAGAGAGGGATTTGTGAGGAATTAAAAGAATGAGTTTTGCCATGACAAAAAACGCAGCTATAATTATGGTAAACTGTCTCCCAAATAGAGACACACAGAACGTACTGAGAAAAGTTCTCCATCTCTGGTGAGTCTCACAACATGTCGGAAACTGTAAGGAGGTTCGCAACCACCGTTACATGGATCTTGAAGTCTGGAGAGCGGGGAGGGGGAGAGAGAAGGAGGGAAGGAGAGAGAGAGAGGGAGGAAGGAAAGAGGGGAGAGAGGGGAGAAGGAAATGAGAAGAATAGATGTAGAAAGGGGTGAGGAAGGGAGGGAGAGACACATGTGAACACCTGTTTAAGACTTTCCTTCAGGTGAAGAGACATACCTGTTAGGGTCGAGGTTGACGAAACTTCCTCTCCGCTTATCCACAAATGAGCCAAATCCAACAGTGAAATTGTTTGAGATCGAAGCGATACGATTAGCTGACGAGAGAGAGAGAGAGAAAAGTTGGATTGTGTGTTAACTAAACTCCAAAATGTGTCGTCAGTGGCGTGTCCAGGGGGGTGCTTAGGGTGCTCGAGCACCCCCCTGGCCTCCACTCTGCATATTATTATAATTGGCTGTGTGCGCTGCTGCATTTAGCAAAAGCTCCTATAGGCAATACACGCAGCCATCATTACCTTTTCAATACGTGTATTTGTCGCTACAGGCTGCTAGCAGCCTCACAAGCCAATCAAGACCTCCGCCAACTACGAGGCGACACTTTCACGAAGGAGTTCAAAGGACAGCTTGCACAAAATAATGTTCATGTACTGCGCCTGCGCACACCGCACGCGCTCCTCCCCGCGCTGCGGTTGCCGCGTGCGCTCTGCGTGCGCTGAGCACCCCCCTACCTGAATTTCTGAACACGCCACTGGTCGTATCATGCAAATGCCAGTATTGCAAAATGATGCTGTGTTCCTAGTCTGTCAGCCCCATGGGATGTATACAATTACTCTGAAAAAGGTCTCAAATATCAGAAAATTTCTATGTGGCAGATGGTCACTGAAGTACAATGAAGCACTACATACATTATAGAGTACTAGGGCCACAAAAGGGCCAACAATTGATCTGGGGTGGCTGGCTGGTCCCAACTGGCTGTAGGGAGGCCCAAAGCTACCCTCCACTGACCACAGTGGATATAGAGCAGTGCTGTATAAACCTACCCAGCTGTCTTCCTAGTGTCTTGAGATTCTCAAGGTCATCGCTCATGGAGGCAGACAGATCCATGAGGAGGTAGAGATCAATGGGGAAGTTGTTGGCCGGCTTGACTTGAACCTCAAACGTCACTGGAGAACCTTTTGTACGAGTGGTACGTGCAACATATTATGTCAACAACAAAGTCTCAATACGAAGCAAGGAAGACAACACAATGACATCCGCCCACAACAGCCAAGACAGCGCTCTTTTTTTCAAGGAAAAGAGAAGAGTTGCCCTGGGTGGGATTCGAACCCACGACACTCTGCAGTCTAAGCCAGCGCTCTACCAACTGAGATACTAGGGCAACTCAGCAGGTAGCAGTTCGAATCTGCAACACAACGCAAGCTACAAACCACTGTGCTATGGCACTGTATACAACTCTCATACAGCATTACTAAGCCATGTGTTGTGAAGACAGGCCGAAAATAAACGTCTGTAATGCCAACATTACACTGCCAGGCCTCTCATGTCAGTTCTTCACAAAGGTTGTGTGTGGACCAAGTCCAACCTAAATGCTCACGTGAATGTAAGCTGACCTAATACAAGCTCAACGTGACAGTTTCAGCGCTACTTTTGAACTAAGCACAGTGTAATAATGTGTTCAATTCAAACAGTTACACTTACAAACAAAGTTTTACTAAGTAGGCTCACTGGTTTTGTGCAGCAAATCTTACGGTGTGTGTTGACATACTACAATACCTTGTCTGACGCTGACATTGACTCTCTCTGGTGTGACTTGCCTCAAACCTTCCAACACCACCTATAGTGGAAGAGTATTATGCCACTTCTATCTACGTATGTACTGCCAGTTTTATATAGGGCACTCCATAGACACCCATTAAATACCTAAGTCTAGAACTAGGCTATCTGGTTGATAAGGTTTCCATTTTTCACCAGAGCTTGTATAGGGGCAGAGATAGTGTTCTGTTGTCTGGATGTAAACAGCCACTAGCAAATTGCACCTTTGTTACAGTACAAACTGAAGACTTTTGGAAACACCCTCCAGCTACAAAAGGTGCTAAAAGCAACACAATTTGTGTGGGAAAATGGACTAGACCAACAATGGTGCTGACCTGCCATTCTGCATGCAAAACGTGTCACTAACCCTCTACTATAGTAAAAAGGTACAGTATGTGACTTACATCCACTTTGTTGATGAGCTCACTGACTGGATCTTCCAGAGGCATGCTACATGTGTTAGTTGTTGGGTTGTCACGATCAATTGCATTGCACCTACGCCCATCTCCACCAAGGCTCTAAAGAGAAAATGCAAAACATTATATGAGGCACTTAGAAAACCAATCCATAATCTGAAAACATGCCGTATATAAATAAAAAAACGTATCCCACTTTAACATTATGCACTTAGTATTACTGAGTATGACGGTAATATTATGGGCGTTGATTTTTCCAGTTCAATCATCTTCTATTACATCTTCAGTTTCATTTCGAGGCATATACAGACCTTCCAGATTTTGAATATTTCCAGACTGCCTGACTAAAAGTTGTTATTGTAGCAAAAGGCTATTGACAAAGTGTCTCGAAGCTTTAATGGCATCTGTTGTGTTGCGAAGATAGAAGGTGCCAAATATATTACTTTCAGCCCTTGGAGTGTGGGTGTGGGAATGTGTGATAAGATATAGAGAGGGGGAAGGAGAGAGGAGAGAGAGGGGGTATATATTAGCTGCTACAACAAACCAAGATGGATGTGCAGCTATGGAGAAATTATCTGCTCTACTGAATGTATGCTGTCAACGAATTATAGGTGATGTGTGTATATCTGCATAACTGTTTAGACTTGAACAGATAGAGACACTGTGTATGCAGAACATGGGCAATTTGATACCTTCCCTTTCACGTAAATGCATGTACATACGTATATATGTAAACTGAATCTTAGCTAGCATAGCAAACTCTAATTACGTGAATGTTGGTGCTTGAGCTTTTGCCTATACCCTTACACAGAAGTTTTGTCTTTGATGTTTTGACTAAATACTAACTTGTGTAGGAAGGAAAGCCAACTAAACGAAGTTCAGTCAACACACACAAAAATGGTAGTGTGCATGCAAATCCACCACTCTGCAGGCTTATAAGTGCCTATAAGCCCACAGTTGTGTGGGAGTAACATAGTATCATGACAAATATGGGGTGTTATGGGGTGTCACTTAGTACAAAGTAGTACAAGGAAACCATAATAATGGCAATGAGGGTCCTATGATCTAATGCCTACTGCCAGAATATTAACATTCCCTAATGCGGTAAGAAATCAAGGCAGTGTCTGCATAACTTTATAAGTACTTTTAACTCCCACATTTTGACAGCCATTACTTTATGTGTAGCTTACTTATGCAGTAGTAGTCTAGCTAATTAAGTGTAGGAATATTTTTATTGCACCGCAAAACTGTACCACAGATTAGTGAATACTAGCTAGGTGTACCAGAAACATACCATTTCTGAGCACCATCCGCAGTCGGGCGACTCTCTGATACATTCTGCGCACGTTTCCTGCGCCTGGCATCGTCTAATCAAGTCCTCATCCACGATAGCCCTCACTACTCCTGTTGAAACGAAACAACGATTACTCTAGCCGCCAACTACCTAGCATAACCAGCACAAAATACGTTATAGGGCTATAAACGGGGCTGAACCTTGCTACAGATATACACGATATTGCTGAATTTGCTGCTGGTAAATCCTCACCATTTGACACAGCTAATGTTGCGAAACACAGCCACAGAGCTCGCTGCAGTATCCCCATCGCTGTCAGCTGTGGCGAGACGTCTCCAATAGCTATATACTCACTGCTACGGCCGTTCGTTTCAGATCTGGCTGGAAATGTCGCACAGCGCCGTCAATAAGTGGAAAAGTTGTGCCTGCAGACAGCCTGAATGAGATTCCCTTTGTGCGAAAGCAGCTCTGAATGGAATTCGTACGTGTCAACACTTCCCCATTGACACCCGCACTTTTAGATACTCCCACTCTGGTCTGGGCTCCAGTCACGCCACGACCCGCGCGCGGAGCGGAACAGACACTGCCAGTGTTAAATAAGCGCGTATGCGCGAATCTCTTATTTTACGCATGCGTATATATGTCTTGCGCAGTGTACAGCTCACACGCATGCGGTAGGAACAATTCATACTACAGCTTAGATAACAATGAAGAAACTGATATTTATACATGGTGCTAAAAAATTGGCTATGTATGTTCTTTTGTGGATGATATTATCATGTATCACATACTACTTTCCATAGATTGGATTTTTATACTCCTTCTGAGGACTGTGGAATAGCGGGTTTTCATTCTGCAAAAGATAAGCAAGCAACCTATGATCTTAGCTTAAGTTCTTCTCTACATATCAGTATCGTAATGGCAGTTAGCAGTTCATGGGATGCTACGTGCTTGATCCCATATCAACTTTACTTCAAAGTATTATTGCATTACGAAAGCACACACATTAGTCGCCCAGTGGAATATGTAAAGTACAACCATGCTGCATAACAGACTGATACTTAACAATTTTCCAGTGAATGTGACAGGTGTATATACCTTTGTATACTTTGTCTTGCCCAACTCTTTCTCGAACCGCCGTACTTCAATCCAGTCCTGTGGTGAAAGAAGGGAACAGATGTGTTGGCAGTATATCTGTGTAATGGAAGGGGCTGGTGCAGCTGTGGCCAGTGCTCGTGTGGGTGAACTAGGAATCCAGGCAACTTTCAAGGTCTCTTTTGCAAGCAAGCGAAGCATAGCTACAGTGCCTGATACACTGTGGTCACTAAAATAAAAGAACTGCCAAATTGTTTTATGCCGAGTTTCCACACAGTGTAAGTTCCTCTGCCTTTGTACCACACAGTGGGTCAAAATTGGCAGAGTGCTTGTTTTGCCCATAGCATTGTCTACAGCAGGTGAGGGACTATCTAAAACCTTTGAGAAAAACAACTCAGTCCATAGATTATTCCTGCTGTACAAAAACGCTCCCACACAAAATATCACGTCTTTAATGGTGGATTATAAATGAAATTGGCAAATAGTTTGCTTGTAAGTTCCTCACTATGGACTAACCAGTAACATGAGGAGTAGTTTAAGTAGAGCAAGGGCTAGCAGGCCGAGGAGGAGGAGTAGGAGAATAAGAATAAGGGCGATGGCCCAGGGAGGAATGGCCAGACCACTTCCTCTCTTGCTGGAAGCTCTTGTGGGGCAGTCTGGGGAGCCAACCAACACATACAGTTATACATGGGAAATAACTTGTGGAAAAATATATGGAAGTGAGACATAATATATATGCACAGTAGGTGAGATATGTATATAGCTAGCAGTAAACGGATATGCAGTTCAAAAAGGACGAATGTTGGATGTGACTGTAGACCCAAGGAAAGATATGAAGCTGCATTTGGAACAGAAAAAACTTCTGAAACTGGATAAAGCAGAGAAAAGGCATGGGATTGAAGCAGATAATCTCACATAGACTTGTTACTGCGAAAGAGTGTGAGGGAGGGAGCATTAAAGGTGCTATAGTTAGGTTCTTACATGGAGGATACTCGATGTGAATGGGGAGTTTTGTGCCGTCTGTCGTGTTCAGAGCCACATAGTATCGATAGTCACATGCCAGCCTGTTGTACTGACATCGTGTTGACAGAAACCCTGGGTCGATGGACGAAAAATCACAAACCCTACTTCAATCAGGAAAATGTCAATTGAACATGATTTGTTTAAGCCCATCCCGCCTCATTTTAACCTATGGTGCCCAGGGCCCACTATTGCTAAAAACGCAGCTACATACAATGTTGAATGATCTTGTTGTGGTTATTTGCCAGCCAGTGGTGGCATAGTGGCTCTAGTGGTAGCCAAATCACCACCATTAACTAAGTACTGTGGGAATCACTGAGAATCATACCTTGAATGTCGTACTCCAGGTTGAGTGTCTGGTTGATAATGACCAGAGGCGTACAGGACCTGTTACACTGTGCAGAAAAGGTCTCCGGGAGAAATATTGCCTTTTCTCCATTCAACTCCCCTAGAACTGTCCCCAGAGGAAGCGTGCCGTTCCTTATAGCAATCTGTACAAACGCCTCACTCAGCAGCTCATCAACAGTGACGTTATTAGCGTGGAAGACTTCGAGAAATCCGACGGCACAGCCGGTGCATATGCCGTTGGGCCCCGAGATATCGCAGGTGCCTTGGATGCAGACATTGCTACCAGAGCAGAGCTCGCAGTAGGTCCCGAAGAACGGAGGGAAACATGAGCACTGGCCACAGCTGCACCAGCCCCTTCCATTACACAGATCCTGCCAAACACAAGAATGCACAGAGAAAATCACTGCAACTGAAGCTTGAATGTATTCATGTGTTAACAACAACAAGGTGAGGTAGAAAGCAAAGGCAAAGCAAATGTCTTGGACATTGAGTATTCAAATGAAAGAGCCTAGGGAGCACATTGCAGTGAAACTAGTAGCTAGTGTGTAGAGATTTGTTAAGTATTGTGTATGTACACACTATTTGTTGATCTACGTGAATTGTGCACATACTGTGGAGTTTGAGTGGTCTCTGCATGTCTGTGTATTGGGGCTGCATTCGCAGTAGGTTCCGTTGTAGGGAATTCCGGTGGTCGGCTCAATGAGACAGCGACAGCCGTCACACGTGCACTCTCCTTGAGACGGCCCTGAGCAGAATGTTCCCCCACTCTCACAGATGCTGCTGTCACACTCACAGGCTTTCCCAGAGAACCTATCCTCACCCTGTGTATTACAGTGGAAGATATTTCAACCAGAATATCTTATTGTATGCACTTCTTGTGCTTGCCCACCAAAAATGCATGGCATTCATTCTAGTACAGCAGATTTCAATAAGCCTAATTGGCAAGCGGGATCAAGATAACCCAGTGGTACGACCTGCGTGATTTTTCTACCAGTAATTTCAATTTCTACTGTATGGATGGTCATGCAAATTACAGAGCATGTCTCCATCAGTGAAGGTTGCTTACATTGCGTCCTTTGCGACATTGACAGATGCCACAGGTACACGATCCTCTCTCTGAGCACTCCAAACCCGGTAGCCCATTGCTAAGTAAAGTTAAGATTGCCATAAAATAGACACTTTGCCCTTATCTGACGTCTGAAAAATTTGTGACGGACAACATATTAATATATGTGTAACTGTCCTTAGATATTTCAGGGATTTAAGAAACTTTAAGCGATGCTATTAGAGAGATAACTTCATTTCAGGGGTGTCCTATTTTCCACTGTGTTCTAAAATTGTGTTTGCCAGTGAATTAACTGCTTACGGGCACGTGAGGAGCATTCCCGTGTTGTCCACACCGGTGGAATCGCACTGGCACTCTCACCGAAGAACCCATAGTAACATTCGCAGATACCGCACACCAGGTCACCGTGGTTGCTACATGACGTCGAATTCTCCTCCTGCGTGCAAGATACGATGGACGTCAAATTGCAATTCTATGTTGCCAGGATAGTGCCACGGTGAACGCTTTAATGAAAATACTTGGTAAAATTATGTGCCAAAATGTGAGTGTTAATAACACACCACTGAGGTTACGGTATTGAGTATTGTGTGTTAGTGGCAGACCTCTTTATTCTCACAGGAGCAGTTGCACTTGGCGTCCACCTGAATTTGGAAAGTCCCGAACCCAATGGCACGTACTGGTACCCTGTGACAGCAGCAGACAATATTACAGTGGAACCCCTCTCTAAAGATACCTCTCTCCACCTCTGATAGGAGAATGGGGTCTAATAAGGACACCTCTGAAATGAGGACACCTTTTCTCCCCCCAAGAACGGTTGCGTGCATGGAATTAAACCCTGATATAAAGAAACCTAAATCTATATCTATCCCACTGGGTTCTTGATTAGAGGGGTTCCACTGTTTAGTAGCCTAGTTCTTAGCAAGAGAGAATGAGGAGCAGGCTAACACTCGAGGTCCTGCAGCTAGCTCCTCAGTGCACTCTGTGACTTGGACTTGGACCGAGAACTTGGCCGTCTTGTTGATAGTGACACCTGTACACACTCCATCTTCGATTCTAATTGTTCAGAAAAAAGACGCTAGACAGATTACTACAAAAAGGCTTGTTAGGTCCTGATCTGTGTAGGTATGAAACTTTGTACAGAGAAAAAGGTTAGCTAGTTATGTTGTTACTGTGATGTAGAGGAGGAAATGAAAGTCTGCAAAGTTAGCTAGCTACCAGTAAAAGTGCTCACCGGCCTGGGCACTCAGTTAGCGTGACTTTGATTGACAGACCGGGAACAATCTCTGGGGCAAACACTATTCTCTGTGAGATCCGCTGTAGTTCATTTTGTTGGAGAAATTCCACATTATTACTGGTAGAGAAGGTCAATCTACTGGTGGGCTTACGTAGTAGATTTCTTCTACGAGATCAACAATGTTGCTGGAGTCGGCAGCCAGTGTTCCAAGATAGGCCCTGTCTCGTCCCAGCTCATCAACCAGGGGCTGCATCAATTACACACAGCAGCGATACTATGCAACACACACACAGCTATGAAGAGCTGGATTACATTGTAGATGTGTTGTATGCTTTCCACGACTGCAAAAATCGGAATGACATCAAATTCGAACAGCTTTTCGGCGATTTGTCCAATTGAGGGGTAATCCTGTAATAAGAGCCATTACATAGACATAAGCAAGGGATAATAATGTTGTATTGTTACCAGTCGATTCCAGTGTTGATAGACTATGTTCCCAGTCAACCTGTCTGGCTGCAGATCTTCCATGTGGCACTGTCCATCGTGAGGAAGAACCACACCCCCCAGCTGAGCGGAGGGAGGCAAAAGCACAGCTAAATCTCAGTGTATAGTTGTAGGGTGCATATGCTTGCTTGCACGTGTGTGTGTGTGTGTGTGTGTGTGTTGTGCTTAATAGCCTTGTATACGTAAAAAGAAGGTCTGGATGTGTAGCTAGCATACTTACCAGTCCATCTCCGGCAAAATGAAAGCCAGCATCACTGAGATAGAGGAGTAGCTTCCGAGAAATTTCACGCCAACCAATCATCTGGTAATTAAAGGGGTAGCAATAGACCTCATAAAAAGAAGCTTCACACGTGTGCCCTTTTTATTGAGCTATAATTTGTTTTTGTTCAACACAAACCTTTTTACAGACAATTGACTGCAGAAACCCATCGAATCCCCCTTCTGGGAAATCCTGGTTTCCAGATATCACCTGTTGGTCCACTTTTATCTGCAGAAAAATAGAAAGAGAACTACTGTACTGTCTGTACTTTGGGATAAATCAAGTCTTGTTATATATAATTATTGTACTGCATAAGATTAGAATGAAACTCAAAGCAAAGAAAAGCGAATGGTAAGCCAAAGAACCACTGTGTATATTTGCTCTCACATTGAACAGATTGTTGTCAGTGGTGAGGTTGACAATGTGGTGGTAGCTGTATGGTGGCTGGCACATTCTCGGAAAGCATGGGTCCCTCAATCTGGAGTTAATCACAATACAGGTTTGGGGTATTATTAAGATTGGTCTATTATTACAGTGAAACCTCTGAAGAAAGGACGCCTCTCTGCCTCACACTAGTCTAATACATTAGCATATTATAATAGGGACGCCTCTGAATATCCCCAAGGTGTAACATAATATTCAGAAGATTCACTGCATAATATTAATGTGTGTACGTACTTTACTGGGCTGATATCAGCAAAGGAGCCAAGTCTCTTGTCCACAAAAGAACCAAATCCCAACCGGAAATTGGGGGTGATTCCTTCAATCCTTTCAGCTGACGAGAAATACACCAAATCATTTTACTATCGCTTCCTCTACCTAATACTGGTCTATGGCCTTAGTGCTATGGTTCGTGTATGAGCATAAACCGGTGTCATCCTCAAAGGGAATATGGCAGTATAGCTTTAAGTTAGAAGAAATGTCGAAAACATAGTTGCTTTCTTAGTAACATTTTCAACCTGTGTACTGTCGGATTCCACCTACCCACATGAATAATGTATATCTGCACTTACAGAGCTGAGCTCCCAGTGTCTTGAGTTTTTCCAGGTCATCTCTCATGGAGTTGGAGAGGTCCATGAGCAAATAGAGATCAATCGGGTAGTTGTTGGATGGTCGGACCGTCAGTTGAAAACTCTTAGGGTCGTCTGAACAAAGATAGAGGCTCACGTATTATCATAGCTTCAGTTGGAACATAGAATATCAAACAGGAATAAAGCACAAAGTGTTTCTTTTTTACTTGTTCTCAGTACGATATTTGCTCGCAGTGGAGATATTTGATTTAGGGCGTTGAAGGAAGCCTGCAGATAAGAGATAAATATATACTCAGACTCAGAGAATATTATATGGGATAAAGTAATCATAATGTACCTGTGTCAGTTGAGGGTCTCTACTTTTTGGATCTTCCAAACCACTTAATGTGCAATCACTTGATAATGGTGATTGTCCTGTCCTGATCTTACATCGAGGTCCCGGCGATGCATGAAGCTAAATATAGGGGAAAAGTGAATGTTCGCATGTGTGAGTGATTTTGGCATAGTTGCCTAATAGGGTCCATTGGCAAGAGTTGTGCGGACGAGGAACTCTGCTCAGCTTATCAAAGTAAGCAGGCTGTTGTTTGTGGCCAGGAGATCTAATATGCCTCATACGTGAAATACTGCTGGTTTGGCAGGCTCTGTGTTGGCCACTGGGGTGGTAGCTATATAGCTAGGATTGTGATCTACCCAGTACCGTGTGGTGTAATGGGAATATAATTAGCAGGCTGGCTGGCACAGGCAATTCCTATGGTGAGTTATTTCCTTGTAAAGGCAATCTGGTAGAGTTTGGCCGCAGCAGCTTTGGCTATGTCCTACGAATCGTGTCGGCATGTACTTAATTATGTAAAAGTTTGTGTCTGGGAACTTCTTTCCTACGGCATGTCTTTGGATCATGGTTGCTTTTGTGGTTGATAGGGATATCTGTTTAGCTAGGTATAATTATCTATGCACAACATGAGCCCTAGCAGCTCTTGAACTGAAGAGTATAGATGGCCCAATAGTTATGCACATTACTTAGAAGTTATGCACAATTATCTAGCCCCTATTCCGCATTGTAGTAGTTGCTGTGTACTCTCTCCAACTTACTCTAGCGAACTCCGAACACCAGGAGCACTGAGGCGAGGCTTGAATGCAGTCTCTGCAGCTGGTCTGCGCCTCGCACAGTTTAGTAACGTCGGCGTTCTGACTCACTGAGAAAAAAATCAGCAATGCAGTGGCCAATATTACCAGTATAACGCATAGAACTGTACCAGCTCCAGTTGCGAGGAAAGCAACTGCTATTACAAGTGTGGTCCTCATAGCTCCTTTTCCCGAACTCCAGCTTTCGCCGAAAATGCAGCTCGCCGCTTTATAGCGCAAAAATCACGCATGCGCATTGGGAGTGGCGCTCGCCGCTGCTTGATGAATGCTAGAGGAACAAGAAAATAATTTTTCCTGATTTTACAGCATAATAATGATCACACTATAGTCAACTGTTCCAATGGTAAACTAGAAAGTTCTCTGTGCCACAGTAGGAGGCTGCAAAAGCTTTCCCACTGGGGGTTGGGTCTGAGAAGGCCAGCTGGTCTTTCGAGACGATGCTCCCAGAAATGAAATTGAATCTGAAAGGGAATATAGAGGGTGAGAGAGTAAAAGGTGCAAAGAGGGAGGAAGGAGCAAAATAAAGAAGACAGGGAGAGAGGGATAGGAGGATGGGATCATCTAAAGTTAGCTTTATACCCAGACTTTTACTGTTTACATTGGGTTTGATTTCTCAAACACATCTCTCTAGCATTACTCTTTACCCGTTGGTGTCACTTTTTGGCCGGTTTGTTGCGCGTGGTGGCAGAAAATGTGGTAACAGACACACACACAGACAGACAGACACAGACCAACTACTATACCCCTCTAGCGCATGCGCGCCGAGGGTTAATAAGGACACCTCACTAAATGGTCTGTCCCACTGGTGCTCAGAGCAGAGGGGTTCTACTCTATGTATTGCACAAACAGACTTGGGTTGTGAGGCTAGTTAAAACCACCTGATAGTGTCCAGGATGCGTGAGGCCACACCCCTCCTCCGATGTTGCCGACACACCCACACTCTATTGACTCCCACTATAGCCGGCCTCGGGGTAGAGCTGCAGTACCATGCAGATTGTGAATCCAGATGCTGGCCCTCTGACAACAACGACGATGTAATTGATAATGATGTCATTGACGATGATGTCGTACTAGAGGAGTTTCGACTATCGTGTGCAGTTGAGGGTGAACCGAGTACTGGATATCCCTGGAAAAAAATCTTTTTGTGAAGTATACTGCAAAGTGTGAGTAATGGTATACATTTCTAGTGTGCATAAAGTCCGATTTCTACTCAATGTGTACTGCAGCTCTACACAGTATACAAATGGAAGCTGCTGGAATGTACCTCTGATATTCTTTCAGCAAATACACATCCCATGACTTTCTTGGCAGCTGACACATATAGGTACATCTGGAAAACACGAAAGACAAATAAACGGCAAACGACAGTGTCGACACCCATGACACTGCAAGCTCTGTGAAGGCTACAAACAGCAACGTAGCCCTTAACATTTCCCTTAGAGTGGAATACTAATAGAGAGGGAATTAGTAAGAAAACTTGCAAGGGCTGTTTGTCATACATACAGTTAGTGATAGGGACATAACAATTACTGCCAGACAGCCGTCTGAGATATACTTTTATCTGCAACACAACACAAAACTTGGTCGTCCACAAGTTTCCCATTATAGTCCATAGCTATATACACACCTTAGTGGTGGGTCTCCAAGGACTGACTCCAGCGGCCAACCCCAGCTCAGAATCAACCAGCGAACACAACTCCCGGACTTTTCTCAAATGGTGTCTACGATCGTCTGGAAACACCGCCAGGATTCGCCCGTCGAAAAACACCTCAACGACCCGCTCGTTCTTCCAGCCGTGAAAGGAAATTCCCGACAGGTAGCGTCTGTGGAACCGTGCGTGGTCGGCCTCGTCTTGGGTGTGCCCGAGAGAGTAGACCATTCCACACGCACGACACGTCGCATGGCCGAAACTCTTCTGGCCCAAGTCGAGGCAAAGCTGGCGAAGTTTCTCGCGGCGTTTCTTGTTAGCGGTGGTTGTAGTCGCTCCCGAGCTGCGCTTCAGTTGGAGTTTGGTTTTGCTAGTAGGACCTGAGGTGTTTCTAACACGCCTCCCGGTGTCCCTAGCCACCCATTTCCTGTTTATCTCTATTGATGGTAGTTTTGAAGACTTTGAAAGTTCGGAGAAAAACTTTGGTCCCAGAGGGAGAAAGCTCGAGCCTGCAGCTATTTTACCCTCTCTCCCAACGCTGGTGACTATTCCTGTGTGTTTGTGAGCTCCTTTCGTGTCGTTCTCCGTACTGTTCTCTTTGTCTTGGTCGTCGAGGGAGGAATCACAGTCATGACACGTCGGCCAAATGTCGGGCGGCACCGTCGGCGTGGCGTGCTGAGCGAGCGGTTCGTCTTTTCCCCAGGCCTCGTCCAGAAGGTCTCCCCAGTTTATCCGTCTCCTCTCACCGTTTACTGCCTGTCGCTCCATCCCCCTACATCAGCTATGTACGTGTGTTGATAATTCCAGCGAATTTCCCGCGTTTATTACTGCGCATGCGCAAAACGGCAATAAGCCCCGCCCCTCGTGTGGGAGAGTCGAGGTTTTCCGCTCGCAGTCCGTGTCGGGTGCACCGTATACTGAAGTGTCTAGCAGAAGTAGTGAGCTTGAATGCCCTCAGATCATTGAGTTAAATATGCCGTGGAATACTGCAGCGCTTCGTTTGTGTTGCATCCTTTCAACCCTGCTGTGGAGCTCAGGTAAGCGGCTGCTATACGGAGGACTTGTAGGGAGAGTAGCACAAGATCGGACCACACCCAACCTGTTTGCTACTTACTTCAGCCATCTCGAGCCAATTGTTGATTTTATAGCCACATAAATTACTTGGATTGCATAAGTATATTACCTTACCTTAGTTACAACCTCTGGATTTTGAACGGTAGAATCGGGAGACGTTTACTTTCTGTATTAGCCTACTAGCTAGCTATAGCTAGTGTGTTTGGTCCCACCTGAGGTAATATACTTTCAGTCTACCGTGCGCATAGCTTGTTCCAAGCATGGTACTAACCACGACGCCTGTGTATATCTGCTAAGCCCAAACTCAATAAGCTGGTTTGACAAGGAAGTTGCAGTTTGACAAGGAAGTCTCATATAGACAGGAAATTCGAAATGTCATGACCCATATACCTCAACTTCCCTTGTAGGTTGCGTCTATTTTGAGCTTTCAACCAATATAGAGTTCCGCTGGTAAACGTTGAGTGCAAAATTTGCTGAGAGTGTACATTTGAATGCGTAAAGGGCATTCATGGCAAATGGCATTGACGTACTGAGTAGTACCCGTATAGTGCAGTCTGGTGTAGGTTTACTCGTGATTGATCTGGCTAACAATGAAAGTGCATACATACATACACTCTATGTACAATGTACAGTACGTCTGAATCTGTCACATCAGCCTTATACCAGGAGCATTAGTATGGCTGGTAGTAATTCTGTAGAGTATGTGACCTTCTCATAGCACAATTAGAGTATACACTATACTGAATGTATTGATGATTGTGACCTTCTCATAGCACAATTAGTATACACTATACTGAAGGTCCTTATCACATTGATGATTGTGACCTTCTCGTATACACTATACTGAAGGTCCTTATCACATTGGTGATACTGTGCCATCTGGACCACTGCTAGTAGGCGAATGCATGGCATTTTTGGCGAGCGGGACGAGCACACAGTGACTGTAACTCCACGACCCATCCTAGCAGTTGATTCCTGCGTAGTAGCGCTAGGCGAGCCTCTCTCTCCTCGCTGGACTCGACTGCAATTCGCCTTGTCTGATAGCTCCGGATCTGTTGGAGCCTGGCCTGTTGCGTTTCCTCTATAATATATACAGACGATTGCGAAATTCCATTCAGTTTCGCGTATTTAGAATCACGTAAAACCTTTCGGTATGTGCAGTGCCGTCCTCTGTCACATACGTATATATAGAAAGATCGCCACTAGGTTAGCTCGCTCCCGCTCGCCAATTATGTGGAATCAATGTGTGTGTGATTGTTTCTGGTGCAGGGAATGCAATAGACTGTGAGCTACGGCAGACGTGTAGCGACTGCATCACAATTGACTTGACCTGTGGCTGGTGTGCCGATGAGGTATATGTCGTACACTTTCTGGATTGTTGTTCAATGTAGTCGGAAATAGAGAGACTGTCTATGCTGGGTTGGGCTAGAGTTCATCAGTCGTGTTGTGTATTAGACTTAGAGAGCGTCTCCCCTTATGTATATATACGCAATTTCCTGTTTTAGTGTGAGCATAGTTCGACTACAGTATGTGTTTACAGTGTGTATAAGGCCTCACTCAATGTCAATATAGCCTCCCATGCCATGCCTGCTGTGCCGTGCCTGCACTCAGCAGTTCACTATCCAGCTACTTGGAACGACTCCCACTGCACACAGTGATTGTTTATACCCACTACAAAAGAACGCATGGTTCTTTAGTAAATTTATTTCGCTCTACAAAATGTTTGTAGTCTTGAAAAGCTTCCCCCTTGTGATTAATTAGCATCCCTCCTAAAGTTGCTCTCTGCAAGATTTATGGATTGTGTCCTCGCACATCAAAATATTTACACTTGTGGTAAACGACTGTTGTTATAATCGCGTGTGTGTGTGGTCTATATCGGCAGTTGTACACAATCCATGTCATCTTGTAGTTAGGTACATATATATACATGAAACTTACATGTCATGTAACACCAGTGTAAATTACAGGTCTAAAGTGTATGTACTTACAGCAGGTGTGATCATACACCCATATAATTATGCCTATTATATGTTGTGTGAGTGCATGCTCTCCTGCTCGTACTAAGGATGACTTTACTTCCTCAAGAATTTCCTTGTTCTATTAGTCACGCACCACAGTGTATATATAATATATATAGTATATATATTATAGTTATGTATATAAATATATGTACTTTCCCAACACGCAATCCACTTTCCATCTTCACCATAAATGGAGTGACCTTTGTGGACACTATGTACAGTATGTTTGTTGTATGCGTGCTACCATATCATGGACATTAGGCTCTCCATATGTCGGTAGAATGTTGTAAGCTTGTACACATCGAGTGGTGGGGCATCACTTTAGCATTTTCTGGCATTGAACCAAATGCTTGGAAGTTCTGCAAGTGGTTGTGAACAAGCAAGCATTTGGACACTCTGTTAATGTAATGGCTGGCTGATGACTCATACGGAGCAGGGCAAGGCAGAGCACTCTGTGTTCTAGAGAGGGTTCTACCAACTGAGCTACTGAGGCAGCTCAGCTGGCTGGGCTGAATCACTCCTACAGAGCAGGGCAAAGCAGAGCACTCTGTCTTAGCTGGACACTTGCACTGCATATACTTATATATGTACATACTGTAATGTTTTACATACACGTAAAACACCTGAAATTTTGCTCAATTGTGTCTCTTGCCAAAACTCTGATTGCATTTGTCTAGTAAGTTCATAATCTATGGCTTTACATACATACCTCTACTTTATGTACAAGTAGAACATGCAATATTGAAACACTTGTACTATAGCTGTGTTGTTGCGAAACTACAAGTACCCAGAAAAGAAAGCTGTTTATTGTGTAGGTTCATGTGTATGGGGAGCGTTGGTTGCAAACTGAAAGTTTTTGCCTACTCTCACAGGGTGTAAGACTGGACAGCAGATGTAGACTGAACGGAATGCACACTGACTGCGGCAATGTCTTTGCTCCAGCCAGCGAGATAGTGGTGCCCCAAGAGGTTTGCGCCATTTTGCTACATACGTGTATGTTCATAATGATACCCTCTCTATACTTATATGTTCATATGATATGGTATACAAAATTCTGAACTCCTTATATACCGCATTATTGCAAAGCTGTACAGTGCACTGAAAAGGGTATTGGTGTTCAAATTTTATATGGTATACCTGCACGGGTGTATATATAATATGGTCAAATTCTGAACTCCTTATATACCGCATTATTGCAAAGCTGTATAGTGCACTGAAAAGGGTATTGGTGTTCAAATTTTATATGGTATACAATGCTTACCTGCACTAGGGTGGGTATTGGTGTATATATAATAATATGGTCAAATTCTGAACTCCTTGTAATTGCAGAACTGTATAATTATATGGTGCACTAGAGGTGTGTTGGTGTATGTTTCAAAAACAGTGACAGCTGCAGTGTTGTTGACCAAAAGTGTATGCATGGCGAAAATGTGCTCTGTATATACCATAACAGTAGTGGGAACTCAACGAAAAGAACCATAGCAAACAAGGAGAAAGCCTTTGCTGATAGTGGGTTAGAAACCGCGAAATTTACAAACGTTTTCTCCATAATATATAGATCGAGCTTTAGATTTCCCGATATACAGCGGAACTGGTTGCACGGTATTACGTAACAGTGCGGTGTGTGTTATCATACGTGTGTTTATCCTAGCGGCGAATTTTTTTTAAATGCTTTTTTTCTCGCTTGTGCAGCCTCCGCCGGCGACCGCCATATCTCCGGAGACGTACAACGTATCTCTCAGGAACACTGACACTCTCTCGCTGCCGATTGACGTCACGACGGTCCGGAACATTCCGCTAGACCTCTACATTCTCTTCGACGTTTCGCAATCGATGGACGAGGAGATTTCGGCCATTCAGGGAGCCTCAGCTGAAATTAGTGAGCCCTCTCTAAAATATAGACTTTCCACTCGCATTTTTTGTTGTTTTGTGTGTTCATAATTATAATGGGCATTAATTTTTTCCACGGCCATTACTTTTTTCCACGCCTTTTTGCTGCTTTGTTTCTTATTTTCTACGCCCATTACTTTTGCCCCAATTTTTTCCACGTCTTTTTTGCTGTTTTGTATGTTCATATCAAATTTGTCGAATTTCTTCATATAATTATTATGGTAATGGATATACAACTTTGCCCACATTTCCGCAGTTGCGAGACTGCAAAACATCACTGATGATGTACAGGTGGGAGTAGGATCCTACGTCGACAAGGCAACACTTCCCTTCTCAAGGCGAAACTTGTAAGATGTATAGAGAGAAAAATTGTCCATAGTACCCACTCACGCGTGAAAACGTGTTTACTTATATGGTCATATAGAGGAACCTGTCTATAGTGGCCACATGATGGCCTCAATAAGGGTGGTCTTATTAAAGGTAATGTGTGGGTATATATAATAAGGGCTAAATAATAATAATAATACTCGAGGTGGCTGCCATAGCACTAAGGCCATAGACCACGCACCCAGAGCAATTACGGAACTCAATTGCATTCTTTCACTGTGCCCCTATTGTTTTGTTCTATCTTTAGTAACACATAGCCCTTATTAATACTGCCACATTCCCTTTAAGGAGATGGTCTATTTATGGAGGTAAAAAATCAATTGGAGGTAAAAAATCAATTATTGGTACATAGACAAATGGTCTATTTCTTATAATAGGGTGTTTCACCGTAATTGTAATGAATACGTTGTTGTGTCCATATAAGGTGTTTGGTTCCGTGTGAGTGCCCTGTAACCAGTGTAGTGTGTCCTATAAGCATTGTGATGCACATTATGTCATTTTCACTAACAGGACACAAGAGTCGGGGTGTATTAAACCTGGAGGACGTAAGTTCCTTATTGCATGTGGAATCGTTGCATAAACTATGTAATGTGCTTTTTCCTATAGCCTGTTACAACTTCCGTCACTACGGGCGAATGACTAATAGTCGTGAAGAACTATCGGTAAGTGTACATTAGTTTATTGTGGAACCCCTCTCTAAGGACACCCCTGGAATGAGGACACCTCTCTAAGGACACCCCTGGAATAAGGGGACCTCTCTAAGGACACCCCTGGAATAAGGGGACCTCTCTAAGGACACCCCTGGAATGAGGGGACCTCTCTAGGCACCTCTCTAAGGACACCCCTGGAATGAGGGCACCTCTCTAAGGACACCCCTGGAATGAGGGGACCTCTCTAATAAGGACACCCGGCACCTCTCTAAGGACACCCCTGGAATGAGGGGACCTCTCTAATAAGGACACCCGGCACCTCTCTAAGGACACCCCTGGATTGAGGGCACCTCTCTAATAAGGACACCCGGCACCTCTCTAAGGACACCCCTGGAATAAGGGCACCTCTCTAATAAGGACACCTTTTCTTTCCCATTTGGATTCAGTTTAGCCCCCCGAGATGGGGATAGCTCACTAATATGGACACTTTCTTCTGTCCCGTTGGTGTCCAGATTAGAGGGGTTCCACTCCACTGTAACCACTAACCCATACTGATTCTCCATATCTTGTGTGCGATGTGTAGGAGCGTTTTTCCCGGATCGAGACGGGCTCAAACATCGACGCACCCGAGGCAGGCCTGGATGCCATGGCACAGGCTGTCATCTGTAACGAGAGCGTGGGGTGGAGGGATTCCGCCGTGAAGATGATCCTCACTTTCACGGACGACGCCTTCAAATTTTCCGGGGAAGGACGGGTACGTACATACAGTATAATAATGTACTGCTCCACCTCACGTCACTTGATGGTCGTAGCTTATGAGAACTTTTTTTATAGTTCTGTAGAAATATGTACATCATTTTACTGTGGGACCTCTGATAATGAACACCCCGAACAGCAAACACTCTCTATAATGATCTTATTCCTACGTACCAACAGACTTTACCATTATATACGTATATATACCTCTCGATAAGGAAAACCTCAGAATAAAAAATACCCCAAAGGTCACTGTATATACTAGCGTGTGAATAGGTTACAGCTCTGTGTGTGTGTTTCATTTAACACTGGACACTATGTAATAGTATATAGTAGCACGCCTACCAGGTGTCTTCCACGTATATATATGCGCAAAGTAATATTACGTAAACCCGAGGGATTATGCAATATTACTGAGCGCATACACGTGGAAGGCCCGTCAGTAGGCGTGCTACTGGTAGCTTGTACACTGGAGAACCGCGCGCGTGTCTGAGCATCTGACAGCGTGTTCTCGTCCCATCTGATCTGAGCGGAACGTCCGACAGCATCGTCGCCATGGAGGACCAGGACTTACGCTCTCCGAAAAAGAGAAGCGATGCACAAGGAAGCCTGGTGGATGGGCCCGGCGTGCAGGTCACGCGGGAGCTCCTGCGCACCCTCGCCGACTTCACGTCGTAGTTGGAGGAAGACTCTTGTTGCCTCGATTCTCCTGAAAGCCGCTTTCCTACTATATATGTCCGAGGAAGAAATAGCGAAATAGCTGAGATTTCAAAGGTATTCGTTCCAAGTAACACTGCCAAAAACACCCGATGGGCTGTAGGTGTGTGGCGAAGCGCTCGGAACTCCGCGGGAGGCGCCGAACGACTCTGTCTGGTCGATTGGGAACAAGTGTGAAAAGTAACAGGTAATATCACTCATATTACCTGTTACCTTTCACACCTGCAGTCATATTACCTGTTACTTTTCACACCTCTTCAGGCTACTCCACTAATACACTCAGCAATTTTCCATTGTTCTGAGGCCTAGCCAGGGTACAAATTATACTAACTTCTATGTACGTATGTATGTACCTTTTTTGATCACGTTTCTTTTCTTTTTCTCTCACCGTTTGTGTTTCACGTCATGCAGCAAGGAGGGATTCTGACTCCATTTGAGACTGTGTGTGGCCTCACAAACAGTACAGAGACCAACAGTTACACCATGTACTCTGGCCTTAGAAATGTAAGACTTCCCTCTCTGTATCCCCTTCCCTCCCTCTTCCTCCTACTCCCCCCCTCTCTCTTTCTCTCCCTCCCTCCCTCCCTCCTTCCTTTGCATAACTCCTTCCAAAAGTGTCCAAAACACCATTTTCCCATCTCCACAGGACTACACGTCACCTGGACAGCTACTGAGCTTTCTGGAATCCTCCAACATCATTCCAGTCTTTGTGTCTGTCACCAGTAGTGCTCAGGCACAGGGTTTCTATAACGTCTCACAAACACATCAGGTATTATACTAGTGGAAATGCTTGGCATTCTTTGGGCGAGCGGAGCGAGAATTCAAAAGTACGTATATATATACAACCATCATCATTACTACTACGTACCTACAGGTAAAATGTTTCAGCAAGTAACAGAAGTTATTATGGTGTTGTCATATCAGGTTGAGTAAGGCAGCTTGCGCATACGTAGCTAGTGAAACTAGACCAGAAGAAAGTAGCAACGGAAAGGTAATGTGCCCGCTCCCCCTCTCCATCTCTTAATCGTCGCTGAAAAGACAAGCCTCTCTGTCGTGAGGACTTTCGACGGCCGGGCGTTCTGTCTGTCTACCTCTTGGACCAGAAGCAGTATCGTTGCCTTGCCCGCTCTCGATCTCGTAATCATCCCTGAAAAAGACGAGCCTCTCTGTCGTGAGGACTTTCGACGGCCGGGCATACATAGATAGAAAATTCGAGCCGAAGACACGATTCTCTGTCTGTTTTTCTTCGACGAAGAACACTATCCTCCGCGGATGAATCTATCTCCTTCGAAGCCAACTGGACGGGACTGTAAGAGGATGGAGAAAAATGTCCACACAGTATGTCGTGTAATAAGAAACGCGTAATATTAACGCATGCGCACTAAGACGACGACGGTGCGTCGTATATATATATATAAATATATAGATAGAAAATTCGAGCCGAAGACACGATTAGGTGGGTTCGTTCCGCTCGCCCAATAAACATGTACTGACCTCAGGTATAATGTAGTTTACGTATAGACCTCTCTAAGGAGGGGGCTTTCTCATGCTTAACTTTTGGTTACGGTCTCTATAACGTTTCACAAACAGGTATTTATGTAGTTATTTCAGTGTAAGGCCTCTGTTGTAATTTAGTTATTTCCTTTGTAGACCTCTGTGTGTATTTATTGCAGGAGCTTGCCCGACTCTACAACATGAGGCTGAGTGGTAGAGCCAGCTTTGCCAGCGTCAACACAACCGGAACTAACGAAAGTAATGATTATACAACTTGTTGGAAATGCTTAGTCGTCTTGATATAGCGGAGTGAGCTAGCACCTTACCCTGAGAGCTACGCGCACTGCAAGCGGTCCCTAACATCAAAACCGTCGGTAGAGATTTCACCGCAGAGATTTAACCCGGTGACCAAATGGCTCCACGACAGTAATGAGGGACTATTTGAGTGATAGCTCTACCACCTATAGCTTGAAAGATACAGCTTTGCAAAAAGAGCTTGTGTCTGCGGAAGATTGTCAAAAGAAGCGTGTAATCTCAACGCCTGCATTATACGTAGAAAATACGACTGAAGAAATGACTGGGTGGGATATAGCTCCACTCACAAAATGAAAAGAACTAAGGGGACTTCTCGTATTATGCACAATAAAAAAGTTGCTGAAATTAATTAACGGGTCACTCTTTATACAATTGGAGTGGTATACCAATGTTTAGTGCATAGCTGGTTTAAATCGAGCAATCTTATTGGTCCACACGAGGTATGTACTTGATTTTTGATTTTTGTCATGTGTATGTATATGCCTGTGTTTTGTGTGTAATAGCTGTGTGTTTTCCCTCTTGCAGCTGGTATTGCAAATAGCATTCTCACCATCATTGACCAGCAAGTTCTGGTAAGTCGACTTCTGGCAAATGTTTATAGTGATATATTGCTGAGGGACTACAAAGGCAGTGTGTGTGTGAGATAAGTTCCATTCAAAAAATAGTTGTAAAACAGAGGAAGGACGGCATTTGTTTTTTGCAGTAAGCTTTATACTTGACTAGGTTTTGTTGTTTAAAGATAAAGAGCTCTTGTTTTGGCAATGTTGTATGATTATACGATTATATCTTTTGCCACTGAATTTCAGTTCATCCTCTCTCAAACTGGACTTTCTCCCGAAAGAATCAACGGGATTTCATTTTCAGTTAAAGCTGAATGCCCTGCAAGGTAAGTGTGCACATTATAACTGAGTTCATAATCATACTATACACTAACTATTGGGAGATCTCATGCTACACTACTTCTTTGGTGCTATTGGGAGATCTCATGCTACACTACTCTTTGGTGCTATTGGGAGATCTCATGCTACACTAACTCTTTGGTGCTATTGGGAGATCTCATGCTACACTAACTCTTTGGTGCTATTGGGAGATCTCATGCTACACTAACTCTGGTGCTATTGGAGATCTCATGCTACACTAACTCTTTGGTGCTATTGGGAGATCTCATGCTACACTAACTCTTTGGTGCTATTGGGAGATCTCATGCTACACTAACTCTTGGTGCCATTGGGAGATCACATGCTACACTAATTCTTTGGTGCTAATGGCGTAAAACTTGTGTGTATGCAGAGCTATTGAGCTGAATGAAGGCACGAATATGGAGTCGTGCAGCAACGTGAGCGTGGGCGACACCACTCGCTTCACTCTCAACGTTAAACTCTTGGACTGCGAAGTATTTGGCACTGAAACCAGGTAAGAAGAGGGGTGGCGTGGGAGAGAGGGAGAGAGGAATGAGGGAGTGAAGGGAGGGGGAGGGGGAGATTGAAAATGGAGAGGGAAGATAGAAGAGACGGATAGGAGAGAGAGAAATGCGGAAGGGAGGGAAGAAAGAAGCAAGATCTTACAATGTCTGTGTGCATTCAAGGGCGTTGAGATGTATTCAAGGGGGTCCCCCTAAATAAAATCTCGAGAACGAGGAAGAGAAGAGAAGAAGGGTGTGCAATAATATTATAAAGAAACCTTCCATTTCTTGCCCGAACAGGGAGGTAGCTGTGAGCGTGTTTCCACTGGGGCGAGTGGTCATCGAAATCACGCCAATCTGCTCCTGTCTCTGTGACGATTATGTGAGTCATACCAAGATCATGTGACCACAGTATGATGTCACGTGTTTGTCACATGACAGGAGGTGAATAGTCCAAGATGCAGCTTCAATGGAAACTTCTCTTGTGGTGAATGTACCTGCAAGGAGGGATAGTAAGTTTATTGCTTAAGAGTAAGAGTAAAATTTTGTGGTCTCAATTAATAACCTACTGAGAGTGGATGCTTGATTGCATTCTTTCACTGGGCCCTATTGTTTAGTTCTATCTTTAGTAGCATTTCTAAATTTAGCCCTTATACTGCCACATTCTCTTTAAATGTTTGGAAGGAAATGTTTGCAGCATGTAAGTAAACTGTATCTCTTCCCATTCTCTTCATTATAGTTGTGGTCTTCAGTGTCAGTTCAATGTCAGTGTCAGAACAGGCTGCCCGTGAGTATATGTAGCATTGTACCTTTAGATACCACGTGATATTATGATAAATCATGCTACTATGCCGAGGAAAAAGGGAAAAAATTATTTGAATTTTTTTGCCTTTGTTTTTTAGGCTTCTTAGGGCACCATACATTACTATAGGAGCGGCATTAAATAGAAGTTGTGCACGCATCCATTCTCTAGTCTAACCAAAAACCTGCCCGCGTTTCGTATTCCATTGTCTGTGATTTATATATGTATATGAAGTAAGAACCCGTTTTTTGGTGAATTTGTGAATGCAGTGATGGTCTTGGAGGGAATATCTGCAGTGGAGAGAGGGGGGCGTGTCTGGGGACCTGCGAGTGTGTGTGTGAGATGAACCTCACTGCAATAGTGGACAATCCAAAACTGCTTCGAGTTGGGGTGAGCACACGGCTAGCTAAGAGAGCCCACTTAGTCGTCTTGAGCCCATGGCTAGCTGAGAGAGCCCACTTAGCCATCTTGAGCCCATGGCTAGCTGAGAGAGCCCACTTAGTCATCTTGAGCCCACGGCTAGCTGAGAGAGCCCACTTAGTGTGGTGGTAGATATGGGCTAAATATACTAGTGTTACTGAATATAAACAAAAGGGCCCAGTGCAATAATGCAATATTAAGCTTCTAGTTTCAGTGACAGTTTTTACTGTCAAATTCCCTGAGTTATCAGGCTCGTAAACGCTGGCACCAATAGTTATGCTCCTATAATTATAGTGCATCTCCATATCTTGTGCATTGGGGTACTAAATGAGCTACGTAAACAGACACACCCCAATTAAAGTTAATGTAACTGATTTATGAGCCCTTTGGTGTGCCCGTACCACCCAGTAAGCCACGCCCATACTCTGGTAACTGAATGTGTACATAATGTATGTTCGTAATGATCCGACTGTTGGTGATGGTCATGGTGCAGGTGAACGCCAGTGCATTTGGCCCGCCTGCGAGTGTGACTATTTCACCTGCCTGCCTCCAACTGGTTCTGAAACCACGGTCTGCTCCGGTGAGCCAGTCCCATTCCCATTCCCCATGTCACCTTCCTGCTCTGAGAATGAGATACTTTTCTATGGACTAGAGTAGAACCCCTCTCTAGGGGCACCTCCGAAATAACAAATAAGGACACTTTTTCTTTTCCACAAGAACAGTTCCTACATCTGATAATTGGAGACACCTCACTAATAATTATAATGGGGGGAGAAGAAAGTGTCCCTGTTAGTGGTGTGTCCTTATTTCAGGGGTTAATATGTGTGCAAGAATGGCTTGTGGGGAAAAAAGGTATCCTTATACTTCAGGGGTTTCTTTAGAAATGGGTTGCACTATATTAATTTTCATATGGGAAGGTAGAATGCTTTAATAAGCTTTGAATCCTCTGCAGGTAATGGTGACTGCTGCAACGGGAAATGTGTGTGTCATTTCGACGAGAACGGAAACCAGTATCGCAGCGACGGAACGAACGACCTCAACTGCAGATGCAAGCCTGCAGAAGTCGTCTGTCAACCTGTGAGTCATTCAGAACCGTAGAAAATTTCACAGAGAAAAAAACCTGCATTTTCATGTGTTTTTGGTGGGGAACGTGGCGGTAAGTTTAAAGATGGAACTATCAAGTCACACAATACAAATTTTGCATGTTTTATGAGATCGCTTAAGTATTTTCGAAATACTTACAGTTTTAGCGTGCGATGAACAACCTGAGCGTTTGTGAAAAAGTTACTTTTTTGACCAATCTGCGAAAGTTTTTTGGTCCTGATGTGAAAGCAGTTAGTTTATTGTACGTGTGCTGTGTGTTTTACTGCAGAATTCTACTGAACTGTGCAGTGGAGTTGGTAGGTGTGACTGCGATAGTTGCAACTGCCCAGAACCTTACAGTGGACAACACTGCCAATATGTGGTAAGTTTTCTTCTTTTCTTCTCTTTCTCATTCCTCTCTCTCTCCTCTCTCTCTCTCTCTCTCTCTCTCTCCTCTCCCTCTCCTCTCTCTCTCTCTCTCTCTCTCTCTCTCTCCTCTCTCTCTCCTCTCTCTCTCCTCTCTCTCTCCTCTCCCTCTCCTCTCTCTTCCCCCACCCCCTACCTTTCTTCCCTCCATTCATCTCCCTATCAAATACCCAATTCTCCATTCATACTTAATAGGGACTAGAAGACTGTTTCGATCTCGCCACTGAACCAGAGATCGAGACGTGTATCTTGAACGAGAAAGGCAGGACCAACCGTGAGACCCGGTGTCAGAGCTGCTCGTTCAGTGTCTTCACACTGTCAACGTATCGTGCGTGCTCATCATTCCTCTCAGCCAACAGCCAACCAGTGCAGACGAAGACGTCGTTCAGAAAACAATCGTAGATTTTGTTGCCCAGACGCCTGATGGTCAGCTCATCACTTGTGCATGCCACCATTAAACCCTGTACATTGTTTATTTGTGATAATAATTATAGTGAAACCTCTGAATAAGGGACACTTTATGGACGTGGGAAAAGTAGAGGTAGCCCTCAGTCAGAAGCGTGGGGAATCATCAAGTGTCCTTTGTAGGTTACTCTTTTCAGAGGTTTTGCTGTTCATTGCCCATTAAAGAACAGTTAAGAACGTGTCCTCACTAGAGAGGTGTTCCCACTCATTTCGGAAGTGTTGTGGCCCCACTGCAAAATGTAATGTAGTCCTGCATTTAGAAACTGATTGATACACTTTCCCCAGGTCCCCCAGGTACTTCGTACAAGTTTATTAAGATGTGCTTCTTCGTCGATAACGACTCGTGCACCCATGATTATTACGTCGTCTACAACGAAGATGACATCAGCGAACTCGTGTTTGTTGCTGAGGAACAGAGAAGTAAGAGTCAACAGTACAGTCTATATTATAGCATAAATCCATTTTAATCCGGACACCAGTGGGATAGAAGAAAGTATCCACATTAGTGAGGTGTCCTTGTTTCATTGCATCCAAGAAATGATTCTTGGGGGAAAGAAAGGTGTGCTTTGATATTGTTGTTGTTGTTGTTGTTGTTGTTTGTAGGGTGCCCAAGTACGTCAGAGGCCTTCCAGCTGCCGATTGAGCTCTGGGCCTTGGCCATCATCCTCCTGGGGCTGCTTCTCCTGTTTGGACTCTTCATTCTCGTCATCATCAAACTTCTGTTCTTGTTGCTGGTGAGTTGTAGTACTGTATGATAGTGCATATAACCTCCAACTTTGCAGATAAATTTTGCTGGGTGTGTTTAACCCTAAAGTGGCTGTTACAAGCGTGATTTTGCATCTGCATTGGGCTTCCTCTTAAAAATATTAGCGTTTGTGTGTGTGTGTGCGTGCGTGCGTGTGTGTGTGTGTGTGTGTGTGTGTGTGTGAAGGCTTTCCTTGTGTAGTTAGAGTTGTGTATAATTCTGTAGGACTACTTTGAGGTAAAAAGATTGGAGAAAGAGGTTGGAATGGCGGACTTCTCAAAGGTTAGGATGAGTTAATTAATGTGTAAGTATACATGTAAGGGCTAAATTTAGAAATGTCACTAAGGATGGAACTATAAGCAATATATAGGACACAGTGAAAGAATGCAATTACATTTCTAAGTTTAGCCCGTTTATACTCCATCATTTCCATTTTGCTTCGATGTGTTCCGTGTCCAACTTGTCGTCATTTTCCCCTCCAGAATCAGAATCCCCTGTATCAGAGTCCGGACGTGGAATACAAAAATGTTGCCTATGGCAAAGAGTAGCTTCAATTCTCCACATAACAAACTGTTATCGTGTGCTATTGTAATTATTGTACCTCCACTTCTCTCTCAATTAACTCTTGTGCTATTGTAATTATTGTACCTCCACTTCTCTCTCAATTAACTCTCATCTCAGTTTGTAGCAACTTATAATATAGGAACCTTTTTACTACTTGTATTATACTTATCGTATTTACTCTGTTAATATTACATTTTTTGCCATAAAATTTTAATTGTGTTGTGTTAGGCTCAGATGATCAATGAGAAATTAATGGGGCAAGCAGTATAATTATAAAGCTCATTTCTTATTGTTTGGGCTTTTGTTTTACTCTTAACAGAACCGCCTGGTCTTAGAATAGCTATATATAATATAGCTACATAATGACAAACTGGCCGTATGAGATTGGCAGTATAATATAGGAAGAAAGCAAACTAAGCTGGGAAAATTAATTATGTTCCGCAGAATGCATATAAACGCATGCGTTAAAGGTGCACGAGCGCCCATGCGCTATACACGCCGAGGCGCTTAACTGGCCCCGTTCCCATTCTGCTAGTGTCGGTGCGCGTTTCACGGGCGGCTGGAATGGAACGCGAAATAGTTATCACGCAGCTCAAGTTTATTCCCATAATTGGCTTCCTGTCGAACCGCAAGCATTTGGCACTGCGCAGAGTTCCCTACAGAAAAGAGTCCAGTCTGAAGCTCGGAGACAAGCCAGCCGCCCATTTTCAACCCGTTCCAGTTGCTATTCGAACCTCCGTCCAGAGAGAATATCCCGCCACTGAGACAGCTGCAGATCCTCCCCGCCACGCTGCAAATGGCGAGAACTTTACTACTACTCGCCGCGTGTTTAGCCGCGGCTCAGTGCATAAAGAACATCGACCTGCAACAGCCGATAGTGCGGCTGGCTCCGGACGAGCTAAACGACGAGGGGTACTTCGGTTATAGTTTGGTTCTGCATCAGAAGGTCGACTCAACGGGATTCTCTGCTAGTCTAGATAACACATAGTGAGTTTTCTGCAGTAATTATACGCGAGGGTCGGATATAACTGAGCTTCGTATGTTACTTCATGAATGTGTTATTTTTTTACCAGAGACTAGAAAAAGTGTTATCTGGCTCGTTAATCTTAGCCCATGGCTTGATTGTTGTTACGCGTGATTGGTTACTAGCCCCACCCACAATTAATCTTATCCTCCCTCCCCTCCCTCTCTTTCTTTTCTCTCTCAGTCTGATTGTAGGGGCACCTAATGGTACACATAGCAATTCCGAGGTGAGGAACACTGGATTTGTATACGAGTGCAGAATCACAGGAAATGGAAAGTGCACAAGAATAACACATCTCTCGGACGATTCCGGTAACTCATACTCCGATTCCACTTGTGTATTAGCGTTTATGTAGTAACTTTGTACGACACATGCTTTTATTGTAGTCTGTAACTTGTGTGTGTGTGTGTGATAGTTTTCGACCTGAGATGATCGAGCAAGGGTGTATGCAGTGTGCTATTCTAAAAAGCAGTTATCCCTTAATGGGGGGGAATAAGATACCATAATGACCCCCATGACAATAGAGTATCAATTGGGTGTCAGGATTTTGACGCTGCAAAAGGTTACCACTTGGTCTAGAGGAATTCTCTTGGGTGTCTTCTGCTTACCCACATTTACTATGGTGTTAGCCAGTGAACATAAAATTCTGACACCTGTCAACTGGAAAGAAGTATATACTACCTACATAAGGACACCCCTGAAATGAGGACAACTGTCTTTCTAAGAACAACTCCCGCAAATTAACCCCTGAAATATGTGTGAACACCTCACAAAGTATGGACACTGTGTTCGGTCCCATTAGTGTGTACAGTATTATATATACCTTGATTCTCTGCACTTAGTAGACCCATTAATTAAAGAAGCAAAATTACAGTGGAGCCTCTAAGTAAAAGACGCGTTGAAACCGCGAAAACTGTCCTTAATACGGAGATATACTTTTGACATGAACTGAATCGAAGCCCAGAGTGTCCCTCATAGAAAGTCATCCTTTATTCAGAGTGTCCATTTATGATATTTTCCTATCTAGGAGTCTATATAGTTTATACTAGGCGACTACCATATGACCCATGATTGCATAGCTCCATAATGAATACAACCTGTACACAGGTAGCCACAAGGACTCAGGATTATCGTGTGTTTGGTTACAGTGCCATGCCAGTTGGCCTTCTAGAGGCACATTCGGTGGCCAAGTCTCTCTTGGCTTGGTTGGGAGCTGGCAGCCACATCAACTGCGGCTTACAGCTCCCAGCATGCACGCCATATCTCGGCTAACTCATGCAAGAAATTACCTTGCGACTATGTGGACATTTTACCTGCTATTTAAGGGGCATCTGCTAAATGCTAAAACAGGCCTGAATAGTATTATGTATAGGTGCAGAGTAGGTGTGATATCTATAGGGGCCAATAGATATAAGCTTGGACTATGCTTCATACAGGAGTGTCCTTATTTAGTGGTTAAGCGATGCAATAAAGTGTAAGAAGAAAGTGTCCTATAAACGGAGGTGTTCATTATTTGGAATTTCCATATAAGATGTTCCGCCTTTCAATATTGTTGTAGGAAAACACACTATCAAGTAAAAGGTTATTTTAGTAGATGTCTTCTTAGAGAGAACTTTCCTATGAACCTTGTTTACGCACTAACGGACGTCCATGCTGACAATACGGTCTTTATTCAGAAGGTGAATATAAATATGTAGAGGCCCCACTGTACAAAAGAGACAATACTTTGGCGTGTGTGTTTCATGTGTATCAGTGACTGGCTGTAGGATCCATTGTAGCTGTCAGACTCAGCACACCATCAACAAATTCACGCTTACTAGCTACACTTACTGGTGTCTAGATTAGAGGGGTTCTACTGTTTAATAATATACCGCTGGTTCGCAAGCATAGATCCAACTCTATCCAACGCTCTATACTTGTTATTCCCCTCAGCCTCAGGTGAAACTGTAGACATACATAACAGCTCCAAAGCAGTGGTTGTGCTGTATTTGAGAGTGTTAGGCACACCTAATTCCCATTTCAGCCAACTGCATGACAATAGATACCTTAGAGTGTGTATACCTGACTACCAGGGGCTTTAGCTGTCCATAAAGGGAGGATTGTGGGCGTGAAGTAACTTATGGCTTCTGAGTAGGTGTTCTATGGCATTTATCTCATGCCTTGGGACTCTATACTGCATGACTTCCCCCAATAGGCAGTATTAAGGTGTAGCTTGGACTGTAGGTGTTAAAACAAGGAACAAACAGTTACTCAAATGTATATGCACTCAACACTATTGTCCCAGCCTGGGTGGGACTTTGTAACCAGTGACACTATATGTGCTCTCTATAGGCTGAATGCCTTTCCCACTGAGCTATATACACCATGGCAGCTCAGCAGCAGGGCTCAAAGCAATACAACACGACAGTCCAGATAACATACAGCATAGACAGTGTGAATGATCAACCAGCATACCCCTGCTATTCATACTATATAGGCACTTTGTCCACTGAAATGTCAGGGTCTCCTGCATTTAGAAGCCATCAGGCCCTTTACATAGCATCCTGGCTCTATACACTCTATAGAGTTAAGGCTTTCAAGCTTCTAGAACCAGAGACTTTCTGTCTAACTATTACTATGTGTGTGTGTGTGTGTGTGTGTGAAGTGTGCATGATCCCTATAGAAACTGTGTATAACCCTGGGGCACAATGTTGGCAAACTACTAAGGAACTCCCGTTGGCTTCTGTGGATTAATGTCTGGGAGAAAGTGATAATGTGTGGTACTGTTTGCACATATTCAAGTGGCCCGAGGGTTTCCAAGCGGTTTCTGGTTCACGTTGCAAGAGATATTAGCACCCATTCTTGTTCGATATTCGTGAGAATGCTTGCTTCTTTTAGTGGCAAATACTTTACATGCCATCTTGAAGGTAGACTGGCAGAAACCTTTACATAGAGAAAAAATGGAGCACATAAAAGTTTTGTCTAAAAGTCATTCGGGGGAATTTCCTCCGCAGTTTTAAGGGCAAAGATCCTAATTTGTACAGCTCTTGGTGAATGTTGGAAATTCATTTTCACAAAACTTCCCTAAACTGGACGGGACTCGGCTCATGTTTTCTCGGTGGTCTCCTAGAAATCATTCAAACGAAAGATACCCTTCACTTCTCGTGTTGTTGGGTGGTCTTGGCTCGTGCTGTTTGCTCCAGCCCAACCCTTCATACGGTATACAGACACATGCTCAACATGGTTATGCCGTACACTGCACACCCTCCTTTGTTTGGTAACTTGTAAGCTTATATGTCACTTATACCGGCAGCTTTGGAGAAGGCATTTCTCACTTTTCATATTTGAGCAGTCTATCTATGCGTTTCTGTAACGCAACCCATAATTGGTGCATTCAGGTGCATATTTCACCCTCCCTTCTTTACCAATGACCCAATCCATAATTGATTGGTTAAAGGGAATGTGGTATATAGTATATAAGGGCTAAATTTAGGAATGTTACTAACCCATTTGCATTCTTTCAATGTGCCCCTAGTAACATTCTAAATTTACCCCTAACATAAGCTGCCACATTTCCTTTAACTGTATAGTCTTATGCTGGTATATATTAGCTAGACTGAAACCGAAGACGTAACACATACGAGTTCATGAAAGTTCTGCTAACAAATTATGCATGAGCGGTTTTTTCTCCCACAAAGGTTTCCAACAACATGCAGCTGGCTAATGTCTGGAAATGCACCTTTTTCTAACCTCTGTCTGCTGAGTTGCCTTGGTATTAGCTAAGAAAGAAGATATCTCTGCCTGGAGGCAGAGTGTCGAGGGTTCAAGTCCCACCCAGGGCAGCTCTTTTATAAGTGCTGCCCTGGGTGTATATAGTTGATACACGCACACACCTGTTACTACATGGACTCTATAAAAACATGTCTTATTCGCAGCTACAAAAGCACGTTCCGAGGTTTGGTATGGCAAGTGACTTTCATCCCGACATTCAATCACGTGTACATATCACCTGGCACGCTTGTGTGCTACCTCTATTACACACAATGCATTTTCCTTGGCTGGCTAACGCGGTGTTATGCCTTCACACGCCTGTGTTAAAGGGCCCATTAATCATAACTATTGTTGCACTGTTTTTTAACCAAACAAGTATATATATATACCGCGAGTTGTGCTGCATCAGTGGGTTATTCCCTGGAGGGATGTTGGTGTGGCATGTTGAATAATGGTGGCATGGCGGGGCTAATATGGCTTAATGCATGTGATGCACAGCAGAAAGGAAGGACACAGTAGAGTGGAGCTTCTTACCTGGAGGGATGTTGGAACAGCTAGAGTGGCATGTTGAATAATGGTGGCATGGCAGGGCAAATATGGCCTAATGCATGCGATGCACAGCAGAAGGGAAGGACACAGTAGAGTGGAGCTTCTTACCTGGAGGGATGTCGGCACAGCTAGAGTGACATGTTGAATAATGGTGGCATGGCAGGGCTAATATGGCCTAATGCATGCGATGCACAGCAGAAGGGAAGGACACAATAGAGTGGAGCTTCTTACCTGGAGGGATGTCGGCACAGCTAGAGTGGCATGTTGAATAATGGTGGCATGGCAGGGCAAATATGGCCTAATGCATGCGATGCACAGCAGAAGGAAGGACACAATAGAGTGGAGCTTCTTACCTGGAGGGATGTCGGCACAGCTAGAGTGGCATGTTGAATAATGGTGGCATGGCAGGGCAAATATGGCCTAATGCATGCGATGCACAGCAGAAGGGAAGGGACACAATAGAGTGGAGCTTCTTACCTGGAGGGATGTTGGAACAGCTAGAGTGACATGTTGAATAATGGTGGCATGGCAGGGCAAATATGGCCTAATGCATGCGATGCACAGCAGAAGGGAAGGACACAATAGAGTGGAGCTTCTTGTAATGCGAACTATGAATTAACGTTCTATTTCCCTCAGTGTATTACTGAACCTCTGAATGTAGAAAACATCTGTCCAAGGAGAGGTTTATGCAAATTGCTGTACTTTTGCGGGTGTGGTAAACTTGAACTCGCAAAAAACTTCTACCCTTTAATAAATTCCGTGGATTTGGTGTCCTAAGTGATATTTCATCTCTGTGTGTTTGTGTGCAGCTAATACTCAGTTGGAGAACAAGGAAGGACAGTTTATGGGCGGAGCTTTGGCCAGCAATGGAGACAGATTCATGGTAAGGGAGGGAGGGAGGGAGGGAGGGATAAAGTTTAACAGATTTTGTGTAGATACTGAGTTTGCCAAGCTTGCGTATTTTTGTCAAAATATCACGTACAGACTATAATATTTTCCGTATTCCTGTTGTGTGCACGTGACCTTGGAATCTCTGTATGTGATATGGGAATACGAGATTCAGTACATTAAAATGACTTCACATCATGTGTACAACAACCAACCAACCAACCGATATGCAACCTTCATTGCGGTACACCTATAATACATACACTGCTTGCTGAGCTCACCATTTTCCCATCTACAGTGGAATGCTGCAGAGTACTCTAAAAGTTGTGGGAAAAACGCTATTTTTAATTCGTAGTGAATATATACGTATTTGAACACCCAGTGCAAAACTATGGGGCGGAAACACTAGTGCGTTGTCACGAAATTTCGACGAAAGAGGATGAGGACTCGTTAATAAGGCCTTTCCTATTCACGTACTGCAAACTTTCATTTTACCAGTTCTCCCTCGATAAATGACACTATTTATTATAACCTCATAGCATCAGTGGTATATACCTCCGAATAAAGGATGCCTGTGAGTAAAGTTCAGTGTCCCAAAGGTTCCCTTCCCTTATTGTATGGTAGCTCTGGCATCATGTGTGGGATTACTCTACAGCGAGCTATGTTGGATGGAATACGTAATCTCACATCCTATGTGGTGTCTACAGAAGGTCCGTGTGGGCTATATACTCATAGGGATGGATGAGAATGCAGCCTTTTAAGGTGGCTTGGTGTGTGTGTGTGTGTGTAAGACTGAGAGTGATGTGGGGGTGATGGATAACCTTTCATGAATAGCCTGACTTATTTCATTATAGATCATGCATTGCCTATGTACATACCTAATTTGCCAGCACCTGCAGTACATAGCATTGCTTTGTTGAAGCACAGCCGACTCACACGATAATATCGAACCCCTGAAATAAGGACACCTCACTAAATATGGACACTTCCTTCTGTCCCATTGGTGTCGGATTAGAGGGGTTCCATATATTGGTCCGTGTGTGTGACTCACTGTTCCTGTTGACAGCCATGCGATTGTTTTGCATGTAGTTTTCCTGAGAAATTGAAAGTAATCAACTTTCCTTTTAAATCAACAACTGGTTGCAATAAACACACAGATTAACTTTCATATGTGCAAATTTGTAGTAAGCATGGGAAAGTAACCACATTTTGTAGCATATGCTGTTTATTTTATATTATACCTCCGTAAGGTGTGCCACTATAGGTATGTAAGTCCCTAAGGTGTGCCTATATGCTAGTTATAACCTTCACTAATGTGTCGCAAGGTGTGCCTGTAAATACATTGTAACACACTCTTAGGGCGTGTGTCCTATTTTCAGTTCCTTACAACCTATGTACATACTTCCTAAGTTCAGTGTAATAATTCCAAGTTCAACAAGTGGTAAGATTATATCATCCCGGCTTTCCTTGTAAGATGTCCCTATATGCTCCATACATGACCCCTAAGCTATGCTTATGGACAATATATAATAGTAGGCATGCCAGTAAGACATAATTTTGTGTACATGCGTATGTAGATAGTTATACATAATTATGAATAAAGGTAGTAAGCATATAATGATGCCAGCATTGCTCAGGAATAGTGTACAAAAATGGTATGACCGTAGGTGGATTGAGACCAGTGAATGTTGTGGTTGGCACCCCAGGTGGCTGTGAGATGAGGTAGCGACTGCCACGGGGCCTTATTTAGTAGTTGACCTCTCTCCCTTTATGTGACGGGATCACATTTTGTTGGCAATTAGGTAGCAATGCAAGCTATTTGATGGTGACATTATGAAATGTGTGTGTTGCTTAAATATCGGATATTTCCTTCTTACTGTTGTGCTTGCAATGAAAGATGTTGACTATAACATATACTGTATGGCCACTATAACTGGTTCAGCAACTACTTATAGAGGCTTTATGCTGGCTTAGAGTACTGAAAAACACACTCTTTCATAACAACTACACACGCATGTGATATTATGACTATTGTTGTCTAAATATTTTCACGTGTTCAGGAAGTTGTACGTGACTCTATTTTTCCATATACAGTATCGACATACACATGCACGTGTGTATATGGTGTTTGTATAATAATCTTCTTTCAAATAATATGGGTTCTGACACCTTATATCTTAAACATAACCATACATGCCTGTAGGTGTGGCTATATGATTATATAATATGTTGCGAGTTTTAAAGTATAATATTTCTTCCTGTGAGTGGTCTTGTATGCAGTATAGTGTAAACGTGACAGTTGGAGTGAACAAACATTATATGGCAACAGGTGTATTATTTTGGGGCGTTGTTACATTTCTGGGTTGGTATGTATTTTTACAGGCGTGTGCCCATCGCTACGTCAACTACAACCCTTCCAACCGTAACACGAGGAGTGTGTATGGTCGCTGTTACTATGCCGACCGAAGCCTCGACGACTTTACCGAATTCCAACCTTGTAGTGGAGGTATGTGCATATGTTCCAATAAATCGTACTTTATGTAAGTTATATACCTTGATACCATATAGACTGCAAGAAACCTACTAGGAATGCGCACGCGCATATTTTGCTTCGCGCCTGCCAGCCAATGCGTAAACAGTCCGACTGAGGCCGCTCGTGCGCGCGCTCTACTGACTGCGCGCGAAGCCAGACTTCCTACGAATCTGCGCGCACGGCGGAAGCTAGACTTCCTACGAATGACGGAAGTTGACATTCCGAAAACGTGACTAATTGCGTGACCGACACGTACGCATATCGCGAGAATACAACCCGGAGTAGTTGCCTCATGCTGACGCGCTCGGCAATTATAATGGACACTTCTTGTATTGCAAGCATTTGCACGCTAGTATATAGTTGGTATACAGTGCACGGTGTATGTACATATACAGTGGAACATCCGGACACCGACGGAGCGGAATAAAGTAGTGAGGTGTCTTTATTTCAGGGGTTGAATTGTGTGTGTACAATGCTGGCATTTGCAGTTAGCTACGTACGTAGGTATTACAGACTGTATGTATCATATTAGACATAGTAGACACACAGTACCACCACTGGTCACACTGCTGCCACTTGCACAGTTAGCTACGTAGGTATTACAGACTGTATGTATCATATTAGACATAGTAGACACACAGTACCACCACTGGTCACACTGCTGCCACTGCACAGTTAGCTACGTAGGTATTACAGATGTATGTATCATATTAGACATAGTAGACACACAGTACACCACTGGTCACACTGCTGCCACTTGCACAGTTAGTACGTAGGTATTACACGACTGTATGTATCATATTAGACATATAGACACACAGTACCACCACTGGTCACACTGCTGCCACTGCACAGTTAGCTGCGTAGGTATTACAGACTGTATGTATCATATTGCACATATTAGACCACACAGTACCACCACTGGTCACACTGCTGCCACTTGGTCACAGTAGCTACGTAGGTATTACAGACTGTATGTATCATATTAGACATAGTAGACACACAGTACCACCACTGGTCACACTGCTGCCACTTGCACAGTTAGCTACGTAGGTATTACAGACTGTATGTATCATATTAGACATAGTAGACACACAGTACCACCACTGGTCACACTGCTGCCACTTGCACAGTTAGCTACGTAGGTATACAGACTGTATGTATCATATTAGACATAGTAGACACACAGTACCACCACTGGTCACACTGCTGCCACTTGCACAGTTAGCTACGTAGGTATTACAGACTGTATGTATCATATTAGACATAGTAGACACACAGTACCACCACTGGTCACACTGCTGCCACTTGCACAGTTAGCTACGTAGGTATTACAGACTGTATGTATCATATTAGACATAGTAGACACACAGTACCACCACTGGTCACACTGCTGCCACTTGCACAGTTAGCTACGTAGGTATTACAGACTGTATGTATCATATTGACATAGTAGACACACAGTACCACCACTGGTCACACTGCTGCCACTTGCACAGTTAGCTACGTAGGTATTACAGCTGTATGTATCATATTAGACATAGTAGACACACAGTACCACCACTGGTCACACCTGCTGCCACTGCACAGTTTAGCTACGTAGGATTACAGACTGTATGTATCATATTAGACATAGTAGACACACAGTACCACCACTGGTCACACTGCTGCCACTTGCACAGTTAGCTACGTAGGTATTACAGACTGTATGTATCATATTAGACATAGTAGACACACAGTACCACCACTGGTCACACTGCTGCCACTTGCACAGTTAGCTACGTAGGTATTACAGACTGTATGTATCATATTAGACATAGTAGACACACAGTACCACCACTGGTCACACTGCTGCCACTTGCACAGTTAGCTACGTAGGTATTACAGACTGTATATATGTATCATGAAAAAACATGTTTATAGCATACTAGCTCAGAGGAAAAGAAAGAACCTCCCCCACCCAAGCACACAAAACACAGACAATAACATACCCAAGCGTACAAAAACACAGACAATAACATATAAACAGAAAGAAAGAGGCAGGACCCTGGGTGCCCAGCCCATATTAGACATAGTAGACACACAGTACCACCACTGGTCACACTGCTGCCACTTGCACAGTGTAGACTGTCTCTTTAGTCAGTCCAGACACAGGATAGGCATAGTGTGTACCTATGCTATTTAGTCCGTATCTCTCTCTGTCTATATATATAGTGGGGCGAAGAACTACCCAGAGTCTTGGAGTGTGCCAAGCCGGGATGTCTGCTGTCGTGGCCGTAAGTCACTCTATTGAATGTGCAGCACTTACGCACTAACATAATCCCGCCCCCTCCCCCTTCCCCCCCACACACACACTCTTTCTTTTCTCTCACCCATTCACAGGAGACTAGTGATGGAATTGATCATCTCGTGGTAGGAGCACCAGGTTCATACCTGTGGAGAGGTACAGTATAATGCATAGATCAGTATTATATATACTGTGCATTTAGTTAGATCGTGATTTGTGAGTACGGCCTTTATTTTGCAAACTGGATGTACTAAAAATTGTGTGGTTTTTTGTGTACGTACGTATGTACGCTTTTTTGAAGTATTACGAATTTTGTGATTTTCGTATGCGAATGTAATGTACACCTTTTCTTGCAAACTGGAAGTATTACGCATTATGCACAGTATTGCTTGTGTGTGTGAGAGCACAGGCAGTATATAATGTAGCTTAAATTTTGCGGATTTTCCACCAATCAAACCACAAAATGTGTATTTTGTGACTCATATTTTCACGGACTAATGGCTGTTTGAAAAAATAGCTACTGTCCAGCATGTCCTAATGGTCCGTCTCTATGCCTGGTTGCAGGGATCGTGATCCGTTCCACACCGGGACAGTTTGGCTCCACCCGCCTCCAGCCGTACGACCCACCGGTGACAACACCTTTGGTTGGCAGGGATACAGCCTCACCAAGGGCTACTTCCGTTCCACTACTGTTGAAGGTTATTATGCATGGTGTGTATGTACAGTGGAACCCCTCTAATCCAGTGTCACTGCAATATCCTCGAACCCCTCTAATCCAGTGTCACTGCAATATCCTCAGATAGGTATATGCACAACATAGCCCCACGGCTATAGAAAAGCTACATCTACGAAAATTTTTGATTGTAGAATATTGGGTCTAGAGATTCTGCCGTGGGACATAAGAAAGTGTCAATATTAGTGAGGTGTCTATATTTCAGGTTTTAATTGCATGCAAGAACTGTTCTTGGGGAAAGAAAAGGTGTCCTTATTAGAGAGGTGTCCTTGTTTTCAGGGTAGTTCTTAGAGAGAGGTTCAACTGTATATCTCTGCTAGTACATAAGAGAGACAGACGATAGCGATCAATGTAGTATACGTAGGATACGACATAAACTTCCATGATGGTGACATAGAGTTTAAGATTGTGATGCTGTATTTCTCTTTCAGATCTTGCCACATCAGTTCCCAGACTCAACAGCTATTTTGGAGCAGTGAGTCAATATATTGACAACTTGGCCCAAAAATATTTTTATTTGCTCTACTATTTTTAGGTACATATAATCAGGAACGACAACACTCTCCAGATGATCTCGCAAAACCTGGGCGGAGATCAGGTAAAACCCGTTTGACCGGCTCGTGATGGTGCTGATTTAACCCCTCGATTTCTGACTGTTCTGTGTGAATAGATGGGAGAGTACTATGGATTTTCACTTGCAGCCCTGAACCTGGCCGGAACAGAGTATGCAACATACAACACTGCATTCCCAGTTCATACGAGATTTAAATACCAATGCCAATCTCTGAAATACTGGCGGGGGTTGTAAAAACAATTAGACGTAGAATAATGTGAACCGTTCATGAATTTGCCATAGACAATTGGAGATGGAATTTAGCAAACTTAATTTAGTTTCATGTTGGGAATGCGTGTACATACTTTGCCATGAATTGAGAGTTTTTCCGCGTTCCTTAAAACGTTATACGCACGAACAACTTGAGTTTGTGCAATATGAGAAGAAACACAATCAAATTGTCTGTTCTCTCTGTTTCAGTCTGGACGAGCTGATAGTCAGTGCTCCAATGTACCGAGATCGGAATATTGGTCCCGAGACTGGTCGCGTGTACGTCTACAGAAATATCGGGGTACGTAACCATATCTATACTCCTATCTTAGACGTACACTCAAACAAGGAATATCGGGGTACATACGTAATATGCTCCTATCTTAGATGTGCATTCACACAGTTTAGGAAAATTCACTTTCAGTTGTTGTTTCTCTGTCTTTCTCTTTCACTCCACATCAACTAACCAGCCCTTGTTTATCGGCACACATGAGTGATAGTACGTGGGACGTGACTGCGTATGATTGTATTCAGTTTCAATCACTTGTGTTTGTTGTTGTTGTTGTTGTTGTTTAGGGGACTCTGAGTCTTGTGACGAGAATCGTTGGAGTGACAGCCTACTCCAGGTTTGGTCATGCAATGGTCGCACTCGGAGACATTTCTGGAGACGGATTTGACGGTAAGTTTAGCCAGCTAATAAGGTTTTTGCGTCTTTCCTTCATTTGTTTTTCCCTTCCCTATGCCCTTCTTTTGTCAATATAACCCAACCCCCTCTCTCATTTTGGTGTATTTTTCTACCCTTTTTCCCCCTATCTTTCACCTGTCCCTCCCCTCTCCTCTTCTCTTCCTCCCCTCCCACTCCCCTCTTTCCTCCCACTCCCCTCTTCCCCCCTCTCCCTACAGATGTAGCAATAAGTGCTCCGTTCGGGGAGGGGAGAGGAACAGTCTACATATATCACAGTTCAGCCTCTCAACTTCTCACTCCTACACCTCAGCAGGTATTTGCACAACACCCAATGCTAGAATAAGGGGATGTAAATATTGACGCAAGGTCTATCGTGCATTGCATAGGCTTGAAAAAGTTTTTCGCTGGAAGACTTGAAATTCTGTAAAGCTATTTAAAAAAATGATGTGACAGGTTTAAAACTGGTTTTGATCTGGTCATACAGGTTATCACTCCCAGCACCCTCAACCTCTTTTCAAATGTAATGTCTCGATTCCTGAGCTTCGGAACGTCTCTTGCAAGTTTCGATGTCGACGGCAACGGGTTCAATGGTAGGTCACTTGACTGTCACATGATCTTCACTGTGTTGTCATGTGACTTGTCTCTCTGTTTATAGATCTTGCAATTGGGTCTTACAAAGATCAGACAGCAGTCGTACTCAGGTAGATATGCATTCTTGCATGTGCTTTTCCAGGTCATGTGAGATCACATGATCATCACATTACCTATTCGTTTTGAAACAGTAGGCATCATGTGAGAATCACATGACTGGACAAGTTGTCTAAGGATCACATGACCAGTGCACACATCTAATAATCACATGACTATTCCATGCATCAAGTGATACTAACTGGATCACTCGATACTTTAGACATCTATCACATGACTATCACATGACTACGCAGCCCTGGTTGTTCCCCTGCAGGACTCGTCCTCTGGCAAGAATTACCACCACTCTCGTGGCAACCCCTGGAATTGTTGACATCATGTCAGGCCAGACGGCAAGCTATGACGGCGCAGAATTTCCCTAGTAAGAAACATCCACCATTTAACTAAAAACCTTTCCAACAATACACTTTTGCCAATTTCTGAAACATTTCCCAAAGACTTCGGTTTTTAACACTGTCTGCAACGACTTTCACGAAACTCTTTTCAGCAAAATACGTCCCTCGCGAAAGTTGTTTGTTGTAAGAGGGTGTTGTAAGAGGGTGTTGTAAGGGGTTAAGGTTTAGCACGTGTGTATTGGCCATATGGGGGGACGTTGACATTATAACTTTTAATTCTCTGCAGTTTTGAAGTCAGGTACACTGTGTTCAACGGTCAAGGAGCTATCAGTGAGTGATGCACTCACTGTATGTGTGTATATGTGTGTCTGTCTCAGCCATACATACATACATACATACAGTCTAGCTGTTTTGAATCCATGCACTGAAAGGTTATAATACCTACACCTCGTACTGAAAAGTTTCAAGAAGTACAAATTTATACTTTACTTGGAAGTCATCTGTAAAGTAAAAGCAGTTCTATTTCCAATTTCAAAAGTTCTATCCCTCAAAATGTATCGGTAGCCAAACTCTCCTTTCAATGTGTCATCTCTCTCCCTCCCCTCCCTCCCTCCCCAATCCTCTCAACTGCAGCATTGGACATTGCGCTGGTATCCGAGCGTGCCCGCCGTGAACAGGGCCTGCAGCAGCGTCTCTTCTTCGAAGATACGTCCGACAACTCAAGAAGAGACCCAGTGATAACCCGACAGGGCGTGATGCTCGAAAGTGGCGAGAGTGACGAATTAACCATCAGAGTTTTTGTCATGGTATGTATGCAGATATGGCACTTGACAGTTTTTGTGATGGAAAAAAAACGTTTATGAGCTACGGCACCGTTGTTAACACAAAAATTATTGTGTTGCTGTGGATGGATTAAAAAAAGATATTTTAAGATATATATATATAGGCACTTCCCTCTTTCAAGATATACTGTGTGTATAGTTCTACCGTACTTGGTGTATAGGGATGATATCCACCATTTCGTTTTGGGTTTTTTTTCAGAACGATACTTTGGACTTCTTCACTGGGTTTACTCTCGATCTTGAGATCACTACGAGAGACTTTGTCAGACCTGAGAATGACGGGGACGAGAACCCAACTAACCTTGATGCCTTCCCTGTTGTCAGTATCTCCGGACCCAGCAGTTTACAGGTTAATGGACCAGAGAGAGAGAGAGAGAGAGAAGGAGAGGGAGAGGGAGGAGCGAGAGAGAAGAGAGAGAGGGAGAGGGAGGAGCGAGAGAGAAGAGAGAGTAGAGAGGGAGAGGGAGGGGAAAATATTTAATAGAAAATGAAATTACGTTTCCATTTATAATTTAGCTATTACTATACTTCTGCATTGCCTTCAAGAGGTGGTTGTGTTGTTTCCGTTCAGGTCGAGATACAAACTGACTGTATGAGTCCGTGTATGGCTGATCTTGCTCTCTCCAGAAACGGCTCAGTCAGATATACGTGAGTGGTATGCATGTGTATACACCTTACTGTAGTGATTGGCCTTTTACGTACGATCATATTGGCAAAGAAAGTTTACCCACGAGGCTAGGTTCACAATATGTCGCATTGCCCCTGTCGCGCTGTGGCACGCCGCGTGGTGCCGCGAAGACTATCCTCGCAATGCAGCAAAGCAGCAAGACGTGCAACATAATTATCGTGAACCTAGAACCGTCAAGTTGTCAGGTTTACAGGCTCTCTCTCTCCTCTCCCCCTCCCTTCTTCTTCTCTTCTTCTCTCTCCTCTCCCCTCCCTTTCTCTTCTTCTCTCTCCTCTCCCCTTCTCCCCCTATCCCCTTCTCTCCCCCTCCCTTCCTTCTCTCTCCTCCCCATGCAATTTCCAGTGGAGCAAGGAACCCCAATATTCTGACAGTAGGCGAAGTGACCGAGGTCATCATTCCCATCACCATCCAGAACAATGGAAACAACGCATTTCTCGCTCAACTGGTTTTCAACGTGCCAATCCAGTTACTCCAGTTCTCCGGAGTCTCTGAGGTAAGGACCAACTATATACCTTTCTTCATCCACCATTTATGATCTCTTACTTCGTAGTTAGTGGTCGTTTATTTTTGTTCTTTCCGTAAGCGTTTGGGCCATTAAATGATTTTGAAATACTTATCGAAACAAAATTTTTTAGGTCTCCAAATTTTTATCGTAATTGCATTCTTGTGCAGGATTTCATCACTTGTAATCAAGGCGATGGAAACGGACAGTTCACGCCATACATTTGTGACATTGGCAACCCTTTTGGAATGGACGTAAGTTGTGCATACGTATATGTACCTTTCCACAGTGGAACCTCAAATAAAGGACACAAGGGGAACACGAAATTTGTAGCTGTATTCGGCTATAAATTGTGTGTACTAACAAACCGTTTTCAAACCCTCGTCCGTCCCGGAGGCCAAGAGGAAGATGTTGCAACGAGAGTGGGAGGAACGACCAAGGGAGAGTGGGAGGGGCTATTACTACCAAACTAACACCGTCAAAATTGTCCATTTACAAACCGTGTTTACTGAAAAGTTTTTTTTCTCGTGTTACTGCAACTCATAGAACAAACACAAACAAGAAGCAAACAACAACAAACCAAAAAAACAACAAAAAAAAACATTTCTGAAATGCTATGCAGGTAACCAGGGGTACAGAGTTCAGATTCATACCTGCCGACTCATTGACTGGGGAAGAAGGGAACATTGGCATCAGTTTCAATGCTACAAGGTTTGTCTTTCAGTTTCAATCAATGTTTGTATTAATGAAGTATGGACATCACAAATGTTAAGAAGTTTGAATTTTTCGTTTTCTGCATGCCGTCAAGTACATTACTGTTACTGCGTTGTTTGTCTGTTCAGTTTGAATGAAGCCGGTGAATTGGCTGACAATACAGTTGTCATCACGCTGCAAGTCAACACTGTCGCAGATATCTTTGTGGACGAGGGGTACGTTAGTCTTCTTCCCCTTTACTTACCATAACGCTCTCTCTCTCTCTCCTCTCTCTATGTGTCAGACTTATAGCATATACTTTCACGTACAATGGGCAGCTTGTCCAGTCCATCGAAATCTGTAAAAGCCCATTTGCCCTAGCCAGAATCCTTGCTGCATATGCTCTCACTTTTTGCTGTGTAACTCTTTCTACGAGTCCTCTATCGGCATTATTTTTCTCTCTTCTCTCTCTTAATATACGGCTCTCTCTCTGCCTCCAGTATTGCGTTCCCTGACCAAGTCAACCATGCCTCTGAGCGACCGAGCGGAGTGATTGACAACGTGACAGCTCTAGGACCGGAGTTCACCACGACGTTCACCATTGGCAACAACGGGCCCTCCATCATTCCCGATGCCCGTCTCATCATCTACTGGCCGCTGAACGTGAAGGATAGCCAGAACTATTTCCTGTACCCGACTGGGTGGAGGACCATTCAGGTCAGTCCGGTTTTGAACCTGTTTCGGGCATAAGGTTAACTGCACATGTACATGCAACGAGAAGAAGCTCTGGATGCGTGGTCTATGGCCCTAGTGCTATGGCTGGCACCTGAGTATTATTATTATTGTTTACTTTTAGGTCAAAATGCACTACAAACGTGTGCAATGTATAATGGAATACCCTTTAGTCTTTGCAATCAGACTCAGTACTTGTGCTATGTGGTTATATAGCATATAGCCCCGTTCATTAAGAAGTTTAATTGTGGCAGCTAGGTACATACATTATCCTTTAAAGTTTACCCGAAATATTCTTATGCGTTGTACAGTACAACGTCACGTTACACTTTGTCTCTCTCCATCAGTCCACTTCAGTGAGCGTGTCATGTGAGAACACTCATTTCAACCCAGCTGGCTTTGAAATCGCTACCTCTGAAGACAACGAAGGAACTCCGGTATGTTCACACTATGATGTCATGATGACGTCATTGATGATGATGTAATGCTAGGGTGGGATACCCGGATCGAGTGATGGGCGGAGAAGGAGGCGGAGCGTCGGTGGGATGAAACCACGGCGACGCAGGGGAAGAAACACTCGGATGCCGCGACAGGACATGGAGATCGTACCCATCTCTGCTGAGAGGACAGTGGTGAGCAAGTTATGCAATGTTAAGCAACAATTCTAGAGTGCCTTTTGTAAGAGCTAGTGCATAGTGTATACACCATCAATCTTTCCCCCATTTATATAAAATGCAACATAATAAGTGGAGCCCCTGTCTAAGGACACCTCTCTTATAATAAGAACGTGCATGCAATTTCCCCTCAAATACTCGCTAATACGCTCCCATTGGTACCTGGATTGGAGGGATTCCACTGTAATAAAACGCCCATCTCCCTCGTGTCACAGAGCTGTCTCCCGGAAGATAGAGACAACTCCGCCAACAACCACACGTGTGTCACCATAGTGTGTGAGGTGAGACAGCTGAGGTCTGGAAACAGAGTCCAGGTAGAGATATCCGCCGTCATTGATGAGAGACATCTCGGGGTGAGTGTACAGTTTGAATTTGGGACGTCCCATTATGAAATGGGGCGTCCTTAATTTAGTTGGAACATTCCAACACTCACCTTCTAGTTAGGTTTTCGAATTACGGTGATCGCTTCTTTTCACCTCTCATCTCCTCCCTTTCTCTTTCTCTCGTCTCTCTTTTCCCTTCCTCTCCTCTCCCTCCTCTTTCTCTCCTCTCCCTCCCCCTCCACCCCCTCCATCTCGTCACAGGGAAACGTTGACAGTTTCACCTTCATCTCTGCTGCTGAGGTCGAAACAGTTGGAGCTGATCACATCACCGAGCAAAACAAAATGGATAACACTGCCTCTGTAAGTTGCCTTCTGATCCTAAGTATAGGGGAAGACCAGCTATTGTCTTGGAGTTGTAACTCAGTACGTAGTGCACTAGACCTTCGGTCACAACACTACCGACAAAGGTTGGTTCTTTCAATTGGAAACGCACGCGGAAACAAGTGAACGTCAATTTGAGTACGTACTAAATACGTTAGTCACCTTGTCAGTTGAGCCCTTGGGCCCTTCACGTATATAGCGTTGTCTCTGATTTCTAACGGGCATAGGTTTCACAGACTTGCTGGCTAATTGATACTAATCCACAATGTTGCAGTTGTCTATGTGTACCCCACTACAGGCCGAGTTCCGTTCCATCCCCGGAATGGTTGTGATCAGAACCGAGAGTCCTCGCCAAGGAGACGAGAGTGTTCCGTGGTACGCCATCGCCGTGCCGATCGCCGTGGGCGTCATTTTGCTCATCGTTGCCGTTGTGGTCCTCTACTTTGTGAGTTGGATAAAATACTGTAATGTGAACGAGTGGTTATTCCCATTATGTCATAGTGTGTTCCCTTTAGCATAGACTAGTCTACATTCAACCCCACCCGGGCCTCGAATTGTGATTTTCTAAATAGAGAGCACTGTCAGAACAATACATAAATCATGAAAAGCCACTGAAATTCATCCCTAATGAGGACTATATTCTTCCTTCATTTCATAGCTAGAGTAAGCACAAACTAGCTGTTTTGTGGACAATTTTGGTATTTACTGTTCTACATTACGTTTCGTTCTCAGTGTGGATTTTTCCGTCGTAAGAACAAGCAAGAGATTGAAGACCAGGCGAGAGAGAATTTAGCCGAAGAGAACACTGCCATGTAACCGTGACAACTGGACAACATACAGCCAGAAGTCTCTTTTTTTACTCTCATTTTTTTCCAAACTCTTTCTTGCAAAAATTATGATCAGTGGTTTTTTTCTAATCTGTATTATAGTTTCCAGTAGTGTATGATTTTTTGTGCATAATTCTCCTGAAGTGTGTATATTATTCATTAATTTATAGTCAGTATAATAGGTGTGTGCTTAATTCATTCATCTACAAATTTACTCGAGCGTATTTTGGCGAACGAGTGCAAGCCAACCAACCATCCTGAATACCTTGACTATAGCTGGAGTGTGCAGTGAAAGAATAGGGTGGCCTAAATTATTTGTACTTTTAGCAAGGAAGTGGAGGGTAGGACAGGCCAACCAACCATCCTGAATACTTTGACTATAGCTGGAGTGTGCAGTGAAAGAATAGGGTGGCCTAAATTGTTTGTACTTTTAGCAAGCAAGTGGAGGGAAGGACAGGCCAACCAACCATCCTGAATACTTTGACTATAGCTGGAGTGTGCAGTGAAAGAATAGGGTGGCCTAAATTGTTTGTACTTTTAGCAAGCAAGTGGAGGGAAGGACAGGCCAACCAACCATCCTGAATACTTGGAGACTGCAGTGAAAGAATAGGGTGGCCTAAATTGTTTGTACTTTTAGCAAGAAAGTGGAGGGAAGGACAGGCCAACAAACCATCCTGAATACTTTGACTATAGTGGAGAGTGCAGTGAAAGATAGGGTGGCCTAAATTGTTTGTACTTTTAGCAAGCATGTGGATGGAAGGACAGGCCAACCAACCATCCTGAATACTTTGACTATAGCTGGAGAGTGCAGTGAAAGAATAGGGTGGCCTAAATTGTTTGTACTTTTAGCAAGCATGTGGATGGAAGGACAGGCCAACCAACCATCCTGAATACTTTGACTATAGCTGGAGAGTGCAGTGAAAGAATAGGGTGGCCTAAATGGTTTGTACTTTTAGCAAGGAAGTGGAGGGTAGGACAGGCCAACCAACCATCCTGAATACTTGGAGAGTGCAGTGAAAGAATAGGGTGGCCTAAATTGTTTGTACTTTTAGCAAGCAAGTGGAGGGTAGGACAGGCCATAAATTGTTTGTACTTTTAGCAAGCAAGTGGAGGGAAGGACAGGCCAACCAACCATCCTGAATACTTTGACTATAGCTGGAGAGTGCAGTGAAAGAATAGGGTGGCCTAAATTGTTTGTACTTTTAGCAAGCAAGTGGAGGGTAGGACAGGCCATAAATTTTTGTACTTTTAGCAAGCAAGTGGAGGGAAGGACAGGCCAACCAACCATCCTGAATACTTTGACTATAGCTGGAGAGTGCAGTGAAAGAATAGGGTGGCCTAAATTGTTTGTACTTTTAGCAAGCAAGTGGAGGGAAGGACAGGCCAACCAACCATTCTGAATACACTGACTATAGCTGGAGTGAGCAGTGAAAGAATAGGGTGGCCTAAATTGTTTGTACTTTTAGCAAGCAAGTGGAGGGAAGGACAGGCCAACCAACCATCCTGAATACTTTGACTATAGCTGGAGAGTGCAGTGAAAGAATAGGGTGGCCTAAATTGTTTGTACTTTTAGCAAGCATGTGGATGGAAGGACAGGCCAACCAACCATCCTGAATACTTTGACTATAGCTGGAGAGTGCAGTGAAAGAATAGGGTGGCCTAAATTGTTTGTACTTTTAGCAAGCAAGTGGAGGGAAGGACAGGCCAACCAACCATCCTGAATACTTGACTATAGCTGGAGAGTGCAGTGAAAGAATAGGGTGGCCTAAATTGTTTGTACTTTTAGCAAGCAAGTGGAGGGAAGGACAGGCCAACCAACCATCCTGAATACTTTGACTATAGCTGGAGAGTGCAGTGAAGAATAGGGTGGCCTAAATTGTTTGTACTTTTAGCAAGCAAGTGGAGGGAAGGACAGGCCAACCAACCATCCTGAATACCTTGACTATAGCTGGAGTGTGCAGTGAAAGAATAGGGTGGCCTAAATTGTTTGTACTTTTAGCAAGCAAGTGGAGGTTAGGACAGGCCAACCAACCATCCTGAATACTTTGACTATAGCTGGAGAATGCAGTGGAAACAACCCCCTAGCTACCAACCCTGAATATTTCCACACTCGGCGGAAGGCCAACCAACCATTCTGAACACACATTGACTATAGACAGTAAACAACCATCAGGAGTGACTGTGAGATGCTCTTTGCTGCTTCCATTTTCAAGAAAAGGGGGTAAGAACTGTTGCGTGTTAGCTTATATTTTAGGTCCTTTCTGCAAACATTAATTTGAATAGTACAACTTGACTTCTTCTTTACTACAGATACTAAAATTGTCATCACCACTAAAATACTAGTTGTACAATGAAATAAGTTCGTATAAGAAAACAAGAAAACACAAAAATTGACAAACACACACTAATTTACTCTATGAGATTCAGTTGGGCATAGCCAATGAGCTTTTTCTCCTCCAGTTGTGAAGGAGGCATATTTCCCTTCGAAAAAAGAACAAATTAGTAACTCAACAAGTTAGCACCTGCCCGAAACACAAAGGTCCAGGTTCAGTAAAATATGGTCAAAAGTGCAACGTAGCAAAATCCCAACCGGCAAAGTACAGTGTACGTCATTTACACGTTGGACAACTGTGCATAAGCCACTATAAGTTCTGCTCACGGTGTGCACTTAGGTATTAAAATTATACTGCCACATTCCCTTTAATTCTCCTTAAAAATTTAGCAACCCACCAGTGGAAAAATGAGCTTCTTCTGTGATGGATTCTCAACCAACTTCGTGATATTGGCTGCAACTGAAACACGGGCGCACAAAAACACGTGAATTGGTACCAAATTATGGGTGAATGGGACTCAAAGCTCACCGACAACAATGTTCTTCATTTCGAGAAGTCCGGCAGCTATTAGGTCGTTGGAAAGGGCATCAGCACTATCTGAAAGACAAGGGGAGAGAGAGAGAGAAAGGGGAGTGAGATAAGGGGGGCGAAGAATTTCACAAACCTTTTCCCGGAATGAAGTCAAACTTTATGTCCTTCAACTGATTTTGCTCCGTTCTGTGAGAAGAAAATTTCCGGCTTTTATTAAATCTCTGCTTTTCTTTCACCCGTTCTATCTCTGTGTGTGTGTGTACGTTACTCACCGTATTCTAAGGCAGAATTTTAACAGAGCTGCAGTCTGAGGTGGAGCTGTTGCCACCGGAAACCTGGGGACGGAGCCTCGGAGCCGTGAAGCCTGGAACTCGAGCTCGTGTTTTTCTCTTTCGAGACGCTGGATATTCTCCAGGAGTGCCACTGAGGACTTGTACTGCTCTTCCGTAAACTCAGCTTCAGTTAGGAGAGAAAGCTATAGTTTACTGAGCATGACCAGGAGGTATACTGAGCATGGCCATGAAGTATACTGAGAACGAGGGAAGTATACTAGATTTGTTCAGCAGAAAACTGACTAGGTGTCCACGATTTTGAGGAGATTACCGAACCACCCAAGTATACTGAGTAATGCTCCTTAGATTACTGGCTAGATTACTAGAGTATACTGACCAGGATTCTGCTGTTGCTGAGTTGTCAACTGCTCTCTATCCATCTTTAACCTTTTCATCTTCTCCTCAATCTAAAACAAGGCAGCATTCAGATCGCTAAAAATTTGCAAGGGAGGCATGTGAAAACTATGAGGTACGTAGAAAGGCAAAGGCACAACAAACAAATCAACTACACGCCCCCAGGACAGCATGAATACCTGGGCAATTTTTTTATCCAGTTGAGATTGTGCAGAGGGATCAGCAGTTGATGATGAGGATGTCCCTGGAGCAGATACCTTAACGAGTTTGTAAATAAGGTGAGAGTGAGATAGAGGGTAAAAGACAAAAGGTAGGAGCGAGATGGGAGTGAGAACAAATGGTGGAAGAGAAATACATTACGTAGGGGAAAGACACAAGTTGGGAAGAGGAAAAAAACAAAAGGCGTGAGTGAAAAAAAGACAAAAGGCGGCAGTGAGGACAAAGGTGGGAGCGATGGAGGGGAAAAGACGAGAGGTTAGTGCGAGAAAAGATGGAAGCATATGGGCGTACGCTTAGTGGAAAGAGAGAAAGGAGAGAGAAGATGGGAGAGAGAACATGGGAATAAGAGAGACCTGAACAGTAGGAATGGTGGTAGAGGTCACCACGGCGTCCTCATCAGCAGACGGTTTCTATTCATACAACAAACCAAGAAACTTTGAAAACATGTTTATTGCAACTGCTGATACACGTTCGTAACACACAAGTAGACTAAGCACCTTTCTTTAGAATGACCTATTCACTCATTAAACTTGCTAACAGCAATTCCTATGATTAAACCATTAACCCCATCCTCACTACATTTTCTCTGTCTTCCTCATCGGCTCTCTCCGACAACTCATCGTCAGACCACGCCCACCCACCGTCCTCCGTCTTGTGGAGTCTTCCACTGGATCCCGGAACCCGCTTAACCTGTTAAAGAAACCAGTTTCACCAGAAGAAAAACGAAAGAGTGAATGTATGCACAGCTCTAAATGTGCTGTATCTTGCCTCATCTCGCCGTCCTTCTTCTCGCCTTATCTTGCTGCTATATCTCCCCTTATCGTGCAGTACTTATCCCTATCGTTGCTATTGTATACATACATGTATGTACAGTGAATATATAGGCTTACCCTCTTAGCTCTGGAGGCAAAGCTCGGCCCCTGTTTGATGATGGTCTGGACGAGATAGTCACTCTCTCTGGCTTTCTTGAAGAACTGGTGTTTCTGCAACTCCGAAGCGGTTGGTCTGCGTATGCGAAATTGAAGATAATGATGTATCCATTGGTTATGATTACACTCCCAACATGTTTAATTGGCTGAAAAATAGTATATACCAAAGGATACTTAGGTACATTTGTTTCGGTAGAATTTCTGCTTTAGCAAGAAATTGTCTTGCACGTGAATGCACCATATAAAGTATTATTTGGGTGTATTGACAATATACATATACAGTATTGACCTCTGTATACATATGTATTGGTAAGACTACATACATATATACAGTACCTCTTAGCTGGATCTCTTTGGAGGCATTTCTCGACCATTTTCTGGAAGCTCTTTGAGTAGTGTTTCTTGTATTCGTCTCTGTTCAGATCTCCGCAGGTCTCCAGAGTGGGTGGAGGGTTCTCCAGTGTCAGCATCAGCACCTGCATATTATGATGACCACAACACAACACAAACACTGACTCCAATGTAGGTACAGTGTAAGAACATGTTATAAGAAATAATGAGAACGAGGGAACGAACCTTCATGGGGGGGAATTTTGCGTAGGGAGCGGTGCCAGTGGCCAGCTCCAGGGCAGTGATTCCAAAACTCCAAATGTCGGCCTTTTCGTTGTAGCCCACAGACTGCATGACGGATCAGGACAGTATATACTCATACAGTAGAGTAAAGAGTAGTAGCCATCCGTCATCACACTCCTAGACCCTAGTTCTGAATTAGTACGTTCTATAAACAGTTCACCTGGTCCATGACCTCTGGGGCCATCCAACAAGGGGTTCCGACAAACGTCCTGCGGGGACTCTTACGAGAGGCGGCCTTCCCTCCTAGTCTGAGCTGTGAGTCGTAGAGCCAGTTACTTACACCAAAGTCTGGATGAGAGAGTGAGAGAGAGAGAGAGGAGTAAAGAAAAGTAAAGAGAAAGAGAGAATGAAGAAGGAAGAGAAAGAAAACAGACGACAGAGAGAGAGAAAAATGTAGTTGATACCTGCTACTTGTACAGACCCATCTTCACCTATCAAGATATTACCGGCTTTCACATCTCTGCAAAAACAAGAAACTCCTACACAAGTATCTACAAAGAGGGAATAGTAAAAATAAACCTGTGAATGAGACCGTTGGCATGGAAATACTCCAAACCCTGGAGTACCCCCTTCAAGACTGTTGCTATGGTGACCTCCTCCAGGACTCCGCCCTTGGAGTCGCCCTCGGCAACGATGTGTTTGATAATGTCCAGCAGTGACCCTGCGACAAATATGGTAACAGTGCTGCTAAGTTTAGTGTTGCTAAAATTAGAAGTGACCTCCTGACATCATCTTCATCACCAGCCACAGTTCGTCTTTGACGACAAACGAGGTGTAGTAACTGACAACATTCGGATGGCTGCAGTTGCTCATTAGTCCGATTTCTCGCTGCGTGGGTGAAGAGGAAAAAGACCATCTTAATAGCTTTTTGGCGAGAGAACACAATTAGTTCATTGAGAATTGTATTATGGTATGTGCAGTACCGTCACATTATATATAGACACATTGAGACGACTAGGTAGGCTGGCTTCGCTGGGCAAGAAACAGGAAACTCTGGTTCTGTCTCAAACCACTGTGTTATCTCACTCTACATGTATCAAATTCTTACTAGTTTTATTAGGGGAACCAAAGAGTTTTATTAGGGGGACCAAAGAGTTTTATTGTAGGGGAACCAAAGAGTTTTATTAGGGGAACCAAAGAGTTTTATTGTAGGGGAACCAAAGAGTTTTATTAGGGGGACCAAAGAGTTTTATTAGGGGAACCAAAGAGTTTTATTGTAGGGGAACCAAAGAGTTTTATTGTAGGGGAACCAAAGAGTTTTATTAGGGGAACCAAAGAGTTTTATTGTAGGGGAACCAAAGAGTTTTATTGTAGGGGAACCAAAGAGTTTTATTAGGGGAACCAAAGAGTTTTATTAGGGGAACCCAGGTAGAGAGGGGCAGGAAGGGGGGAAGGAAGGGGGGATGAAATAAAGACTGTGAGATTGCAATGAGGTGGGAGGGGGGGAGTGAGTACCTGAAGTTCCTCAATGGTGGCCCCGCACTGCTCGAGCTCTATCCTCTTGATGGCCACCTTCGTGTTATTGGTGAGACAGTTAGCTGCCTGCACAACAGACGTAGCGCCACTCCCTACACAGAAACACCTCGTTTTCACGTACATTCCTTGTACACAACTACATACATATATCTTATACTACATCATGCATGAATAACATTTTGACTGTTCATGATAGAGCATCCAATACCGTAATCACAATCATTCTGCATCAGGACATACAAATTTGCTGCTAAAAAATATGCAGTCATTGTATCTCACAATTCACGTACCTATGACATCAAGCAGCTCATAGTCTTCCCTTTTGTTGGACCACTTGTACGTGTCCACAGACCCCTGCTTCTGTATAGTCGGAGCAGGGGTCGGGGCCTCTTCGGCAGCCATGCTCTTCTCCTAAAAGGGGGGGGATGCTGACATATCACGTGATGACCAGTTTACGGACTTCTAGCTCTTGCGCGCGTTCCTGATAGGCCTACGCCACGTAATGTATACCCTAGAACCTCTATGTGCATACTTACAGAACAGACTGGCTGTAATTACGCCCCAGAGCACGATTTCTTGTTGGCTTTCTCTTCCTCAAACGTAAGGCAGGCAATAATTAGAATAGTTTTAACCCCTTCTTTACCGAATTAGGTATCTTCGCGCACGCGCACGTCCTCACGCTCGACTAAACTGAACTGTGAAAGGGAGACCGAGTAAAATGGCTATGAGGGAAGATGACAGATTGAAAGGCCCGTTTTCACATTTGAAGCTATCGTCATGGGATCCTCTACGGTGAGAATTACTCCAAATTAACCTAGCGCATGCGCAAATGTTCTTATTAGCGCATGCGTGTAATACACCTCTACAGATCTGCTACTAGAGAAGTTTGTCCCAAGTGCAAGTCTTCGAGAAAGGTCTACTGCTACGACTGTTTCCAGTTCCTACCCAACATTGACCCTACTTCCATTCCCAGAATCTCACTCCCCGTTCCAGTAGACATGTACGTCTCGGTATTGCAAGGACCCTCCGAACCTCTTTGAATGGGATTTGGTTCTGCCTCACACTAATACATTAACTAATGGACACATCTGTCATGCTCTGCGCGAGAATATCGGCAGCTACTCGCTCGGCAGTGGAACACTGATTATGGCGAAATGCACACCTATATAGGCAAGATATGGGAATGTAATAATGAAATCATGAAAATCAACCAGTCTGAGTCATTATGATAGTCATTACACATCTGAATAAAGATGTCCCCAAGGTGTCTCATATATTGAGAGGTTCACCGTATCCTGATTTCCACACAGAATAAAGCACAGTCAGGAGGTGCAGGGGAAGAGCACGGCAACCCATGCCGTGATGCTGGCACCAGACAATGTCTCCATACACACCTACCCCTCCCTACCGCCCTTTTCTGACCCCAACAAATGTCTTCTCGTCTTCCCAAGAGAGGTATGGTGTTTTAATAGTAGACACTCTAAATAAGGACACTTTTCCTTATAGGACAGTTCTCTATCTAGTGCTTGTGTGCTAGTGTGAAAATGGTATGATTTTAAAACTTCAGAATAAAAAATGACACCTCACAACTTTAGTGTCACATTAATTGTCGTCATCATCATTATCCTGATAAAGGGTGCACTTTCAGTGTCAGAGTGGGTGAGACAGAACGGAACGGAGACGGCTGGAGGTGGAATGGACTGGAGGCAGGTCGAGAGGGTGGTGTTCATTGACAGCACATGGATTCAGACCAGGAAGATTCTCAAGGCATTTTCATATTTATTGTCCTCATTCCCAACCTCAAACAAGGCCTATTGGGAATGAGAGGCTAGTTCTCCCTTCCCTTCCTCCCTTCCCTTCCTCCCTTCCCTTCCTCCCTTTCTCCTCTCCTTCCGTGTCCCTGCCCTCTTCTACTGATTACTATGCTACGTTAATATGTATACAGGATGTCGATCATCTACCATGTGTGGTGCTTACAAATGAAGAAACTCATTTCTGGAGGTACATATATATGTACTGTAGTTAATGAACCATATACCATCAGCTGCCTTACAAACTCTCTTAGACCACAGACCAAGACAACATCACATCTAGCTACAATTGAAGCAATTTACTACTTCTTCAGAGAGACTTGTCAGCCACCGGAGTAAGTGACTCCATCTCACTCCCCCCCCTCGCTATCCAAATACTATTTCCCTTTCTGCATCACTCGTTTCTCTATTTTTATAAGAAGCTCGGTTAGTCTCTTGCGAGTGTCATAGTTTCAAGTCCATTCTGCTTGCAAATCGAGTTTCGAATCGAGTAGCTTTCTACATCGCTTGTTTTCTCCATATTTCTCCCTTTGAAAAAAGTTCAGAAGTTTCTTGTAAGTTTAATTTTCATACGTTCAAGTCCATTATACATGAGATTTGAGTGTAAACTTGCTGAAAAATAACTCTCTCCTCTTCTCATTACACAACATTGCAGGGCCTATAAAGGAGAGTATGACAATCTACTCTACTTCTATGCCTACCAGTACAATGTAGTCCACGAGGCTATGGATAAGAGAGCTCGAGATGTAGAACTCTGAACCATACAACCACTTTATCATGACCTGAGCTATTTATTATACATCATTTTGCAGTTATTCGCACAATTTTATCAGCGCAATTTTGTGAGAAGTGACCAAAATTTTTGTTCAGTAGTTCAAGAAATCAAAACTTCCCCAAAATTCCCACTATAAATATTATAATGCACATATATTATACAGCTATAAATTTGAAAGTGGCCATAATGTCTAGGTCAACTCAAATTGTCGGCAAAATAATCAGTCACAGGTTCCCTCACTGCAGGGGTCTTGGTCCTCTCAATTTCCAGGGGGCCCGAAATTTTACCGGGGGACGACCCCCTCTCTGAGGGGAGATTGACTGGAGTGGGTGTGGCCACTTTCAGTCTCTCTTTGTCAAGCATTTTCATGAGAGACAAGGTCGGGAATTTGGCACGACATCTGCATGAACATTATTTTATAGTTGGCATACCGTAGAGTGTTATTTTCGTTAGGGCAAATGCGAAAAATCATAAAACGCAAAAAGGGCTAAATTTTGAAACAGAAACTTATTTAATTCGCACTTGCCCCTACCGTTTAGCTGTAGTGTACTAAATTAAGCCTTTATGTATATACTGCACCATTCCCTTTAAGCTAACGCTGCCCCCGTCCATATATTACTTACTTCTTGGTGCTGACGGTGACGTGTCTGAGTGGCTCAGAGTCGTAGCTGAGGCTGTCACAGCCGTAGTGAGGAGCTAACTCGTGGACCATTCTTCTCTCGTGGTTTGCCATTGGCTGGAACTTGTGACGTCGCGCCTGGTCACCTGGTCCCTGGGACTTGACGACAGTAGAAGAGACAATCACACGCACACTCACACACTCACTCACTCACACACGCGATGTGATGTGTTTTACCTTCATAACTGAGTCTACGAATGATTTCAGTTCTTCCTCTAAGGAGGCTGCAACTGCCGTATCTCTCCTGCATAATTACCAACGACTTCAAAGCCTCTTTTTCATACGAGGATCACATGAGATTTGAATCGTGCCATCCCTATAATATATAGTGTCTATTGACACCCATAATCATAACAGACTAACCTGGTCTGAATATGGGACTCCTTGGGAAGACCTATGTGTAGGTGTCCTTTACTGGGAGGCATCCTCAGTATGTTAATACACTAATGTATTAGCATGCAGCGTACTTCACTGTACATGTAAAATAACAGCTCACGCTTGACTTACATACTACATAGAAAGAAGGAAGAGAAAGAAGTGTGAGAAGGGCTGCTGGGGCTTCATTTGATATCAAGTACAAGTAGAATATGGAGGAACTAGTGTAACCTCCAAATGAATGATATACGGTATGGGCAAAAGACGGGCTCACCTGGCCTGGTCCAGCAGTGTGGAGGGGTATTTCGGCAGAGGAGACTCGAGGGGATCCAAAACAGGGCTGGTTATCCCGAGGGCCTCGGCCAGAGTCCTGTTCCTCTCGATCTGAGCGCAGACTTCGTCGCAGTCGAGGCTGTCCTTGTCTCGACTGAGACTGGCGAGGGAGACGCGACCGAGAGAGACAGAGTGCCCACTCTGTAGGTCCCTGATCTTGGCCCCCAGGTCCTTGCTCAAGATCCTGAGATCAAGAGGTTCGACAAATTGGCGAATGAAATGCGCTTAACTAAATCATCTGAATTGCACTAGTGTTTTCCATATCTAGACAACCGATAGGCTATTTGTTAGCAAATATTTCCACTGTACTGAAGGGAAGGCAAAATTTTTACTAAAAACAGAAACACGATTACGTTCTTGCACCGGGCCTTATCATTTCTAAATTAACCCCTTATGAGCTCACTTGTGGAAGGCTTGCTGCATGATTCCAGAGCTGCTAGCTCCACACAGAACTCTCTCTTTCATTCTGCCACACTTGCACGTCAACACCACCTCGGCCTATGAAACCCACACATGCACACGTACGATGATGAAACTCCAGTGTTCTACCTACAATCACTAAAGCTTTCTCTCCATAAAAGACTCCTGTCATACTAACTTCAAACTAAAACAAATAGCAAAATTTTCATTTTAGCAGGCCACATTCTTAAAAATTTGCAGTCTACATGATTCACAAATATCATTCGTTGTCGACAAATGTTTCTAGTTTAGGGTATATATACGTCTCTTATACTGCATATATACACTGTATTTCCCTCACCTTGCAAGGGATGTCTAGTTTAGGGTATATATACGTCTCTTATACTGCATATATACACTGTATCTCCCTCACCTTGCAAGGGATGTCTAGTTTAGGGTATATATACGTCTCTTATACTGCATATATACACTGTATCTCCCTCACCTTGCAAGGGATGTCTAGTTTAGGGTATATATACGTCTCTTATACTGCATATATACACTGTATTTCCCTCACCTTGCAAGGGATGTCTAGTTTAGGGTATATATACACTGTATTTCCCTCACCTTGCAAGGGATGTCGGGGCACTCAGACCCAACATGGCACGTCTCTCCACACACGTGACTACAGTACTTGCGAGGGGTCTGACACGGCTGTCTGCACTGCTGGGCCAGACTGTCCGTGCACGCACCTCGATGACAGAGCTTGAGGCACTTGTGTCTCCCGCACGGGAGGTCCTTCCCGCACGGCATGCCGCACGACACGTCGGCTATGTGACACGGTATGTTGTAGCGTTTCTAGAGCAGGAGGGGAGGGGGAATGAAAGAGAGAGAGGGAGAACATTTCTTTCTTAGCTGCAGAAATTTAGGAGCAGTTTGAAAGGCAAGTACAGTAAAAATGTATATAGCAGTGCAAGAACTTAATGAACAAACATGTGTTGGCAAAACGCTACGAAAAAAGGGCCAAGAGTTTGAAAGAGTGAGAAAGGATGAAGAAGAACATTAAAGAAGCTACATGTTATTGTTACGACGTACTACCTCGTGCTTCCCCATACATTTAACAATGACATTATTACTTTAGCACATTATCTCGTGCTCCTCCATACATTTCAAAGTGAGTGGAAACAATGACATCATTACATTACCTCGTGCTCCTCCATACATTTCAAAGCGAGTGGAAACAATGACATCATTACATTACCTCGTGCTCCCCCATACATTTCAAAGCGAGTGGAAACAATTACATCATTACATTACCTCGTGCTCCTCAAAGCGAGTGGAAACAATGACATCATTACATTACCTCGTGCTCCTCAAAGCGAGTGGAAACAATGACATCATTACATTACCTCGTGCTCCCCCATACACATCTTGACGGTGAGGACGGTACAGGGGGGACACTCCTCTTCGTTATGGCAGGAGTGGAAAACGTTGTGGTCACAGGAGTGCATGCGGGCGCAGACCCTCTTGCAGGTGGGAGGCCTCGTACCACAGGGTAGCGGGGGGTAGAGGATCTCGGCTCCACAGTGGCACGTCAGTTCCTCGTAGCCTGTGTGGAGAGAGAGCGAGTGGAACGAGAGGTGCCGCTAAAGTGCAAATCCTCGATGGCAATGAACGTTTATATGCATGATTGTGGAAAGGTGCTAAAGTTGTTCCAACCCTCGATATGCAGTGCATGTGAATGCAGTGCTTGTGCTACATGACTATGTGGGAAACTACTGCGACTCTTGAAAAAACAATGGAAGGCTATTTGGATGCGCCGAAACCTTTCCGCAAGACTACTGCTCGAAATGGTTGACCAAATATTGTCTTTTCTGCACTTGCTGGCTGCATCAGTAAAGTACAAATGATTGAAGGTAGTTATGGTGACCTTCACACGATTGAAGGTGGGTCATGTGACTATCACGTGACTCACTATACTCCCAGCATTGTTCGCAGTGTCCTCGATGGCACTGCTCCATGCAGTTGTGGATCCCACAACGCAGTCTCTTACCGCACACCAAGGTACACTGGTGATTAGCATCCTGCGAGAAGAGAGAGAGAGAAATGCCCCATTCTGCTACATATTTTTCTCCTTTCTTGAGAGAGAGAGAGAGAGAGAGAGAGAGACTAACCATGCAGCAGCGAGTGTTACATCTGTGGCGACCGCAGCTCTTCATCTTGTTGCACGGCTTGTCGCAGACGAAATCCCCGATTCCCTCCAGATTCTGGCACTCCACTCGCGTGCTGCCCCTCCCACATCGACACCGCACCAGGCGGGACTTCTCGCAGCGGGGGCACGGACCCTCGTGACACCCGGCCGGACAAAAATGAGGCTCGGCTGAAAGAGAGATCGTAATTATTGAAGCAAGCAGAAACAAATTTTGTGCAGCTGTAAGGGAAAAGACACTGTGTATGTGATGTGACACGTGAAAAAAAAATAGAATGTGGCTAAATATAGCTCAACACTATTATTGGATTCTAGCACTGGACTCTATTGTGCCACATTACCTAACTATTGACATTCAGTCTAGATACATAAAGGAGAAAGGTTTGAGAGGAAGATAGTCGTTCATTGAGGACTATACTTGTGTGTGAAGCAAGCCCACCTAATCATCTGAAATGTCATACTGCATGGTACTGTCACTACACGACAATGTTTTATGTAATTTTTCAATGAAATCTTAAAAACTTGTGATCGCTCACCATGAATGTGTGGCATTCGCTCTAGAGTGTCGTTGTAATGTACCTTTAGTGGAGCAGGGGAGGACTCTACCACAGGAGCGGTTGCAGGTTGGAACGGGATCGAGACAGGAGGTCCTGGACTGGTCCGGAGACAGGAGGGCGGAGAGGGGCGTGGCACCGCAGGGGCAGGCGGTGACGTGTGCGGGGAGGAGGGGACATGGGGGACAGGGGGCGGGGTGGCAGCTCAGCTCACACAGGTGGTTCCCACAGTTTAGTTCTCTGGAGAGAGAGAAACAAGCTTTCTTCACGTAAATCTCATTTTTTCACGTAACATGCTTTTCGTTTTTTTTCTTGTAATTTTTGAGAAGAGACATGGTTTGTATGCAGCTTTAACAAAAACAGTTTTTTTTTAGCATTTGTTCGGCTGAACTGACATTATTCGCAATAACTACGTACTTGCATGATTTGTGAAATCCATGAAGTCATAATTATAGAGTTCAAGTGCAGTAATCTCTTGGACTAATTTCAATAAGGATGTAACACATGTTTCTCCTGAAGAATGAATGAATGCAGCTGCAGATACACTGACCTTCCACAGACGAGGGAGCACCCGTATCTCTCCTCCTCCCCCTCCTCCCCAGTCTCCCCACACACCACCTCACGATGACTCCGCCCACAGTGGCAGTGCTGAGTCAGCATCATCGTACAATCTCCACACGACCCTACAAAGCAGGTGATAATCATTTCTATGCTTACTGCTACAAGTCAGCGAATATGATCTGCCTTTACATCCTGCCAATAGATCAGCTGCATGCACACATTTGTACAGACGTAGTAAAAGGCAAGGTTACTACTCTACGACAAATTAAGATATTCACTCGTGAATACCTAAAACTGACAACACATAAAACTGGCTATTGGGCAGGAGCTTCCCACAGCATTGATTTGGGTGTGTTTGAACAATGGTGCTGCTAGGTGTGGAGTCTTGAGAGTTTGGAGGTGGCTCATGTCCTGAAGTGCAAGGGAGCAAGTGTTCAAAATGAATGTACTGTAACAGGTATGACATCATCCGAGGTATAATCATTCATGCAGCGCTTATGCGTGGTTACATAACGCATTAATGAGTGACACAATATTATACAACAGACCTGAGTGACATGACTGCGTACAGTGGTGTCTTCCACATTTCAATCTTCGTCCACATTCGGAACCGCACGACGGCAGCTCCTCTCCCTTACTACATCTCACCTACATACATACACAATAAGTATAATATACAAGTACAATTAGAATGTGAGCTTTATATTAGGACAACTTGCACTCCATTGTTGTTAGCTATAATTGTAGGCTAGTAGTAAAAAGCAATTCTGTGAAATCGACATGCATTAGAAACCAAAGGGCCCATGCACTATAGTGTTCCAAGCTAAATAATTATAAATTCTTATGGGTTTATGGAGGCTCTGGACATACTTATATGTCTGTGGCTTGCTACGGGTTAATTGACGAGCACCCTACACACCTCCCCCTCCCCATGTGAAGGTGTTGAACCATTCCAAACCCATCTGATCCGTCTACCATATGCACGCAGTCTCTTCCCACATTTACTTTGTTTGTTAGGCTAACAGTTAACCAGAGACCTGATATTTCTGTCTTCCACACGGACATGATCTATTTACCGTCACAGGACATGGCGGACAAGGACCTATACATACAGTACAGAGGAGGGAGAGGGGAGGAGAATGGAGAGAGGGGAGGGGAGGAGAGTGGAGAGAGGGAGAGGGGAGGAGAATGGAGAGAGGGAGAGAGGGAACAAGGAGGACAAAAGAGCTTCGTAAAATAGTCTTACACTCAAATCTAGTTAGGTACCTTAAAATGAATGCTGCATGCGAAACAAACTAACTTGTACACAGCACACCTGGGTGGCAGAGTAGCTGGCACTTGTGTTGGCATGACGACAGGGGGTTCCTGGCGAGACTCCGCCCACACAGCTCTCCGCAGCTGTGCGGGACGGTCAGCTCCCCCCTGGCCCTCGGCCGAGGGTTAATGAGTTTTCCACAGTAGCACTTGTAAACGGTGGGTACCACGTCCGAGGGGTTCTGGCAGGCAGGGCAGCGCCAACCTTCACTCGGTTCTTCTGCAGAAACGTTTATCACTTTTTGACATTGTCATCGTTAATTTTCAAAGAGACAGCAGTGTCTTATTCTTGACCTGCTAAATATAACTTGCTGATTTCGGTCAACTTTTAGATGGGGAGTACACGAACATACGTCAGTTATGCTGCTACACGATGTAATACGAGGCGGCTTGCAGCACTTTTCTCTCTACTAGCACAGTGGGTAGGTTTGTATGCATTACACCTTCTTATCATTCAACAGTGGGTAGGTTTGGTAGTACCTTTCCTATTAACTTGTATATGCAAACAGTGAATCACAATTGTATTGTACTAACATCCACATACACAGAAGAAGTATTGTGATAGTTTATGTGTACATACACCGGTCATTGAAACTGAAACGTACTCTCGCTGACGAGTGACGCGGGGGCGGCGGCCCATTTCCCGATACAGCCCAGGTGGAAAACATGGTGGCACTCCTTACAGCTCCACACGGCGTCCCTGTCCCGGACTCTGTCACAACACACCATGCAACTGTAGCTCCCGCTGGTGAGCTGCTCTGTCAGCTCACTGGACTGGAGACTGGGCATCACCTGCTTCCCTGCCACACATTTGTAGGGAAAGGGACAATTTCCCCCAGAGTAGAACATGTCACACTTCACACTATCGTACTGACATGATAAAGTGGGCAATGCAACTACAGTTTAAAACAATGGAATTTTCTCCCTGAAAGAGGACGCCTCTCTAACCTTTTCTTCCAAGGTTAGTTTCACATAATGGGACACCTCACTAATTCACTCTCTCCCATTGCTGCCCTGGTTGCACTGCTATACATTGTAAGTACATGCAAATGATAAATCTAACCTCTTCCTTTCTTTTGAGTTGCAGAATGACTACTTCTCTTGTGCCCTCTTCTGTCGCCCTCATTCTCAGCTTTCATCTTGATACCAGGTCTCCCTTCCCCCTCTCCCTCTCTCCCTTTACCCCCTAACCCCCTCTCTTCCTCTCCCCCCATCCCATCCTCCACCTTGCTGTTCGTCACCCTCCTACCAGGTACCGACATGTCGTACATGTATCTCCTCTCACTCGCTGGCCTTGTTTCAGTTTCAGTTTGATCAGATCTCTCTCGCCAGTTTCGGTCGAAACCTCTCGGTGTTCTCTCTCGTACCTGCGTCTCTTTCAGTTGTCGTCTTTGTCCCAGTTTTCTCGAATTCGACTTTTCACTACCTGCTATACCTCCCGAAGCTCCTTTTTTATCACCACTTGTCAAATTTCCGTCTTTTTAGCCTCCTTATTTGGCATTCGTTGCTCTGAATTTTCAATTTTTGCTTCGTTGATGGCCATTTTACCACCTTGTCCCTCTCCCACTTTGTTTTCTTGTTTCTCCTTCTCTTGCTTTGCTGTTTCTTGCTGCTCTGTTTTTCCATCTCCCCTCTTCCTCCTACCACCATAATCACGTCGTCTTGATTTCTGGTGACCCTCGTTCAAACGTTCTCCCTCTCCCTCTCCTTTTTCTCGTTCCCAAATTCTTTCCCTCTCTGCTTTTACCTCTCCTCTCCCCCTTCTCCTCCCTCCGTACTCCCGCTGCCTTGTTTTCGTTGGCACCTCACTGTCCCTCTTTTCCTCTTCGTGTTTTTCACGTCCACTACTTGTCTCCTTTCCTCCCTCCTTTTTTGCTTCCCCTATCTCCCTCCCTCTGCCACCAAATTCCTGTCTCCCTACATTCTCATCATACCTGTCCCTTCCTTTGTTTCCGCTACTTGTTGCCGCCCTCTCTTCCCCCTTCCCCCTCCCTCTCCCCTTCCCCCCTCTCCCTCTTTCTCCTGTCGCCATACTCCCCTCTCCACCTCTGTCCCCTCCACCTACCACCCCGAACCTCGAAAACCTCTCTCGTTCTCACGCCAGACGAGCGACTCTGCTGCTGGCCTTGTCGGGGGCGCTGTCTGAACTGATGATGTCCTCCATCTTTCTCGACTTGCTCTGCAGCAATATTCTCAGCTTTTTCCCTCGAGTCATTCCGTGTTGCACTGTTCCCTTCGCGTCTGTCAGCACCACTTGAATTTATACCTGAAGAGACGCACACAAATGTTAAGGCAAATACAGTAAGACCCACCTATAAGGACACACCTGAAAAGGGACACCTCTCTATTAATCTACAACTGAGACAATTCTTTCATTCACAGAAATAAGTAATATAGATGTCTACTTTCTTGTGTCAGATTGGTGTCCAGATTAGAGGGGTTCCACTGAACTCAGCAACCCATTTTGGAGTACTTTACATGTACTTTTGGAGACGGAGAGGCCGCGTAAGACCGCAACGATATCATCTTTGTACTACATTTTCAGTTAAACGAGTGAGGTACAGAGGTAGGACTACGGTAACAGAATGACTGAGACTCTATTTTCTGAGTACGATACCTGTAGTAGTAGGGGGTTGCTGTTCGGTGGGCCCACGGTCAGACTTAGAACTGGCGTTTTCAGAGCGAGCTGGGCCACTCTCCGCCATTTTTATCTGGGAAACTCACAGCTTGCAGGAGCTCAGCAGTTTCGTGCGAACACACGACATCCCACAGGGCTGCTTAGCTGCTGTAGCATGTTGTCTGTCACTTGCATGTGTGGTTTGCAAGAACTTTTCAATTTTTCATGGTGTAGCTGCTTGCGCATGCGCAAAATGAATGGCTACACTGCACTGATAAATAGATCATCGAAATTTGCGTAGCAATCACGCCCCCCGCGTCTGGTACGTCCGTTTTCACACACTGAGAGGGCTTGAGCACAAAGACTGATGGCTAAGTCCCGCAGTACTGATGGAGCGATCCTTACACCTGTGTGCACGCTGCTTTGGAAGTTCATCGCAATTTCACTTTATCTCGGAGCTTCGACCGCTGCAGTCCGAGTCGATGGGGTGCGCAGAAGTAAGTCCTCCGAGTTGCAGCTCGCAGTAGCACCAAATCCGCAAATTAGGTTCCTCATTTTGCGCTCTTCCTCCACGTAGATTTGTCTGAAATACGCTACCACTTCACTCCCTGCGGTGCAGTGGGAAGGCTAGGACCGACGTACGATGAGTGCCTGCGGTACTACGCTTCCGTGAACTCACCTATCGCCCGCGATGGAGTCCTGAGCGACACATACAGTTCCAGGTATCCAGGCTCGCAGTCTTTTAGGCCTCCGAGAGTCACTGAATGGAACTTGACCATCGCTGGAGCTGCAGGAGGTCGCGGGTTATGCAACATTCTGCAAGGAACGGGGCTGGTTCTGAGCTTACCAAAAGTTGTCTTCGGTTCTCAAGAGGATATTATTGTGTTGGCAGGGCAGAGAGGTTTAGGTCCGTGTGATATAGCAACACCCGAAGATCTTGGTCACTCCCTCTGCGAAATTTCACCTCAGAACATCAGCAGTGCATTGGAGTGTAGAGATTCCTACTCTCACTGGTTGTTCTCTACCTTCGCTGGCGTAGCTTCTACACTTCGTTTCTTTAGTGGTGGGGCAGGAGGGGGTGGATCGAGCTTTGTCGGGACGAGACGGTACTCTTCGTCCGATCTCGTTGGAGAAATCGTCGCAATAGCTGGTGGCGGAGGTGGTACGTCACTGTTGATTAGCTACAGAGTAGACGGTGAATTTGATTTAAGTACTCCGGAACTGTACCGGGAGTTTATAGATGCAAACCCACTACCCTATGATAATTTCACAAGAGGTGTGTATGGAAGAAGAGGGAGGGGGGTTGGTGTAGATATTAGAGAAGCTGGAGCCGGTGGAGGTTACTCTGAATCTTTTGAGTTTCGCCAACCAAGCCCCTCGGACGGCAGGGGCCTAAACATGTCTGAAAACTTTGGAGAAGGTGGTAGGCACTGCTTGGCCGGGGATGTAACGATCCCAGAGCGACTACAAATGGCAACAGGCGGTTTTGGTGGTGGAGGGGGAGGATGTTTAGAAGGTGGGGGAGGAGGGGGATTTACGGGCGGTAATGTGATTAACGTGACTGAAGTCACCCCTGGAAGTGGAGGTTATTCGCTTTCAAACTGGCCAAGAGCAATACTTGACTGGCACGAGGGAGACGGCTATGTGGACATAGTGGAGGCAGACTGTGGGTGTGTCCACCGGTGTGAGGTGTATGAGGAGGAAGACCAGTTCCAGTGTCTCTGTCCCAACGACACTCTACTGGCCCCTGACCTCAGCGATTGCTTCTACAGTGAGCAGAGAGAGATACATGCTTAGTCTAATACTGTATTATAAAAATTATTTTGACCAATGCAAATTTTCAAGGCTTGTGAGCAGTCTGTCTGTGAAAGTTGTGAGAGAAAGTCCAATACATTCGCTAGGCACCACAAATCATGTCACCATGATAGTCAGAGTTGAATTTCCTACCAAACCACATAATTACTCTTCCTTGAAAGTTCCCATTATACTATAGCACAAAGCCGCCAAGCCTAGTTATTTGCCTTTCATTTTTCCATTAGGAGTGGAGAGGATAGTTTCCAAGCCAAATGCCACGATTGGTGACGATGTCGAGAGAGATTTCACCCTGCAAGCCGTCAGCTTTGGCAACAGTTCATACATCTTTGGTGTGGAGATTGGCTGGTCCGTAGCAGTCCCTGGTGGCAAGAGACAGGCAGAAATCACCGGTGACTTGTGTGTGCTGATGTTCACTGGAGAGAACGACGAAATTGTGCTGGTCACAGAGCCAATAGTAAGGTAAAGGTTAGGTTGGAGTATCTGATGCGGTCAAACTTATGAATAAGGGGCAACTTGGGGACATTTCAGAGATGTCCTTTATTCGGAGGTAATATAGTACACTAATGCATTAGTATGGGGCAGACCCAAGGTATTTATTCGGATTGGCCTTATTCGGAGGTTTAATTGTACACTGAGCAGTCCATGAATGATCTTTGCTAGGCAAACTCCTTGCCAAATTCATACGTAATTCCAGCTACAATGTGTGCTACTCTGCTATTATCTTTTCCTATAGAAAGTCTTTGAATCTAAGTCGAATCATCATCAACAACGGAAGTCTAACTACTACCAACTACACATCTTTTCTTGACTCTTCAGTGCTTGTGACTGGTGCCATTATAGCCAGCACTGGTCCCTGCATTATCGATGATACCATTGCTTTTAACATCAGCACCAGAGACACAGAAAGCCAAGGTTTATAATACATAGTACCACAATGCTTTTAAAAATCATCAGTTGTGTAAGTACGGTATGTAAGCATGCATGCGCTGGAACGGACAGCTTTTACCACTGGATTACCTCCAATTAAATAATCCATGTATCTCGCTCCCAATCTCACTGCTGGTAGACTAAAATAATGGCATAAGTCAGAAAGCGTTATGATAATTATTATGTTATCTTACCAGGTGGTGCAGACTTTGCAACGATACTCTCAGACCTTTATAATGAGTCCAGCAATGCCAACACTCTCCTGCGGCGGGTTCTAAATCTCCCAGAAGAGGATGAAGAGGAAACTGAGAGGCAATATACCGGTGTTTCTGGAGGTGTTATTGCTGCTATAGTCATTGTTGCAGCCCTAGTGACTGTTGGAGTTATCGTGGCTTTTACTGTGCCACTGGCACTATGGAGGAAAAGGTATGAGCAGTAAAATTTTGCTCTTGTTCTAATGTACAGCGAGGACACCCCTTTTATAAGGTCACCTCACTAATATTTTGTTGCAGAATCTCTAAACAGAATATTTTACTTTCGTAGATATCTTTTTAACCTTATAAATGTCTTTCTATAGACGTCGGCCTGAAAAGACTGACGTGGTGTATCTAGCTGAAGAAAACGGACAAGATACTCCAGTGGTGCTGGACTACGTGAGGTATTCCTCGCAGAAGAGACCCAGCGAAGATCTTGTGAGTTTTCAATCACCTCTCCAGAGTTAGTGAGTATATAACATGATTTCCTTTTCCACCCCAGCAAGCTAATCTTGGATACGAAACCTTGAACTTTGGGGTAACTAATACACATTGTGTCATTTTCTCCAAGTACGTTATTTTCTGTGGTATGCGTAGGACAATGATGGTGTTTTGGAGGCGATTGAGGAGAGAGAAAAGTTTGTGTCAAAGTATGGAGTGAGTGCTACTGGTTTGGACTTCACCGAGTTCAACAGCAGTCGTGCAAACACTGGAATGAGGGTTAGTGAAGTTGGACTACACTTTTCTTGGTTTATCATTTGTTAGCCACTAACTTACTACTTTACTTGGAAATCGGCACATACAGTTGAGAGAACAGAGTGGTTGCGTTAAACAAAATTTGCTAGAAGGCCAGAGCCCCATGATGTAATATCAGGGTGTGCGAGTGTTGACAATATAACTTCTCTCGTGGGGAAAGAGTATCGTGTATCAGATGTGAGAGGAGGCTGTGGTTGGAGTAGCAGTTTAGACACCGCTAGATTTGTAAGCAAGTGTGTTATTTAATGGGGTAACATCACATTCCTACCAATGTGTATATGTACTGACGTGTATCAAGTATATAGAAGTTTACTACATACATTAAGCTAGCCTGGCATCTCAACAGGAAACCTTAGCATTACTGGGCTTAAAGTACTGCTAACGCAAGAAACACATTCACATACCTTTTTTGCTGTATGTCTTGAACTATGAATGATAGTTATGTACATTAAAATTTCTTTGCCCGCAGAACTGGGAGTATCCAAGATCAAAGCTCATCTTCATGAGGGACTTGGGAGAAGGGCAGTTCGGGAAAGTCATGCTCATGAAGGCCATGGTGCGTTTTTCACACAGCATTGCAAATCCTCCTAGTACCAGGAGCATATATGGGCTCAGTGGGAAATGCTCTCTGGGTGTGTGTGTCTGTCTGTTTGTCTGCCTGTCTGTCTGTCTGTCTGATATATATAGAAGCAGGAACCTACCACAGTTTCAACCTACAGTCTTTTATCTCAATCAAAATAATGTCATTGTTTCTATCTGTCTATCATATCCAGAGCATTGCGGGCTATTCTGGTGACCTCCCAGTGGCAGTCAAAACACTGTCCAGCAGAGATCCCAGCGTCATCCAGAAATTCACGGATGAAACTGATCTCATGAAGAAGTTCACTCATCCTAACATTGTCAGCCTTCTTGGTAAGCCCCTACTGGTGCATAACATCCTAGTATATGCTTCGATAGTAAACTGAGGTCTTTTTTGTGTAGAGATCAAAATAATAAAAGCACCTTATTGAAGAGGTTTCCTATTTGTAGTGTCCTTTGTAAAATAGTAAAACCTTGTTTCGTGCTCATTACGCCAGGTGTGTGTAACATGAGTGTCACGGACGACAGTGCACCTCTCATGATTCTGGAGTACATGCCCTACGGAGACCTGAAATGCTTTCTGCAGGATCACAGGCAAGCTGTATAGTGCATAGCGGGATATTTTGCAGGTAGAAAACTTTCACGATTACAAGAGAGAATTCTGCAGTTCACGAAGCTTTCTCCGTCTGATAGTGAGACACTTTTTTAAGGAAGAAAACTTTGAAAAATTTTACAAATTTGCTTCCTCAAAACATTTTCATACTTCATTTCTACGACGTAGCATTGATTACCGTTGATCTCTTTCACTTCAGACCTACAAAAGAAGACCCAGCGTCACCGATATCTGAAAGTCACTTCTATTCATTTGCCTTGGACGTATGTCTTGAGAGTTATAGCTAGTGAAGCTTCCTTTGAACGTGTGTGTGTTTAGAGTATTCTGGGCGCCCGCATCGAATGCCCGTTAGCTAAAAGCCAACAGCTGACATGTGGTTTTCGTTCTGACATGTGGTTCATATATTATGTTGGTTATTGCTTATTTGCTCTGCCCACAGGTCGTAAAGGCCTTGGAGTTTCTTTCGTCGTACAAGTACGTGCACAGAGATATGGCAGCAAGAAATTGTCTTGGTAAGCTATCCACATAGTGTTGTTTGCTACAGAATTGTGTGGGATAGTCAAAGCTACTGTTATTCTCAACGTTTTACTATATTTTTAAGTGTAACTACTGTTTAAGCAACTGTTAGTTTTTTTAAGTTGTGTGGAAGCCATTGTTTTGCTTTTTTTGTGTTTCGTTTCAGTTGGAGCAAATCTGCTCATCAAGATTGCAGACTTTGGCCTGGCACGCGGTGTCTATGACAAGGACTACTACAGAGTAGCTGGGGCAGCATTTCTACCAGTTCGTTGGATGGCCCCAGAATGCCTAATGTATGGCGTCTTCTCCACTGCCTCCGATGTGTGGTAGGTATTATTGATAGCTACGTTGTATTGTGTTTGCGTGGGTTAGTTTGTGTTTGTTTGTGTAGGGAGAAGGGTGTATTGATTTTCAGCTTCTGTTCCTGAAATCTGTTAAGCCCTTAGAACACAGTCTTATATATTCAAAATAATTATTATAGGACACTTCATCCAGTACTATTCTATTATCATAGCCTTCTCGAGGTTCCACTCTATAAGTATAAATTGTGAGGCGTCATTTTTCTCCAGGGCATATGGTGTGTTGCTATGGGAGATAACAAGCTATGGGGCGACCCCTCTTAATGACTATGACGCACAGGGGGTGGTGGAAATGGCACAGAACGGCTCCCTCAGACACTCTCAGTAAGTACATATAATCCATAAATGCAATGGCATCAATGAACACCTTTTAGTCAGGTAGAACAGTTAGTTGTATTGCAGTCTGTTCTGCCCACCATTGCTACTTAAAATCCAGTTTAGGACAAAGACTAACTTGCAAGAAGAGTATTATATTTTGAAGGCATAGCCTCCCCGTGTCATCCCTACATAGAGCTTCTACCAACGCTCTGATTACTTGTTTCACTTCGATCTTAGCAGATTATATTACGTAGCTACTAAAACTGCCATCTATCTGTAGAAAACTCATTTATGTGTTCTGTTTTGTAGGCCTGTGTCTTGTCCAGATGAACTGTACAACATTATGTGCCAGTGCCACATTCTGAATCAAGAAGACAGACCATCATTCACTGACCTACGCTCCCTCCTCGAATCTCACAATGCTACATCTCAAAGCTGAACATATAGTGTACACTATATACAATCAGCTACCTCCACTCTTTGTAGAGCTTTCAATATCATAGAACATAGCGTTGATATAAAAACAAGGTGGTTCTGATTTTGACAAACAGCCTATACACGTAAACTTGCCATTTCTGCCGTTGGAGCTCGGCGTATATAGTATGGCAAAAACTACATTTTATGTCAATAGTTGGTGGTTCTCCTAGCTGGGTAGCTGGGAGAGGATGGAGGTGAAAGAAGGTCTTTGGTCTGGGTCGTAGTGGTGGCACTGGGTGATCAGAGATGACAGCACTGGAGGTGCCTCTGCAGGTCTGAGGAAAGGGAGAGAAGGAGCTAGGAATTGGGATGGTATGGGTGGGTAGTAGACACAGAAAATAGAGGATCGGTTAGGGGGTAAGAGCTAGGGGGGAGACAACAAGGTTTTGGGTTATGAGTATCAAAAGTGGATGTAAGTGTGCAACGTCTCTTGATGCCTAGTTTTTGTGAGAAAATAGGGAATCTCTATGCTTTGGTTCTAAGTGTGTGTGTGTGTGTGTGTCTGACGGATTGTGTAGGAGGGTCTGATTGTGTGCAGCCTGCAGCATGTCTTCAGTGGACATTCCCATCAGCGGCACTTCGCCGTATGTAGCTATCTCCCACAGCAGAACTCCGTAAGACCTGCATTACACACAACACGTCAACACGACATCCATATATACCCATCTGTTTCCGAGATGTATGTGGGTCAGTAAGGATTGAACAAGCTATCTGAAAGTATAGTAGGACTTTTGAGTTTGAAGAGTGACTAAGGGTACAGTACGCTACACATTGAGCTGCAACTCCTAGAGGAACGCTAGTCTAAGGATCTCTATTGTCTGAGAGCTGTGATACACTTTAGAGCATCGAACCTCTTAGTGCATGGAGCTTCTTACAATAAAGGACACTCTTTATAAAGTACAACCGAAAGGCTTGAGGGGCAGCTAGAGTGTTGTCTCACCAGATGTCACTGGCAGTAGTGAAAACTCCGTAGAGCAAGCTCTCGGGGGACATGGCTCTGATGGGAAGGATCTGAGTTCCTGCCACTCGGTAGTAGTCCTTGTCGTGGACACCTCGGGCCAGCCCAAAGTCAGCTATCTTTACCACCAGGTTGGTGCCAACTGCACACAGCATAGTAACACAAGACTACTTGATTTTCTATAGGCTAGCTAGTAAGGTGTAGGCTAGTAAGGTGTAGGCTAGTAAGGTGTAGGCTAGTAAGGTGTAGGCTAGTAAGGTGTAGGCTAGTAAGGTGTAGGCTAGTAAGGTGTAGGCTAAAAATGGGTATATTATGTGCAGGATATATACTCTATATAGACAAGAGCAGTTTTTGCCAGGTCACCATTTCTGAACTATATACTCAGATATAGTGACTAGAAATCTAGTGCCTGACTGCTCAAATTTGTAGCTAGAATACAATGTGTTTGGCCTTAACACAATGTTGATGCCACCTTCTTCAATAGCTGGCAACCACTATGTGGTCTGAGCCATTCTGTAATTACACAAGAAAAGACTGCGTGTGCTGACTAAGGTAAGAACTAATAGTGCTGACCAAGCAGCAGTGAATAAGAGAGTGTTAGGTAGGATGCTGACCGAGGCAGTTCCTGGCAGCAATGTCTCTGTGAACAAACTTTGAATAGGCCAAGAACTCCATAGCTCTGGCCACCTGGGCATTAGGACGATAACTATGTTTATTCCAATGTTGACGTATAGTTGATTGGAGCTTACGTCAATAGCAAAGCAGAAAAAGTGCTCTTGCTGTACGACCCACTTGGCATTCTTCCCTGCAGGCCTGTAATAAAATGCAATAGAGTTACATTTTGGACATCATCCCACACACACACAGATTTTCTTCATACTTGTATTTCTGCAAGAAGCTGAGTAGGTCTCCAAACGGCATATATTCCAGTATCATAAGTGGTGCACTGGTTTCATCAATATCATCAGTACATACACCTATGGAAACAACACCATACATTGATAGCCACTATAATTATAGATCCCTGGAAGGCTATACATAATAATTGGGCTACATGTTGACATTATACCATACCGAGTATGCTGACTATGTTAGGATGAGAGAATTTCTTCATGAGCTCAGCCTCTTCCAGAAACCTTTCAATGATGTCTGGTTCCTGGGTGTTAAGTGTCTTCACTGCCACTGGTATACTCCCTTGGTACCCTGCTATACCCTGCAACAATAGTATGAAGTTGGCCACGGTGTCGTAAGGTTTTTATATACTTTCAGCAGGGCAAGGTTGCAGTCCCATAAGCAATGCACTATATAGCAGAATTATATTACAGCTCAGTGCTCAATGCACTGGACTTCAAGTCACATATGCCAATGTCTTGGCCTGCGTAGTAGCTGATTATCCATACAAGATAATCTTCTTTTAGGCCAGGTGAAGACTTCATAATTATGATGCTCGTTAAGTTATACAGGGCACCTATTCTGTAGCTAAAGTCATAAGTCCCTTATATTATGTAAGGCAATAAGTCATTGTTTTGGAGTATAGGCATGACGTATATATACGTATTATAGCAAACCTGAGTCCTCATAAGAAGGACTTTTCCAAACTGGCCCTCCCCGAGCTCACGAAGGTAGACGAGATTGGAGCGAGGAAACTGCCACTCGTGGACGTTGCTGTTAGTCCGTGAGCGATTGTACCCGACGAAATCGTGAAACGGGGCCGAGTGGCCGAACTTTGGCGAGAGGAGCACACTGCTTTCAAATACTGCCTCTCGGAGATTGCTCCGTGCTGATAGTATAGGGAGAGATGCTGGCACAGGGCTGTTTACAGACGGTCTGGACACCTTCAACTCCTGTATTAGAGGAACGAACAGATTTTTGCAAGTTAGCAGTATAAAAATTGGGTATTTGTGGGTATTTTACATGCTTGTATTTACAGACATTGTGCCGGCCTCCTTTATTTATCTTTCTATAAGAAAGATTCACTGAGGTCTAGCTACTATAAACACAGCATGGCATTGGTAGCTCTGTTGCTGTAATGTATAGGGACTGCACACAATCAATTGAGATTCATAAACTATACAAATCAAAGGCCTTTTCATTGGCTATAGGCAAAAGAAAGAACAACTTACACTGGTATGTAGTCTACCAGTGAGTATATACCTTTCTCTTTACAAGGGACTATAGATCAAAAGTACCACGTGGTAGCTAGCTCTACTTACATCTTTAGAGTAGCTCAGGATTTCGTACTCGTGTTGTGGATCGTAATGGACTGAGACCACCGATGACGGCGTCTCAACCGGAGCAATTACCTGAGCCTGGAACCAGAAATAAAAACTAAATCTTTGTCTGTGTGCGCAGAGAGCTCAATGTCTTAACAATGAGGACAATGTGGGTCCATATAATAATACGTAGAATGGGTGTATATACTCACACTTCTAGTAGGAATGCGGTTTGAGTAGCATCCATAGGCGTGGTTACTGAGGAGAGTGGAAGTCGATCCGGAGACATTGCCGTGCCGCGCAACATTGTGCGGTGGAGACCACTTCCCCCTGTACACATCAAAAGGTGCTTATTGCGGAAGCTGTGAACTACTGATACAATACGGGTGTGATAGTCTATTGCAAAACCCCTAGTTTGCCTGGTAGATGAGGATTATTTTATGGAGTTTTGGAGGGAGATTTTTCTGTAGTTGGAGTCAAGTCTAGTGAGTGAAAGTTCAGTGCACTACACACACTGAGCAAAAAAGGTGGTCATTGGAACTGGTTGTAGTGTATAGTAGGGAGTAGAATCCTACTTTTTGTTTCTCTGTCTTCTCCTGCAACACCAAATAGTCCCAAAAAAGAACACACAGCCACACAGACAGAGGAGTGCCCCGCCCACTATCACCAGCACCATCTCCAACATTGAAAAGAGAGAGCTCCTGTCTTTAGTAGCTGGGCTCCTGATTTGAAGCACGGCAGTGATAAATTCTCTTAGTGTGTTTTGGTTGGAGTCTAGAAACTCGGCCAGTGCTATTTCACCATCACCACTCCAGACTGACACTGAGGGTTTGGACAAGAGAGTGGGTGGGTGGTCGTCAAGTGACGCGGAAGAGCAGTGTGAGATGCATGTGTAGAACATGCACAAACACCACCGAAATTGGCAGCAATCAGTATTCATGGCATAATTATACAGATCGCTTTAGTAATACTCACCGATTTCCTTAATAGAATCGTTCGTGTCAGCTTTTAGGCTGAGAGTCATGTTTATGAGGTCATCTGTGAGCGAACAGTCTCCATTGCTAATGAGGAGAGCTCCTGTAATTATCTGAGGATCAGACAACCACTGGGTGTAGTCAGAGAAGGCGAATGTCCCGTCTGTCACATTCAATGTAGTCAGAGCTAATGTCCCCACCTTCTCAGTACCTCTGTGTAAGAACACACACAATGGCTATAATTATGAAGTGTGAAATGGGAAAGGTAATGTATACAAATGGCCATCTTTCTCTCAAGGATGAAAATGTATAAATTATACAGCCCATTTGTGTGAGCTATACATCTTCCTTCTACTTCCTTCTTTCTTTAAAGTATGAAGGAGCTGTTAAAAAGCAATAGTGGAGTATTTACTATGACCCTTGGCTTACTTGGCAGGTTCAGTCACAGCTACAATATCTGTCAAGTTTTCTCCCAAAAAGGCAATGGCACATAGAGCATCTGCACTGTTGAGCTCAGCAGCTATGCTGTAGATGATGGTAGTGTTGCCTGTTTCCACCAGCCTCAGTTGGTAGCTCTCAGCTGACACAAGAGTTTCATTATAGACAGTCACATCTTGCTCCACAGCTGTGTTGGCAAGAAGACAGAGACAATGCAACAAGTCAAGCAGTTGAAGTTATACATCTTCTAGCTGCTATCACAAAAGCTAGACAGTGAATCACTAAAGGATTTTCCCCTCTATGTGTATGTATCTCTCTCTCTCTGCTCACTGTAGAAGCAGTCGCTGAGGTCAGGGGCCAGTAGAGTGTCGTTGGGACAGAGACACTGGAACTGGTCTTCCTCCTCATACACCTCACACCGGTGGACACACCCACAGTCTGCCTCCACTATGTCCACATAGCCGTCTCCCTCGTGCCAAGATCCTACTGTGTAAAGCGTGACATATGTGTATCCGCCACCACCTGGAATTGTATTGCCATCTCCTAAAACTGCACCCCCTGTTACTCCTCCTCCACCTCCACCCCCTCCACACCCTCCCCCACCTCCCCCAAAACCCCCGTCTCCCCAACGAAGCATGTTTGGTATCTGTGAGAAGTCGTTACGAGCACACTGAATGCCGCCGGTTGCGAAATCCTCAGTTCTACCGGCCGGTCGCCCGTCTTGTTGGTTTGAGATGAAGGATGAATTCGAAAAGAATCCCCCTCCAGCCCCAGCTGTGACATCTGGGGATTGGACATTCACACGATACCCTCTCAGACCGAAATTATCGGCAATATCTGGATCCAACATTGAGGTGCTTCCGTTAATAAATCTTTTGTACAGACTTATATTTTGATGAGAGGTCCCCGGTACAAGATTGTCGAGAGCCGAATAGTCGAGCAAAGCTGAGGTCCCACCACCCCCTCCAGAGATGCAGAGTACGCGAGCATCTCCTTCCAGTCGAATGTCGCCCAACCCAAAGAAACTTGTCCCCCCTCCACCTCCTCCGCCACTAAGACGGAGCGTACGCTGGTAGTCAAGGTCCGACTGATTTCTCAACCAGTCTACGTATTTCTGGCGACAACTGTTGGCAGATTCCAGATCTGTAGGAGGCGAATCGCAGAGCGTCCATAGTTCGTCACCGTCATCTGCATCGCACGGACCTAACCCCTGCTGGCCCACGAGAATCAAATAGTCCACGGACGAATTGAGAGTAGAGCTGATGTTCACGACGAGACCCCGGCCGAACTCGACGTTGCAAAGCCCCCTACCGCCAGCGGCTGCAGCTATGGATAGATTATAGACGGTGGATTTGGGAGGACGGAATGACTGAGACCCGAAGAAATTCTCGCTGTGAGCGCTCGTGAACACGCCGTCCCGCAGTAGGGGCGAGTCGATTGATTCGTAGTGTTGCCTGCAGGTTTCGTACGAAGGTCCGTCTCTTCCAGTGTTTCCGCACGAGGTGAAGTGGTAGCGAATTGTGGAGAGATCTGCAAGACACACTGGATGCATTGAAACCATTGTAAGTTTGTATCAAGACTTACTTCTTCGACAGAGTGCGGGAAGGAACAGTGGCAGAAGCATACAGACGAAGACACACCTGGCCATCGCGTCGTGGAGAAGACAAAAATGGGCAGGGCTAGACTTGGGCCGAGCCGTTACGTAATATATACATGCGCATGCGCGTGTACGTGTGTTAGTCGCGGCGCGCGCGTGTGGCGGCGCTCGCGCTCTTTAAATTAAAATTGCGGCGCGGGCAGCTAAAACTATGCACATGCGCATTGCAGTACCTCACTTATTTTAGGCTTTTTAATCAATGTTCTAGTCTCTTATAAGCTAGATTGGTAGTTATGCCAAAAGATTTTATTATACTATTGGTCACAGTAAACTTTCTGTCATAAAATGTTAGCGATCAACCCCCTAATCATTATTAATGATTTTCACTATAAGACCTGCCACACGAAACATCATAAAGTAAGCAACAGAGACCTAAGTCTAAGGGAAAATTAATAATCTCGATGATTGGCCAGTTTCGATCAACCAACCACTTAATCACCTTCATGGTTGGTAGCTAGCAAAATCCAACTGTAAGGGTTTCTGGGCCATGGCACATCATAAGGTAAACACCAGGAGTCTTCAAGTCTATATAGCTACTGATAGTGTGGTGGAAACTCAGTCATGCATGACCCGGTGGTTCATTCCTTATAAAAACAAAAGATAGAGTGCTGAAGCCACAAGCCATAATTTTCAGCACAAAGGGGTGGAAAGCTATATAGAGTTACCTTGGGTTGAGGCAAATTGTCCAGTGTTATGGGTTTTAACATCCACAACAATGGAGTTGCAGTAGAGCCGACATCTTATATTATAGTTCTTCTGTATATACCTCCTGAATATTATTCACACTGTTTAAAAAGTATGAGTTAAGGTTACCCTTGACAAATTTTTCTTAACCTCCTGTGTGACCGTTTTAACATCTGATCAACAATAAAGTGGAAGGTTGGTTACCTTGAGTTGATGCACTATAGCGACCAGTTTTATAGTTGTTCTTTACCTGCCGTGGCAATGTTTAAATTTACACTTTATCGGCTGACCTTGCTGGTTAGAAACCTGAAGTTGTTATTGCATTGTGACAGTATAATTATAGCTTTATGACAGCAGTTTTCAACATCCATAATATACTGGAGTGGTTTATTTCAAAGCGGGACACTCTGTCTAGTAATGCAAGCATTTTCACAGCAGAGGATAAATCAATCTGTTGTAATCACTGCAAATAAAATTCAAGCACTATCTCCAACAAATTATTCTCTGATGCACTGGTGGTGTGTAAAATAAATGCGTTAGCTACAATGACAAATTCTGTAGGCAGGGCATTCCTATGGGAAATATCTGTGGATAAACAGTGCACAATAACCAGTAGGGAGAATCCAGAACGATAAGGTAGTGACGGAATTCTAACGACTAAGCTAGTGCAACAAGGTGTTTGTTGCGTAAAACTCTAATTACGATATTTAGCGCACAAGCTAAGCGCTTAGTGTCTAATTAGGATTGCTCAGACACGCCCCCGTTTTCTTCACCACATAAAAACACCAGAGAGAGGAAAATCCGGAGCTTCCAACGCCGGCACAAAGCGTAGACCGACGGCGCACTAGCGGACGGACCGGGCGACGGCGACGGATCCTTCCCTCCAAACTCCGACCGCCATCACTAAAGCAGTGCCGCTTGCTAGTTACGTATATAGCTAGCTCTGCACGTCAAACGCCCGCCGCGCAGTGCAAGAAAGGATCGTTCGAGTGTGCGACCGAGCGAGCAGCTGCAGTCTTGTCAAGGAACAAGAACACCGGCCGTCTGCACTCTGCAAAGCTCGCAAATCCGCAGCAGCAGCAGCTATTTTGGCGGGCGATCCAGCTCCGCCAACGCCACAAACTGACCGCCGAAACTAGAACATGACCCAACTGTACGTCGGGAACTTGTCTGCGGATGGAGACGAGAAAGCCATCCGGGCACTCTTCTCCAACTACGGCGTGGTCCGCGAGGTCCTCATGAAAAACGGCTATGCCTTTGTCGAGTTCGAAGATGCCCGTTCTGCGGACACAGCCATGAGGGATCTGAACGGTGAGTGTGGTCGTCGTGTTTGTTGTATGTAGCTGCGGTGTCGCTCGCTTCAGAAATGGAAGAAATAGTTGTGACCTGCCTCGCAGTGCTAAACTGTTTGGCTGCGCTCGTTACGCGTAAGGTGTCTATAGTCCACGTAAAAAGATACAGTCTTCGTGCATATAGTGTGTCACACTGCCTGCCCCACACACACACTGCAACTGATGACCCGCTGCATGGTGGTGGTGGTGCTGTAGCATGGTGGTGGTTTACAGTACCACCTATACCGCAGACCGCATAGTGACGCTACGGAGAGTTTTTGCAGATCCCAGCAACTTGGGAGGGGCTGAGTATAGTACCTAAAGAGGTGTTGTGAGGGGTCAAAGACTTTTTGAAAATGCACGTTTGAACTTGTTCCTGGATACAGGTTCTGACATTCTTGGACACCCTATGATTGTGGAACCCTCACATCAGCAAAGACTCAGCTCCAGGTAGGATGTGTAACCCGTATTCTTCACTTATGTTCACTTGGCAAAGAACGTGTTGGATAAAGCAGCACAAGGGGATAGGCTGTGATTGAATTTCGAGTGTGCTTATACAAGTAGAGGCAAGGCCCTCGCTTTTATTGCTCACGTACATTGGTCCTTTTAATGGGGGGTGGGGGATGCTCCCAGTGACAATATTACATATAGAGATGATATGTATGGTATCTAGCATCGTAGATGTATGGGACGATGTGTACGTGTATGATGTATGTATGGGATAATGATGGCGGCGGATGGCGTCAATCTATTTTTTTTACCAATTTTACCCTTTCTCATAGAAGAAAGCCGATGTGCGGTCGTGTAGAAGTTGTCTCAATTCCACCACCCATGACCCTGCAGGTACTTTAACACTCTAATAATGCATTGCAGTGTACTATCGCAATCGACACACACACACATACACACGTGTGCGTGTAAAAAGTAAGATATATAAAAGGGGTACAGAAATAAAGGCACCAAAGGAAAACAATCATGTACCAGTTTCCCTCATCACAAAAGATACAGTGGAGCCTTTTTTCTGTAGCTTACTCAGCAACTTGCTCCATTTTCTCCTCCCCCTTCCATTTATAACATGGACTGCAACATGCCACATAACCACTGGGCCTAATTGAGTGGGCAGAACCTATACTAAACACTCTGCTAATCAAGCACTCTCATCTATAGTAGGAATAGGACCCTCTAACCAAATAAATTGTCCTGTCACCCTTATGTTAACAACAACAGTTATTGAGGAAATCCGTGTTAGAGAGGTGTCTTGATTTCAGGGTTGTGCGGGGTGTTTGTGCTAGTGGCAAACTGAAAGAGAACACTTTTCATGCCTCTTGAACTGTCATGATAATGATTATTAGCATGAGACGCACACACACACACACACACACACACACACACACACAGAGAGAGAGAGAGAGAGAGAGAGAGAGACTGGTTCGTAAATAATGTATACTGTTCCACACCGAGGCTTGTATACATGGCTACAAGCCAGCATGAAAACCGTGGAGCGTAGATTTGTAGATTTGGGTTCTTGTGGTTGTGCAGTGTGTCTACATACACATACCCAGCAACCTGGCAAGCTGTGGCTAGCTAGCTATGACACTCACACCACGCTTGCTCCACTGTAGCTTTGTCCAGTAAGTGGTCGAGAGCAAAAAATGTTTAATCTGTCAAGGATTCTAAAAGTACTGTTAGTAGCGCTGTGTTAGAACAAGCCATTGTGGTCTCTTGAGTCAGGTTCGTGCTTTTTTGAGCAAGAATTTAACCCCCGTGAACAAATACCGTATCTAAAAGCTGTATATACATTCGAATGCCTCTAGTCTCATAGGATTTAAGACTCGTCGAGCAGCTCAACTACAGATGATCTGACATGAGATGCTGGTGTTCCACCATCGGTCTGTAGTCTGCAACGTGGCCTATTTTGCAAAGTTAGCTGGAAATGGCGTAGCTGCAATTTCTAGAGTTGCACAGTTTCCCTTGGAGACATCTGTACCAGAAATAGATGCAAATGAACCGAGTTGCCTCCACGCATGAATATTCTATTATACCAGCTCTTTGTCGGTCTCTCTCTCTCTCTCCCTCTCTCTCTCGTCTCTCTCTCCCTCTCTCTCCCTCTCTCTCTCCTCTCTCTCTCTCTCTCTCTCTCTCGCTTTCTCTCTCTCTCTCTCTCTCTCCCTCACTCTCTCTCTCACTCACTAATGGTTACTTCAAACCCAAGGACATCTCACTAACCTATTTCTGTGAAACTGGTGTCCTGATTAGACAGGTTACATTGTACGTATATATCAAGCCCTGGCATCTTGCTAATGGGTGACCAGAGGCCTTAGGTATCCAAACTATGTAGTGCCGGTGTGGTTATATCACAGAAATGATAACATAATTTGGTGTACATTTTCCGCCCAGTTTTACAGCGTCTCTCACTCTATCAGCACTGCTGTATACACAGAGTGCTTTCTGGCTTAAAATTAGAATGTTTAATGGATGTTGCCACACCGGACTGTAGCTATTATTTACTTAAAAATTAGTATGGATACTGATATGTAGCATACACACACCTCTAGCAGCTATTTCATACGTATATACCACATGTAGCAGTAGGTATTGATATTTAGCTCTGGAACAATATTTCTAGCTAGGATCGCTTCAATCTAAAAGGTTTGATGGGTTGGCTTCGTTTGGTCAAGCATATAAACGACAGATATCTACTTGTCGTGCAAGGTGTAGAGTCTAGTGATGCTAATAAAGGTTGATATTTTACTGTGTATGTTCTTTTCTCCTTACAGCAAATAGAGCATCTCCTCACACAATTTGGGCCAGTGCTAAAGATGGAGATCGAAGAAAGTAGGATTTTTAACATTGTTTACTGTCGTTCGCCATCCTTTATTACTTTCAACATACAAATTATTGTCATCACTGGCGGTTGTTGTCTTTTGCTCTCAAGTAGACTGAAAGGTTTACGACATGCTTTCTTTCTCCTGTTTTCGCAGGTGACTTTGGCATGAAGAAGATTGTTGCCACTTTCGAGTGTCAGGAGAGTTCGCAAAGGTCACTGATCCCAAAGTGTGCTCGTGTCTCTGTCTGTGTGTGTGTGTGTTTGTGTGCATGTGTGGGCTGCGGCCTGTGATACCCACTGAAATTTTCCAGTTTTACAAATTCCGCGAGCATTCTCAGAATCCTTTTTAAAGTGCACCATTATTTTTAGCGACTACATATATATTATTCATACCTACCTACATACCTACATATGTAGAGGAAATGGCCAATTTGAGTGGTCACCGATTATCGTGGTACATATATATCATGCCAAGTGTTAGATTTTGTGGCACACGTTTGTCTGGGAATTATGTATCTTCAGTTTGGCATGTTTATTGTAGCGGTCTGTATATACAATATACAGATAAACTCAAAACGTACGACCTTATTCTACACATATGTAATAATTATACTACATGTAATATACATCATTGTGCAGCGTTTGTATCTTTTATACATCCCTTTAGGGCATACAGTTAATTGTCCCGACTGTATTGTGTACACGTGCACTTGTAAATAATGAGAACACGCGTGTACCCTTAATTGAATCAATTAACCAGGTTAACTCCTCAATTAAACGTGCTCTTATTGATGCGAGTAACACAAACATGTAAACATCATCAAGATGCATGTGGGAATAGACACGTGGCCAATTATCTTGCTGCACACGTACATTGATTTTATAACGATATTAACAACAAACACAAAATGATGCTCAATGGAATGTTTACGTGCCATCTTTTAAGGTAAAGTTTTAGTTTCAACTTGTCATAAATGGGGCAAATGGTATGAAATAATGAGCAACAAATTACTGGAAATTTCAAGATAAATATAATATAGGAAATTTGTAGTCTTCGAGCTTTAAAACACAGGGATGTTATTAGTAAAGTGGGACAGTAATCCACATGCTTTTCGCAAGAAACTATTTTGCCGTTGAATCATTATATAAACGCCACAAAGTTTCAAGCTGTACTTTGGAGATATGTACATACATGTAATATGCAGATACATGTATATACATGTAATATGTTGCTATCTGCAATGTCATCTTCACACAAACGCTTCTCTTGGCTTCCAATTTCCTGCCTAGCAACTCGTGTGAGTGGGCGCTGACAGCAAACCGCTTCCTGTCGACTAGACTAGGTCCATACATACTCCCGATCCTTCAGTGTGACTGCTGGACATGTAGTGGCTTCCCACCCACCACCAAACACTTATATCATTCTTCTCGGCAGCATGCAGTCATATATAGATCCCCTCCCCCCCCAGTCGGTAGCTCAGTTGGTAGAGCACTCGCCTAGACAGCAGCGTATCATGCGTTCGAACCCCACCTAGCTCTTCTTTTCCCTTAGAATTGCTCTGGGTCTAGTTGACTTGTTTGCTCTGCCTTTCACCTTGTTGTTGACACATACACACACTCCATGGCTTACGTACTCAGTACATTACTGTGCTAGCTACCAATTGTAAGTACACTCTGTCTTGACTTATTATTCAAAAATCTATCAGTTTTTGGCGAGCGAAACAAGCCTACCTAGTCGTGTGACTTGCATGCTCTTGTACACATTATATTACGTTACATCCAATGTTGCCACCTTACCATAATGCCCAATGTGAATCCAAACACACACATGCACGTAACTAAAACTTGTGCTATGTTGCTACATGCGCCAGTATCTCCTGCATTCGCTCACCAACATACAATGCATTTGTTCTATATAGTGAGTTAAGGGTTAATTAACAGTTCATTGTTTCATCTTACAGGGCTGCGGCTACCTACGGCGACGAACACTGCACTCCCCGGGTAAGTATGTAAGAGACAACCGGTGGTTTATATGGATATTACGTCACAGGTGTTGTAGTGCAGTATACATTATAACCCCTCTCTAAGGAAATTAGGACACCTCCCTAATAAGGACACTTTTTCCTTCCCCACAAATAGTTGATTTAACCCCTGAAATAAGTACACCTCACTAATATGGAAACTTTCTGCTGGAGGTTACACTATGCATATTATAACCCACAGCATACAGTGATACAATCTTTGGTAATGCGATGTAGAAAAAGTATATATGCAATGGCAGATTTGCTGAGCTGTGTTAAGAAGACTAACACATACGGTACCTGTTGGAGCCTTCTAAGTACACTACAACTGTACTACCTCACTGGCTTAACTGAAAATGTAGTATATACAAAGATGATATCGTTGCAGTCTTACGCGGCCTCTCCGTCTCCAAAAGTACATGTAAAGTACTCCAAAATGGGTTGCTGAGTACAGTGGAACCCCCTCTAATCTGGACACCAATCTGACACAAGAAAATGTCCATATTAGTGAGCTGTTGGCTAAACTAGAATACAAAAACTGTTTTTGGGAGAAATAAAGGTGTCTTTATTAGAGAGGTAATCTTTAGAGAGTGGGATTGCAATCAGGGTTTTAGCTAGGACCAAATTTAAGGAGGGTGGTATTTCAACAACATGTATACACAGAAGGTAACTTACACACATATAGAAAGCCATTACGCCGACTTATGCCAAGCTGACACCGATCTGCCTGTGGTGTCATGGTACGTACATCGCATGATGACATAATCGCTTCCTTTATTGGGGAAGTAGGGGTTGTCCTGTGGCACAAACACTGGAGAGTAAGAGAGCATTTAGAAGGTTAGTATTGCTCCCGGCTACTACAGAGCCGGTAATCCCAGCGCTCAAATTTGGACATTAGATACGCCTGTTCCCATGTCCTTAGAGAGAAGTTAGTGCAGCTGGAAATGTGCCTGCATTTGACGCAAGGGTATATATAGGTTCACTCAACAAGTATCACTTCATCTTTAAGAGCTATAGCTGTAGCTGTGTACGTAAGCTTTGGCCCACCTTTCTCTTCGCCTCACAATCCTACAATTATTATTTCCCCACTACCAATGTTACAACTGAATGTCAAACTACAATCTGCAGGGAAAGGTACCCTTTCTGCTGCACCTCTCTAGAAAAGAACGATGATGTGA